CCTAACCCTAACCCCTAACCCCTAACCCCTAACCCCTAACCCCTAACCCCTAACCCCCTAACCCCTAACCCCTAACCCCTAAAAAAAAAATTGCCTCTGGCTCTATCTCAGTAACAACCACTATGAGAACCTGTACCCTGCTCATCACATCACTCGGGTCTGGTGAGTGACGGGTGTCTGCGGTGTCTGCGGTGTCTGCGGTGACTGCTGAGCTCATGTTGTTTACTTTGTCATTCAGATGCCCCACGCGTGACGTGACAGACAACCACTTGGGCAAACAACTCTGCTGTTTGGAGAATACACATGTAATGATTAGAATGAACTTCTTGACTGATTAGCATGTACATGACAGCTGTGTGAAGGATGGCTGATGTGGATGGTGAGAATAGGTTGATGGACGGGTGGGGACTTGCACGCGCGGTGACAGGCTGTTTGTTTACTTTTTTCTGCCCACCCCCGCGCGGGACAGCCTGATGACGTGGCCACCTGCGCGCGGGACAGACCTCCTATGGATATGCTCAAGTCACGTCAACAACCTCACCCCCAAACTGCCCAGCGTGATTTCTAAGTCATTTCACCTTCAAAATGGTCCAACCAAACGGGATAGTGTTCTGGAACTTTCAGACAATTTCATTTTTTGGGAACTTTAACTTTTTTTTTTGACTTTCGAGGTCATTTTGACGTGTTTTTGACCCGTAGCAGTCACAACAAGGGTCCAACAACAGATTGGATAGTTCATTTCTACTGTTCAAAGGTGCCTCTATCCATTGGTACAACTCTGGGAGCGCTGGGATGGCTGGTTCTCAAAAGTGTGTTTCATACCCGGGGGTCAAGACCCCCTATAACCCTAATCCCGTCGCCTGCTTCCAAAATTCTCCAGCTCGGCAAACACTTCGTTGTCAATTTGCTTGACGTCTGCCAGAGCATGGTCACCCTCGACTACCAACTCTGATGTCGTCTCATTGAGGAGAGCAGATACAGCAATACGCGAGGTAGCAGAGGACCATCCTATGTTCTCTAGTGCTGAACCCAGCTCAATTCGCATCAGCTGCAATTGTTCGATCTCTGGTTGATCCTGCAGCATCTCGTGACGAGCTTGTTGCTCAACCGAGGCCTTGAAGCGTCCCTCGGCAAGTTGCTCAGGCTGATCTGGTTCAACGCATGACCATGCCATGATGCCTTGCCAGTATCGTGCATCATAGTGACAGCCCAACAGTGCCTTCAGGGCTTCTTCGGCCTGGGGAATGGAATACTCGTCCTCATCGAAGAGCCGAAATATTATACCCCAGGCACGCGGGTTGACTGTAGCCTCTCCCTCTGGAATATCCACCGCCTGTTGGCCGTGACTGAGGTTGTCGCCTAAGATGCCAGCTTTCCTCCAGCAGTTTGTAACAGTGGACGAGGTGATCTCTTCCCACGCTTTGTTGAGCATGATCATGGCTTCGAGCTGGTTCGTATCGTAAGGTGTTGCTTCACCAGCCTCCACTTTTGCTGCGGTCTCTACAGCCTTGAGACGATGATAACACAACTTGAGTGTTGCAATAATGCCCTGATCGAGAGGTTGGCAATAGCTGGTGAGGTTTGGTGCAAAAAAGACCATAGTGACATTGGTGGGACGGTAATCTGGTGCCTGGTGACCACTGAAATTGTCAAGAAGCAGAAGGATATGGCGATCCTGGCTTCGGAATTCCTTATCAACCTTTTCTAGCCAGGACTGGAAGATATCCCGAGTCATCCAAGCCTTCTTGTTGTGCATGTAATCAAAGCCTCGAGCTGTGGGGGAGCGTCCCATGAAGCAGCGAGGTTTGTTCCATTTGCCAATGTAAAGTACGGGAAGCTTCTCCGTGCCTGTGGCATTGCAACACAGAGCTAGAGTCATCCGGTCCTTAGACTGTTTAACCCCTTGAAGCTGCCCCCGAGATAGGCCTCTATGGGGAGCCTGACGGTAGAATAGAGCAGTCTCGTCCATGTTGAAAATATCCTCTGCTCGGTGTCCTGCACAGATCGCTGCAATCCGCTTGCGATCCTCATTTGCATCTTCAAGAGAAGCAGATCCAGCCTCACCATGGGCGTTGTAAGACTTCAGACCATATCTACACAGGCCAGGATCACTAAGCTCTCAATCTCTGTAGCGTCGCACGAGCATACTCACGATCTGCAGAAACTTTCAACCCATCCGTTAGATCCTTTCACAACCTCTCCTCCTAACCGCTCTTGATATTGTTGTAACTTGTGCTTCAGGAGATGGCTGGAGCAAGGCAGATTGCTATCCAACATCTTCTGACAGAACAGACGTAAGGCCTCCTTGACTTGAGGATTCTTGACTGTACGAGCTTTCTTCCGCCCAGACGCAACCTCTTTGTTGCCTGAACCTTCTCCCTCCGCCGAAAGGTTGTAAGCGGCTTGGATGCTCTCTTCAGTTTTCAGCCACCGGTAGATAGTCTTGTCGTTCAGATCCAAGGGATCACTGTGTGCTTTGAAATAACTGATTGTCTGCGCCATGTGACTCTTTACTTTCTGACTCTTCAACCTTTTGACATGAGCGATGACGCGGAGTTTATGAGCCAGAGTTACATGCTCTTTTTTGAGGTCCTGTCGTCTTTGACTAGCACTCTTAGGCCTCACAGGGGGGGTCATGATTGTGAACCAATTGGATGAAGTGCTCATATGCCCGTATTCACATGTGAGAATAATCTGATTCGAGTCGGTGTTTCTCATTAATGTTGCACTCGGCGACCTTTGAAAATAAGAATTTTGTAAATACACGTCAGAATTCCTTCTCACTTCTCATTTTAAATAAAAATGAGAATTTACAGCCTTCCCGTGTTGGGAGCAGGCAATTTCCCAAAAATTCTTCTCAAAATCACAGGTTTCTCATTTCGGGGGTGTCTCATTTGCGGGGGGACGACTGTACAAACAAGTGCTTCTCTCCGATCATCACCTACTGGTCATTGTGAAGCGCTCGATACATCAAATGCCTTGGGGCTCCGCACCGTCGTTGCTGGGAAGGCGGTCTCTCTTGCCCGTCCGGAGCGGGTCCGCTTCCTCTTGCATCCCGGCCAGAGTGGATCGGCACCATCCAGTCCGGTTGTCGATTGGAGAGCGACACCGACCGAGGTAGATCAAGCACGAGATCGCAAGCAAGGTCTGCCAAATGAAGGGTGCATTGCGTAAGCGACGACCTCGTTGCTACGATCTATTGGTATGAGACGTACGACTCCCACCGTTCCCCATGCAACACCTAGTGTCGCCCGAGCTAGTCTGATTGTGGACGATGAAGCAGCACAGGCGTCAACTCATGCGGTCGAGGGTCGCCGAAGCCGGGCAACTTACCCGCAGAACTGTTGGCTGATACATCGCTGCCATTGAACATTAGTGGTGAAGACGGCGACGCCGATCAAGAGTACAGTCCAGCCGGGCAGCAGGCTGCCGCACTCGAAGCCTAGCCCAGTAAGTCTGTTCTCGCTTCGTCCGATCGTGCCGAGGTTGGCGACCAAGCTGTATCGACCCGGAACACCGATTGTGATGTATCAGCCACGTCGGTTCCGGTATGATGTGGCATCAGTCCGTACTGACAATGACGCGCTGGCAATCCAGATCAAAATGAACCCCGCTAGGATGGCGCCGGTAGCGTGATAATATCGATGACCGATAGTCCCTTGCGAGTAGTACCATCGACCGGTCCTGTCGTTATACACTGAAAGGGTTAGACGCCATCTGGTCAGTGCTGCGGTATCGGGACACAAGAAACTGCCCGTCCTGAGCTTACACGGCCCGACCGACTCGCCCCAGAAGTTTGAGGTGGTGTAACGGATAAAGCTGCCGGAGATGGCGGCACCAATGACGGAGACGAGGAATAGGACGACCAGAAGGTTGACGTTCAGGTGGTGCTTGATTGCTGCTCGCATCGCTGTGGTTGTATGATCGTGGATATGTTGGGTGTGTTTGTTGATTCGATGTGGAAGCCGTACGCTGTGTAGCGTTTCCAGCTTTGATCGCACCATCATCATCAACGGCGACCTCGTTATATGTACGTATTGAAGAAAGATCGTCGCCAACTTGGAATGGGCGAGCGATCCTGACCGGTTCGGCAGAGGGACACCATGCCTTGGCGTGGTGGCCGGCTTGCTGAGCGAGTTGATGGCCACGACGCTGCTCTTGTTGCGCTGACTCTATCGGCAAGCTCAGATTCGGTAATGGTCATACCCAAGTTCCTGGCCAAGGACAATTCGGCATGTGATCGTCAATACAACAGCTCGAGTCGATGAGGCTGCTTCGGCAAGTGTTTGGGTAAGTTGGACCCCTGATTCGTTCGGTCTTGGCACACCGACCTGCCGGACCCGCGGCGAGATGCCGTTCTGCCTCTCTTTGCTTGCGACGTTCCCCGTTCGATCCAACAGCAGAGAGCACCTTAGCATCACATCATGTACATACATCGCTAAATGGCGAATACAACCTTGTCATTTCGATCGAAACAGCCCACGCGCATCAGCTCAAGCTCCAAAGGCGGCTTCAAGCGCGCTTCTCTCGGCAAGGCTTCCCCTCGGCTGCCATCCAAATACCTCTGACTGTGTCTCGACGACTTCTCCTGGCACACCCCATCCACCTCCACCAGGGGTATTGAGCACGAGTCGATCGTCCGCCTCGAAGGCCACGGTCGCCTTGCCCCCGAGGTTGCGCACGCGACGTACAGCCTTGCCCTCGGCGTCTAGAGTCTCCCGTACATGTAGGTTTAAGCCGCTCTGACCATCCTGTCCTCCGGCGAGTCCGTAAGGTTGTCTGGCTCTGCGCTCGGTCAAGAGCGAGACCTCGATATCTTGCAGGAACTGCATCTCTCGAACCACGCCGTTGCCTCCGCGGTAAAGTCCTTCTCCACCCGACCCCTGACGATATCCGAATTGATGGAGAATGACAGCTGCGTATCGAGATCGAGGTCAGCAGCAGGACATGCGAGTCTTCCGACTGCCCGAACGTACGGTATCGACGCTCGAGGATCTCGGGATCCGTGATCCTCGTATTGGTCATATGAACGCTGCAACATCAATAGGTCAACCAACTATGTACTGTAATGCGATTGCCGCTCACACTCACTGAACACCAGACGTTCCGTGCCAAGAAGGTCCAGCTCCGCTACCACCGGCGATAGTCTGGAGCGACTTGCAAGTCAGCGTGGCAGGTCGATCGTGGGAGTATCATTGAAACTTACCTCGTAGTATCCCCAACCGCGCTCGACGATTCCAGTCTCGCGGTTCTTTCCACCTGCACCGAATGACAAGCTGTTCCCACGCGATCAGCACGCACGTTCTCGAGGATCAGCGTCGGCACTCTACCGACTTGTTACAGCACCCTTGGCTCGCGGCACACGCCTCGAACGCCTTCAAGCAGACGTCGGTGATACGCTGCGAGGTGAGAACATTCCCAGCGCAAACCGCAGAGTCGGGCGAGGGCGATAATAGGGTATTCTCCGGGATGATGACTGCAAATTAAAAACAGCGTGAGCTTGCGATCAGTCGACGATAAAGCCGAACGAGACCTCACGCACTGTTCAGCGGCAACAAACAGCCCGAGTTGAGCGGAATATCTTGATCGATCATCGCTCGCATGCTATCAGCGCGGGTCAAACGTTGCCATCAGCTCGACGTGGATCCGGAATGACGCGGTAAGGACCCCAATACTGACCAGTAGATGATGGCACTGTGGACCACCGAGATGGGGGCGTTCCAATTGCCTCGCACTTCAGGTCCGGTCCCGGTAAAGTCGAACGTGGCGTCCCCGGTCGATCGATCGATCTTGACCGTCAAGGCGATGGGAGAGCCGTCGTCCATGTGATCGATGGCCTGCGGCGGGTGAAGAGCGCATCAGCATCCACCTGCTGTTCGGCAACCGAGGACAACCATCATGGGTATACCGACGTAGAGCGTATCTTTCCCCGCGGAGGTTGCAGCCGCGATCAACATCTTTCGGACGGCACGTTCGGCGTTACTGCTCATCAAATCGTCCAACGCATATCTCACAGCGACGTCAGTACAGATATTGTATCATGCCAGTCAGAGCTTCACAAAGCTCGTCTCGGTACGCACTCCCTGATGTGTCCCATGTAGGACTGTACCGTGGCCAAATCGTACTCGGCGATCAAGGCGTGGATGAGCTGGATCCCCTTGTAGTTGGCAGCGATTTGCTACAACGTCCCGCAAAATTCAACACGAAAACAAACTCTTCAGCATTTCGTCGCCATTGAACTTTTGTACCTCGATGGAATCCCCATTCGGAGTTGGGAAAGCGTATGACTCACAGCTTTCAAGTCCGATTCGACGCTCCTGAAATCCCTACACCCCGAGCATCCCGGGATCTCGGCCGGGTCCTCGACGAGCAGCTTGTACAGCCCGTCCCGATCGTACTTGCCCGCGTCGACGAGTTTGAAGCTGATAATCTCTGCACCCTCCTGTGCCAAGGAGGTGCTGTAGCTGGGCATACTTCCCGGTTGAGCCCCTCCGATGTCGGCGTGATGACCCCGAGAGGCGGTGAAGAAGATGATCTTGGGTTGTTCGCTCGAGCCTTCTTCGGCGGGTTGGGAGAAGACGGGGGTGATCACGGTCAAGTCTGGCAAGTGAGATCCACCGGCGATGGGGGAGTTGGCGAGGAGGACGTCGCCTGGACGAAGAGAAGGTCCGAGCTTGGCCAGCTGGTAGACCACGGCGAAGGACATGGCGCCTGCGATACGACGTACGGTGAGATCGGGATACGAGTCAGTACCGACCTGTAAACTCCCAGCTACCAGACGCCGGTATCACCTCCTCTCAACAGCCTCACACCATACCACTGAAAACCGATCAGACTCGAGACTCACCCAAATGTACAGGCACATTGGGTGCGTTCGAGATCAACGACCCGTCGGCGTTCATCAACGCGCAACTGAAGTCCAACCGTTCCTTGATGTTTGTCGAGATGGACGTCTGTTGCAAGGCTCGACCCATCGCTTCGGCTACGGACATAAAGCGGTTGGAGCTGCGGTTTTTGTCGTGGTCATGTCGGCGAGAATGAGAGCGAGAGTAGTAGACGTTCCGGAGGGATATGGGTCGACAGGAGGGCAGGAGGCCAGCGTTGGTGTAAGCTACCAATGTGCCGTCCTTTGAGCCGATGCCTGAACAAGGAAGACGTCGAGACTCACAACAGGGACAGCAGGATAGGATCAAAGTCTGCATTGCGGGCGGTCTTGAGAGCTTGTACATGCTCGACCTCGGTCGGAATGGCAATAGGCATGTTGATGAAGAGGCAGACTGGTCGCTTGGTTCAGGTTGTTTATGGCGGAAATCTGAATATATCGAGGCGGTCCGGTAAGGTACGTGAGGTGTACGACTGATATTCTAGAGGTTGGCAGAAGTAGAGAAGTCACATCTTCGTGAGTAAGCATACCTGATATTTTGACCTTGTATATAGATCCTTCTCAGAACGAGCTACTTACCAAGACCCAAGACATCCCCCGTACAGATCTTGACCAGCACGCAACCGCGTGACCTCTGCGAGCCGGCTTCGCATCGCAACGGACCAGTTCCGGGAACCCCAAAAGGGTTCCGGACGCCTGATTCCTATCTCATGTTGGCGGGTCTGGCCAGGAAGTGTAGGTGCTGGTCGAGTGTAGAGAGGATCGAGGTACTTGGGGCAGTTGAACCGGAAACGTTGACCCTCTCCATATCCTCTTCACGCGAGCGTAGACCGGGAACTCAACGGAACTGACCAGCTGATGATCACATCGACCTCTTGATCTTCTGCTCCACCTCTCGTATAGTCGTAATCATCTCGGTATAGTCCCTCGGAAATAGCTAGGAAGGCATGCAAGATGGTCATAGCGAGGTTCCCCGGCTGTTCCGGACCCAGCCCCCGGGATTAGGCATGCTGTTGACGATTCTACGTATCCATGGCTACCACGAACATATAGCTCGAGAGACATCAAATGACGTTCGAGGACAACGAACCCACTGGCCATTGGGATGACTCTCTCTACACTGCCAAACTCTACCTTTGACCTGAGCCGTCGACTCGCACAAACCAGCTCCACCGGGAACCTCGAACCGTCTAGCGAGAAACATCTCTTCATCAGCTATATTTGCTGCCATGGTCAACCAGTCTGCCGACGTCCCCGATCACTCGATTCGGATCAGTATCGATAGGGTGAGCCCTTTCCGACCTCTTCATCATGTCAAGAGTTATCTCTTACTCATCTGGTTCTGTCGCTATACATTTGTGATCATCAGGGCGGTACTTTTACCGACGTCTTCGTGTAAGCACAATGACCACTTGCCACGCCGAAATCTCTCCTCTTGCATCCATACGAGCAAAGGTCACTGATTCTCAACCATCTTATCCCCGGCGTCGTATAGATCATACCAAGAATCGACCTCTTCAGGCTCGGACGACCGTAAAGAATTCATCCTCAAGCTCCTCTCGCAAGACCCGTCGAACTATGCAGATGCTCCGACCGGTAAGCATCGGCTCGTCACTGTACTATTGGATCGGAACTTTGGTCAGACCAGGCTGATGATGGGGTGTTCTCTTATCCTGATACCTTGCGGACCCAGAGGGAATTCGGAGGGCATTGGAGAAAAGGCTGGGACGACCCGTTCCGAGGGGACAACCTCTGCCTACTTCTAAGATCGGTGAGTTTAGCTTCTGCCTACTTGGCGGGGTAAATAGCTTTGCAAGTCGATGCGCTGATGCGGTTGATTTCCTGTGACTAGATTTCGTAAGGCTCAGCACGACCGTGGCTACGAACGCGTTGTTGGAAAGGAAAGGCGAGAAGCACGCCTTGTTGATCACGTACGTCGTCCTCCATTCGGTCAAACACCGGGACTAACGGCTTGGACCTGACACTCGCAGCCGCGGGTTCAAAGACCTGTTGAGCATCGGGAACCAGTCTAGACCCAGGATCTTTGATCTGAACATCAAACGTCCGTCCCCCTTGTACGACCAGGCCGTCGAGGTCGAAGAGCGGGTCACTCTGGTCGGTTTCACTTCGGACCCTTGGCACCAGGATCACGGCGTCGTCTTTGGCGAACAGGGCGAGGTCGTCAAGGGATATACCGGCGAAGGGTCGCAAAACGCAGAGTCGGGAAAGGTTCACGGTAGGATCGTGAGAGGAGTCAGTGGGGAAGCCGTCGAGATTCTCCAACCGCTCGACCTCGACCGTACCCGTGCCGACTTGGAGAGACTCTACGCCTCGGGAACCAGGTCGTTGGCGGTAGTGCTCGCCCACTCGTACACGTTTCCTGAACACGAACTCGCCATCGGGAAGCTCGCCAAGGAAGTCGGGTTCCACCACGTCTCGCTCTCGTCCCAACTCTTGCCCATGATCAAGATGGTCTCGCGGGGCGTGTCATCCACCGCCGATGCTTACCTTACGCCCGTCCTCGGCGATTACCTGGATGGATTCTACTCGGGTTTTGAAGGTGGACGAGACGGAGGCCTGAAAGTAGAGTTCATGGGCAGTGATGGTGGGCTTTGCGACCTGGACGTGAGTCGCCGTCAGGTTCTCGGTTGAGAGGTCCGGGTTTTTTTTAACCAAAGGCTGTGTTGACTTTGCCGTGCACGCCCTTGGCAGAACTTTTCCGGGCTGAAGAGTATCCTCTCTGGACCTGCCGGTGGGGTAGTCGGGTACGCGCTCACCAGCTGGGACAAGGAGAATCCTTCGCCCGTCATCGGGTCAGTCCCCTGTACACGCACCCGATACTCTTGTTTCGCGCTAACTAGAAACCACATGAACAGGTTCGACGTCGGCGGCACTTCGACCGATGTATCGAGGTACGACGGGCGGTATGAGATTGTCTACGAGACCACTACAGCTGGGATCAGCATACAAAGTCCTCAACTCGACATAAACACTGTGAGCTTCATGCGCGGATTGCTCAATTCACTCGGTGTTTCGAGGCTAATAACCAGATCGTTTTCGCAAACGCCATGCAGGTCGCAGCGGGCGGTGGCTCTTGCCTGACTTTTAGAAACGGGATGTTCTGCGCTGGACCTGAAAGCGCTGGTGCCCATCCTGGTCCCGCTTGCTACCGCAAAGGCGGTCCTCTCGCCCTGACCGATAGCAACCTTTTCCTCGGTCGTCTGGTTCCCAAGTAGTAAGGGTGGATCGACCTGTTTGCGCCTTTGTCCTGCCGATACTGATTTATGGCGCTTCGCAGCTTCCCTCGATGCTTTGGGCCGAAAGAGGACGAAGCGCTCGACCCGGCTGCATCGGAACGGGCATTCGAGGACTTGCTGCAGACGGTCCGCGCCGAGACTGGGTCGAACATGACCTTGGATGAGATGGTGCGTCCCGGCTAGACCTTACGACTCGGCCATTCTCGCCGACTGACAATTTCTGCGACTCGTCACAGGTATACGGCTTCGTAACGGTGGCAAACGAGACGATGGCTCGACCGATTCGAACTCTCACGGAAGCGCGAGGCTACGCCACCGCCAAGCACATGTACGTCCTGACCTTTCACTTGTCGTCAGACCTTGGCTCATGGTACTCCTGATACAGCCTATCCTCCTTTGGTGGAGCCGGTGGTCAACACGCATGTGAGATCGCCGAGATCTTGGGAATCAAGCGTATCCTCGTGCACAAGTACTCGTCTATTCTCTCGGCTTATGGTCTCAACCTGGCAGAACGGTGAGTGTGGGCAGATTGTTTGCGACCCAAATATCGAATGTACATATTGAATCCTCGTTGTTGCTGCAGGGTGCACGAGGTCCAGGAACCCAGCTCGGCGACGTACGAGCCGTCCACTGTCGGCATTCTTACGAAAGCGCTGGATCGTCTCGGGGCAATCGTCACCAAGGAGCTTCAACGACAGGGCTTTTCTTCCGACAAAATTCGCCTGGACAGAATGTTGAACATGCGTTTCGATGGCACCGATACGACGCTCCTCGTCTCGTGCGACAATGACGAACAGTTTGGGAACGAGTTCAGAAAGGCATACAAGGAGCAGTTCGGTTTTACGCTGGAGACCCCTATCGTCATCGACGACATCAAGGTCAAGGGAATCGGCAAGACCTTTGACGATCTGGGCGAATCGGTATTTTCCGAATTCAAGAGGCTCGAGCCGCGAAAAGTAACCTCGGACAAGGTCGACAGCCGGCAGTCGGTGTTCGTCTCGCCACCTGGAGCCAGCAAGGGTTCGCGGATGGATTTGCCCGTGTACGAACTCGGATCGCTCGAAGTCGGTGATGCGGTCGATGGGCCAGCCTTGATCATCGATGCGACGCAGACCGTCTTTGTCAACTCGTGAGTCGACCTTTCCTCGCCACACCTTTTTCTCACGCTGATCGTGAACGCTCCATACGCCCCAGCACATGGACCGCCAATGTCACTTCTCGTCATCTGCTCATCACCCGCGACTAGGCCGACTCGTCATTGTAACCCAGACACACGAACACGCGCGAGCGGAAACGTTGTAACAAAATCATGTACCATGAAAAGGAGCCATGAATTCCGGGTCTATCGATAAGCCAAGGCCCGATGTGGCGGGCCGGTCTCGACCGGAAAATGATAGGAAAGGGTGGGGTTGGCTGGCCGCGCTAGCAAACGCCCCGGGGATCGTCAGCCGAGATCCAACTGACTCAAGGCCGACCCAGACCTTGAAAGCTTGTGTATCATTTATATGATCATTTGACATTTCGAGCGGTCCTAGCTAGACATCCCAAGACTCACTCTTACTGGCAACAAGATCGACTGGTCCACACCATGCTCAACGCCTACCCTACCGCCATCGATGTCCGACGAGCTTGTCGTTCAGGCGCCTTTCGCGAGCCCACCGCAGGACAGTGTCCCGGTTACACGCAAACCAACCTGATCGTCTTGCCTGAGAAACACGCTGCGAGTTTTCGTACGTTGTGCGAGCGCAACCCGGTCAGTTGTCCTCTGGTCGGTGAAACGAGAGGTAATGGGGACCCTCGATTTCGTACCCCATTGGGAGAGGACTCTGATGTCCGATTCGATGCTCCTGGTTACAACGTGTAAGTCGGTTTTCGCTTGCAGAATCGCTTCGTGCATTCCTGACCATCCGTCTTGTCAGCTACGAGAACGGAAAGCTCTTGCATGACGATATCCCAGATATCAGGGACTACTGGCAAGACGACAGTGTCGGCTTCTTGAGTCAGTATATTTCGTCCTTGAACCCTTGAGTATACCGCGCTGATAGGGCCATCCGTGCAGTCGGTTGCTCTTTCACTTTCGAACAGGCGCTATGTGACGCAGGGTTGACACCACGACATATGATCACGGGTGCCAACGTCCCGATGTACAAAACCAACTATCCCTTGCTGCCCGCCGGAGGTGAGACCTACTATATCATGGTGGATTGAATGACCGAAATTGATAAGAGCGCTCTGGCAAACAGTCTTTCGCGGCGAGATGGTCGTCTCGATGAGGCCGTACAAAAGGGCGGATGTCGAGAGGGTCCGTGATATCACTAGGCCTTATGTCAAGACACATGGCGAACCGGTGGCATGGGCAAGTCGCAACATTTCCTCGTTCTTGGACGATCTGTTCTGACCTGACAAGCATCTCGCAGGGTCCCGAAGGAATGAAACAACTCGGTATACACGACCTTTATCGTCCCGAATTCGGGGACGCTCCCGAGCCTTTGGCGGACGACGAGATACCCGTCTTTTGGGGCTGTGGGGTCACGCCTCAACAGGTGATCATGTCGAGTCCGCATGTCAATGGCTTCGTCATGGGTCACGCTCCGGGCAAGATGATCTGCGTAGATCTCCCTGTCGCTGCGGTTCTGAGCTCTTAGTATGCCACATTGTACAGGTTACGAAGTATTGCTCAAGTTCGCGCGTTGCCACTGTATTTTGCATTGTACCCCTATTCGATTCCGGATTCTCAAGCGTTCCCTTGCAAACAGGCACCTGACAAATGGCTCAGACGCATCCTGCTTCAAACAATGGCTCAGCTGACAAAGTGCTATCTTCGATTGCGAAGCTCGTGTTCCTGTACGTTTCCTGAAATCAAGCATCGTCTGTCGGGCGATCTCGGGGACTTTTTTCGAGTTCCCGGCCAAGCGCTCGCTTGTAGCGCGAATACGACTGCCGTGCCAATATTTCCGGTACCCACGCTCCATATAGCGGAAAATCATAGGACCGTGGTCTTGTAGTCAGGTCAAGCGAGGAGACCCCACAATACGATAGCAGTTCCGATCCAGTATCATATTCCCGGCAGAGGGAAAGCCAAGGATACGATGGTCGCTATCGTGATGAACGTCGCTCCGATCACAGCGTCTATCAGTTATATAGATCCTCTTGATCGGACTCTGTGACGACAGCAGCCGATGTGCGTGAGGTCAACAATTCCATCAACAAGCAGAACATCATGTCCGTTTACCCCATAGAGGACAAGGTCAATCCTACTGCCAAGGACGATATCGAGACCAAGATCGTCGACACCGATCTTGCTAATCAAGGTTACATCGAGACCGACGATCAGACTGCCCTGGCTCTGTACGAAATCCCGGACGATGAGCGCAGGAGACTGTTGCGAAGGCTCGACTCTCGGATCGCTCCGCTAGTCATGATCCTTTACCTTATCGCTTTCTTGGATAGGAGTAAGTTGCTCTATATACCCGATTGGCCTTTTGAGATACTGACAAATCGGCCTCCACCCCGTTTCATCACAGGCAACATCGGTATGCTTAGCTTCCTGGAAGAATAATCGGTCTGACTTCTGATAGCTAACGTGGTCGTAATTACAGGTAATGCCGCTGTCGGAGGAATGACCGCGGACCTAAACTTCCCCTCCAACGGTCTCTCGGTTGCGACTTCCATCTTCTACGCTAGTGAGTTCGGGTCGGGTGAGGCATCGATACATTTCATCTTAGTCTTGCACTACTTTGACAGCCTATGTAATCCTCGAGGTTCCCTTTACGACGCTCCTTCGAACGCTCAGGCCGAGTCGTTTGATTCCCGGCGTGGTCTTGGTGTGGGGAGGCGTCGTCCTCGGCATGGGTTTCTCTACCAACTACGCTACCATCTTGGCCACCCGTCTCTTACTCGGAGGTCTCGAAGCCGCTCTCACCCCTTGCTTGATGCTCTACTTGACGACCTTTTACCAGCGGAACGAGCTTGCACTCAGGATGTGCTACCTGTTCATCTCGGCCGCGCTCAGTGGATGCGTTGGTGGACTCATCGCAGCGGGATTCTTGAAGATGGACGGACTCGCCGGGATCGAAGGCTGGCGATGGATCTTCATCATTGAGGGTGCTCTCACCATCGTCGTCGGTATCATCTCTGCCTTTATCATCGCCGATCGATGGCAAGACGCTACGTACCTCTCGGACAGGCAGCTGTTCTTGATGAAGGTCCGTGATGCCAAGGCTGCCATGTTCAGCAAGGACGACGGGTTCTCGACCGTCGAGATCAAAAAGGCTTTTACGTGAGCAGATTCGCCTGAAATCGATTCATGTCGTTGCTAATATCGCTACATGATGACAGCGATCCTATGATCTACCTCTCGGGTCTCGGCCAGTTTCTCTTCGATGTCTGCCTTTACGGATTTGTAAGCGACGGGTTAGGGCAGATCATGATGGAAACGATGACTGACCCGCTGTCACTGTCCGGCTCAGAGCACCTTCCTGGTCGTCATCATCAATCAGCTCGGTTTCGACAGGATTGAGAGCCAGGCCATGACCGCGCCCGTATATTTTGGTGAGCTTGCACCCTTCAACATCATCGATTCGTGACCAGATCGATTGAACAGGCTTGCATCACATACAGTTGCCGCGATGGTCTACCTGATCGGCGCGTTGATCTCGGACAAGTACTCGATCCGGTGGGGCCTCATGTTCCCCATGGCCTGCGTATCCATTGTCGGCTACGTCCTCCTCTGCGCAGTGCATAACAATGCCGTCAAGCTGTTCGCATGCTTCTTGGCCGGAGCTGGAATCTACATCTGTGTCGGGTTGCATTTCACCTGGATCGGACGTGAGTGATCGCATCGCGGTACCGACTGTCTTTCAAAGTCAAGAAAGCTCAACCTTAACCCTCTTGTTGACGGGACAGAGAATATCGCCGGTTTCCGCAAACGATCCGTGGCTATCGGAATGCAACAAGCTATGGGAAACACCGGAGGGATGTGAGTATCTATGATTGTCTTGATCCTACTGCTAAAACGCTCGCTGATACTTTACCCCTATCTGTAGTGTCGCCGGCCAGATCTACCGCTCGACTGATTCGCCCCGCTACCTCTTGGGTCACGCCGTCTCCTTGGGTTGTATGGCAGGCGCTCTGGGCGTAATCACCCTCGAGTACTTCATCTGGAAGCGCCGCAACACGGCTCGCGATGCCATGAGCCAGGAGCAAAAGCTGGTTGAAGATGACGCCGGGATCGATGGCGATAAGCATCACAGCTTCAGGTATGCTTTGTGAAATCGGCAGCGCAACAAGGCTGGATGAATGTCCACGGACAGAAACGACAGGATGGGTTGAACCAGGAGGAACAGGAAATACAGATAGATCGTTGTATCCGTTGTCAATAAAAGATTGCTCCCTTGCGTATATCTGACTGATTGAACTTGATCGCGCGTCGATCAACCCCTATCTCTTGCTCTCGTTAACCCTGCAGTTTCCCGACGTGCTTGACATCAGCTCATGACTCTATCACCCGGTCCTGAGCTCGCTAGCAGATTCCGAATGGGGTCGACCAGCCCGAAATCGGTCGTGTTCGGGATTGATCGCGGAGGCCCCACACCCCTTGGGATCCTGGTTCGAGCATACTATCTATCGTCATATTGTTCTATCGCCCTTCAGCAGTTGCGTAGTGGATCGACAAGCGACAAGGGGAATTGTTCGTCTGCCTACAAGCAAGCTCTCTCAGCTGATAAACACCGTCCAGCAGGTGACGACTACCTCCTAGAGTCGTCGACATGGAACCCACCGCAGCCAACGCTGCAGCCGGTCCTTCCACAACGAGCGGTGGAACAAAGCGTCGTCGGAATGTCGCGAAAGCTTGCGAGAACTGCCGAAGAAGGTGAGTGATGAGGGTTCAATGTGACTGCCTTGGCTTTGAACTGATGGAACGAGAAACCTAGGCGTGCCAAATGTGATGGAGTGCAACCTGAATGCGGAACTTGTCGCGGTTATCACGTACGTCTCGACAGCCAAGTTCATAGCTCGAACCCCTTCCTCGCTGAAAAGACCTGGTATCACAGGACGAATGTCATTGGGACGCCAAAGCAGACTCTCGACGCTTGGCATCTCGACAGCAGATGGATGCCATGAGGGCTCGGGTCGCTGATTTGGAAAGACTGCTCGAACAAACGGGGGTCGATCCGTTGCAAGGCTCCACTTCTCACCAGGCCCTATCAATCCGGCCGGCGTCGTCCGGATTATCGTCTGTTCTACAATCTGGTCGTCGGCGAAGAGGAAGTTTTCCTGACGAGGAGGATGGTGGAGACGAGTTCGAGTCGGATCAGGCTGACCAGGAAACGGATCGGCGTACATCCCATATCGTAAGTCCACCCGGTGATCACGACTTGCTTTAGGTTCAAGGTTGTGCTGACACCCATATACTTGTGCGCTGTCATCAAGGTCGAGGCGCAGGGTGGAGATCTTCTTTTCCACGGACCCCTCTCAGCCTTCCATCATATCAGCAAGTCGCCAACCGCCACAGGGCTTCATCCTTTGATCAGTACGATCATTGCCGATGGACAGCCTCAGCCTCTAGGATACGGCAAGCATCTCCCTAAAGAGGTCTTCCTGACAACTCAGCAACATGATACGGCCATGGATCGGTTCTTTCGGTTTCACGCCGCTTGGTGTGAGTAACCGTTCTCGACTGAATTCCATACCGCTTGATTGAACCCTCGGGCTCCAGGTCAACGGATCACGAGACACCATTTCGAGCGGGACATGCGTCAAGCGATGATGACCGGATCGGCGCCTACACCTCACTACAGTCCACTCCTCCACAACGCCATCCTGTCTATCGCACTATGTTATGCAGACGAGGATCATCTACGTTTCCCTGGGACCCGCAAGGTCTTTGCACAACAGGCCAAGACTTATATCGACCAAGAGAGTTCGAATCCGACATTGGCGACGGTACAAGGCTTGGCCAGTCTATCGAGTTATCATTCGCTCGAAGGTGAACATAATCTGGGATGGACGTACATGGGACAAGCGTCGAGGCTGAGCCAGGCTCGTGAGTGCATAACCACGTATGTCTAGTTCTCGAACACTCAGGCGCTGCTTTCTCGTTCAGTGGGATTGCACCTAGATCCAAGTGCGCTCGTAGAATCTGGCAAACTCTCGGCGACAGAGGCCAAAGAAGTGAGCCGACCGATTTGTCATTGACGATCTATCGCTTATACCACTTGCAAAACACAGCGCACCGTTGTATTCTGGTCGACCTTTTCCCAAGAGACCGCCTGGAGCCCCTATATCGGGAGAGTGGGGTCTCAGATCGAATACACGTGGGTTGTCTGTCTCGATATCAGACAATGATTCTCGGCTTACTCTGTTACACCATTCGCAGGACTTCTCTGCCAACGCCTGACGTCGTTACGAATGAGCTCGAATGGACGCCTTTCGATGGCGCCGATACCGTGAGGAATGGGTCGTGTCATATCAGCACGGCGTTTGTGGAGACGGTCAAGTTGCTCAGGATCGGGCAGGATATCATGAATTCGCTGTAAGCGCGCCCCGACCTCTTCGAGGATCTGCATAAGCTAACGATGAGAACGACCTGAAACAGCTATAGCATCAAGGCGAACGTATCAGCCATCGGTCGATCAGGATTGATCAGCGAGATTAGGTGAGTCTTTCGAGCTCGAATCATGCTAGATCGTTCAGCCTGCTCAAGCTTCCTCAAACTGCGTGACAGCCTCGCTTTGACGACATGGAAGGACGAACTCCCGTCTGCCGTCATTCTTACCGGCCATTCCGACTCGAACGCCTACCCACACATCATCATGATGCATATCACCCATATGTGGCTCATCATCCTGCTTCATCGACCGTTCTATCGCAAGGTGTCGCCCATACCCGGAAGTGGCTCTGAGGAGATATCCGAATCGGTCAAGGTGAGCCGTCCGATTTGGCTCTGGATTTTTGAGCTTGCCGGTCTGACGGCGTCGGTATACAGCAATGCGATCGAGCAGCGCTCCGTATCATAACCCTTTTAAAGATATGGCATCGCCTTTATAACCTACGTTACACCACCCCGACCGCACTCCAGGCGGCCTTTACGGCGGGAACGACGTTTCTTCTGTCTGCTGTCCAGACTCGAGCGCCCAAGCGTCGCGGGAATGCGATCGACGGGGCCAAGGATTGTGTCACCATGTTACGCCACATGAGCCGTTCTTGGTCAGCCGCTGCTCAAAAAGCAGAGATTCTGGACGCGCTGGCTGCGGACTATGGAGTCAGTCCTGCGGTTCAAGGCGATGTCGTTGCGAATCGGGCTGCTTCTGCTTTTGGAGATCAACAACCTTCGCCAATCGCCAGCGTGCCTAATCAAAATGCGTTAGCGGCCAGTGGTCTACCACCAAGCGAGTCGCAAGCTTCGCCGCAAGTGCACGATTCCATCGAGCAAGGTGGACTCGTTGATCCGACGCAAACTGGGCAATCGGCTCCATATACGGGATATTCCTCCCAAGAAGGATCGCTCGACAACACTCAAGTCCCCTTCGACTTCGCGGCTGGACTGGACTTTCTGGACGATCAAGATTCGCAGATGCTTCAGATGCTGCTCGATCGGGTCTCTGTACCTCATGCTCAGATCTATCCCTTCCAACCCGGCTTGCTCGCTCAACATGATCAGCTGTCAGCCGGGCTTGAAGGGAGTGCAGCGTCTCTCGGCACGCAGTGGCATCGGTCATGGAATCAGAGTGGGTGATGGATGTACGTACAGACGGAGGATCAATTTCGAATTACATGGTTCGACAAACCGGAGAATAAGGTGGAGCTTGGCCGAGTCTAGCCTCGATTCACGTGAGGTGGCTGAATGACCTCGAGTCGTCCTAAGGACTGGAAAGCTACGATATTTGTCATTGCCATGACTTTGTATTTCAAAGCGTCTGCGATCAAGCGATACGAAAGTGCCCGTCCGTTGCCGTTCACCGAAGATACGCACCATGGTCTGCCTAAGAAGAAGTACGGGGAGCAGATCGAGATTTGTATTGGCCAAGGAAATGTTTCCCGTGGTCTCACCCCACAACAACAACAACAACAACAACAACAACATCGATAAGGTTCGCGTCCGAACGGAGTCCCCGCGCACCAACGGGATCTGAACGTGGGATGCCAAGAAGAACTTGCAAAAAAAAAGGTTAAAAACTCTCCGAGGCCATACTCGACAAACAGAGCAACAGAGCCCCACGGGACACACAGGGTCACTCACCATCGTCGGTAGCCGTGAGGCGAGCCGAGCCCCGTACCTTTTCTCGACAACTCCCGATCAATCGTGACGGAAGTTTCATATTCGGGGCCGGTGAAGACGTCGCGATGTCATCGAAGGATCTTTCAGGACATCTAAGTTCGATTCCGACAAGTGCCGAATCAGACAACAAACAACAAACTACAGATCATCGCCAATACGTTACGACAAAGATGGGTTATTCAGCAGATGATCGGCTGCCGTTCGGTCCTTCGCAAGACGTATATAAGGAGCAACTATCCCCCGTCAAAACGGCACTGGCGATGGAAAAGATAATGTCTTTCCATCATCAGCCTGGTAGGATCGACCGACGATCCCTGCCTTCCATCACGTACACCTCTCCGACTTTCAGCTTTCCGACACAGTCCGATACACTGGACATCAACCGATCCTACACATCGACATTCGTTTTGACTTTACACTCCTTTACCATACTTAGGCTTCGCCATCGATAACGCAAACCGCCACTCCAACATATTCTTCATTTGACATTAAACGCATATCGAGCCCCTATCCACCATCATGCGATTCCCGACCTCTTTCTTAGTCCCCATCTTGGCTCTCCTCGCCGTTAGCTCCGCTCGACCTCTCTCAGAGACTGAAGACAAGCGAGACGTCTCCTCTCGAGCCACTTCGACTCAAGAAGCCATCGCATTCTATACCACCGTCGTAGAGACTCAACATACGACCCAAACTTCGACTATAACTGTCGTCACGGCTACCCAGACCGCACACGTCACTCAAACTCGAACCGAGACTGAAACTGAAACTGAAGTGGATACGGTCACCGCCTATGTCGTGGCGAGCGGGTTGCCTTGTCAAGCTGGAGGTGGGCAGCCTGTCGTCACGTTCACCGATACTGCCGTCGGTGCGACGTCGACCTCGAACTCGACCTCGGCACCTGGATCAGGGCCGGGTAGCAATAACCTTCCCAGTAGTGGCCCTGCGGTCTCGTCTCCGGATAACAGCCCTAACACAGGATCCTCCGGTTCAGGTCCCAATTCCAACCCTGGTTCTGGACCCTCTCCCGAATCGACCTCCCCCCTGACCGTCCCCATCGCTCGCCCCGATGGGTCCGAATCGCACGTCGATATGGACGTTCCCAACATGACGCCCATCGTCCCGCCCAACGTGGATCCTGGCAAGATCGATAACATCAAGCCGGTCGATCAGGGTGACATGTATTACAGCCCGGAAGGTCATAACGGTGAGTCTTTGAGTCTTATAGTCGTCTGCCTTTCGTTCGGTTCATTTGACGTTCGGGCGACATTAATATGAGACTGACTAGGTGTTTGACGGTGATTTCCGAATACTGTAGACACCTCTATCGAACACAAGTTCACCTTGATCAAGAACAACTATACCTACCCTGCCATCATCGTCGAACACTCCCAGTACATCACCTCGGTCACTTGCGAGACCGGCGGGATCGCCGTCGATTTCTCCTCTGCCCAGGCTTACGATTTCGCCAAGCAGAACTGGAAGCCCAACTTCCTGCTCATCACCAGTAGTACCGGCCAAGGCTGCAACTCTTCCGCTACCGTAATCACCGGAGAATACACCTACTGGCTCGTCACCGACGTCTCATTCCAAGAAGGTCCGCTGATCGTCCACGCCAACGCCACCGTCGTCCCTATCGAACGAGCTATCAAGACGGCCGAGATCACCTGGGGAACCGTCATCCCCGGTCGACCGGCTTCAGGTAACAATGGGACAGCTTCGAGCGGGTCTGGAGTTACTGTCGGAGGATCGTTTAACAACGGGACCACGGGTTCTTCGAACCAAGGAGGATCGGGCACGGGATCGGGAACGAACGGGACTACCACCTCCCCCAACGTAGGAACTAACGGTACCTGCGCCCCACCTCCCTCCGACCAGATCCTCGGTTTCCCTACCGCCCCTCTGTGTGACGACTTTGACAAACTGCTCGACGACAAGATCGGTTACTTTGACTTTGACGCCGACTCGTTCGACTCGAGCTTTGATCAGTTCGCTCCCGGTCTCGCCTCTGAAGACGACATCGACTCGTTCTACAAGCGATCCTCCATCCGGAAGAGGTTTATCCCCCGTTTCCTGGTGAGGCTGGGACAAGGGATCCTGCAAGTAGCCACGGCGCCAGTAGCTGTCCCACTTCGAATCGCCCGTGCATACGCCCCGGCACCCGTCAAGCATTTGCTGGAAAAGGCGAGCACTCTCGACAAGGAAGCCAACAAGCAGATCGACTATGTCTACAACGTGACCGAAAAGGCCAAGCCCGAATTACAGCGGGCGACTCGATGGGGACCCGGACGTGTGCTTTGGAGCAAGAAGAAGACTGGAAACAAGAACAGCAAGACGGACGCCGAGATTCACCTGTCTTGTGTCAACTGCGGGTTTGAGACCCATATCAACATCGCCGGGAAAGTGGTCGTCGATTTCCGTGAGTCGAATAGCAAGGTCCTTTCTCGTGGCACATGTGCTGATGCGGTTATTTCCGTTTTACAGTCACCGCCGATGTTCGAACCGCCCATGTCAACGTAGCCGGAAACATCATGGCCGAAGCCAACCTCGCCATCGAGGCCATGTTCACGTTCAAGGACGGCTTCCAAAAGGAACTCGCCGTGTTCCCCTTGCCCGGACTCGCATTCGCCGTTCCAGGATTCTTCACCGTCGGACCGGCACTGAGCGTTCACGCCAAGGGAGACTTTGAACTCAAGGCTGAGGGCGGCGTCATCGCCGGTGGCAAGGCCGAGATCAAGAACTTTAACGTCAACCTCGACATTGCCAACGGAGACTTCCAGCAGTCCGGATTCAAGCCCGAGTTCACTCCCAAGTTTGACGCTTATGGGGAGGTCACTGTCGGCGCTTCGATCGCTCTCCCCATCTCGGTCGGAATCGGTATCACTGTCAACAAGTTCTTTGACCGCAAGATCTCTCTCACTTCGACCGCCAAAGCCGCCGCTTCCGCCAAGTACGCTTTCGACACCGAGAATCCTGGCAAGTGCAACAACGGTATCGACTGGGAAATTGTCGTCAACGAAGCCGTCGATGCCGATCTCTTGGGGTTCAAGCAGCTCGACCTGTTCAACGTCGACCTGGTCAAATTTGGTAACTGCTATCTGTGAGTCTCCCGGAAGCGACGTGATGGATCGTTACCTTGAGCTGACATCGAACCGTCGTGCTTACAGCTTGGGAAGCAAGCCTACCACACCTGCGCCGCCCACTACGCAGCCTGACGACTCCGAGCAGCCAGCCGGTTCTGAGCAGCCCGACGGTTCCGAGCAGCCGGCCGAACCCAACCAGCCTACCACACCCGATCAACCCGAGCAGCCTGAAAACCCCGACCAGTCTGAACAGCCTACGGATTCCGATCAATCCGGTCAGCCGTCCAACCCTACAGAATCCGACCAGCCGACCCAAGGTGCAGAGGAACAAGGCGATAGCGCAGACGCGAATCAATCTGCGACCGAGGATCAACAAGATCAACAGCGTCGTCGACGACTTGGCCGAATTCAACGTCGTCAGGCTACTGCAACCTCCGAAGTCATGAAAGATCCTGCCGTCAACATGACCATGACCAGCACCGCCACCGATTCGAGCAACTCCACCACCGTAGATACCACCGGTTCCAGATCCAACCAGACCGAGACAGAAGGAGAGGTGCAGGACATCGATTCAGAATTCGACGCCGACGAGACCGACGCTCAGCTCGATGCCAACCTGTTCAACGCTACCGACATCGCTGCTGCCGCAGACGCCAACTCCACCTCTACCGACAGCGACGATGAACCCAGCTACGTCTTCCTCAGCGCATGGGACACTACCGAATTAGGTGTCGGCGAGGACGACAACCTATACTTGTACGACTCGGCCGGTGCCGATTCCGACAAATGGCTTTACCTGAACGGGACGTTCGTCTCTTCGGCCGACGAATCGCTAGTCTTCCACTACTACGCCGACACTATGGACGCTCTCGGTGTCAGTCGACTCAGGGTATCTGAGACTTCTTCCATCCCGGTCACCGCGGACGTCTTAACCTTCCTCGCTGTCCGGGATACCGAAGCTGGCAAGGCCGGGATCGTCCAACAAGGCGCCGACCTTTTCCCCGCTACGACGGACGGCAAGATCTTTTACACCGTCATCTGCGACTACGAAGACCCTAGTGCGAGCTCGAAGATGTTCCTCGTAAAGGACCTCGATGCCGGTGTGGCTAGGTTGGTAGAGGACGACCTGCAGTATATCGTCACCGGTGGAGCTGTTCAACAATGTCAATACTGGCCCCTCAAGGCGGCTGTCACTGGGCTCGACCTTTGATTCTTTATTTCTTGAGGGTAGCAGCGATGAGACGTTGATCTAGTCAAGTTTGGGTAGGCTCGGTTTGTAAAAGGGCATTCAGAGAGGTATTAAAATGATCGCATGAATCGGCGTTGAATGAAGTTACGCGCGCGTTCCTGGGTTCGAATATGGTCATGAACTAGATACATGCATCTGGAAGTTAGACGAGGTCTCTAGTATAGCATGAGGGTGACGGCCGTCTTTGTATACAGTGTTTCGCTCGTGAATATCGCAGTCCGGACAGACGAATCCGTCCCCCATGAAACGCGATCTGAACCTGAAACCATTGCCGACCTTGAGCGATAAAACAAACCTCCGAGTAATGCTCCGCGCGACTTATCGAAATCGTCGCTGGTAGATCAATATCGTCGCATCGACTCGGTCCCGGATCATGACTGCATGACGATCGCTTGATGGACGCCCCGAGATCCCTAGGACTCTACCTCTGGCCTCTGACCCATTCCACCGTGATGTCTCGACGGACGTTTGCCTCGATCCCGACGGAGACCGCATCGGCGTTCGGACGATACTCGGTGCCCGCTGACCGGCGTGAAGACATCCCGTCCACTCTCGTTACCCCTATCATCGAGACTTGATATATCGTCAGACACTCATGATCGACTCTGACCGTCTGCGAAGTAACAAGATGGAATGGCTCGTTCGACACATGCCTCAATCATGTCTCCCCGTATCGAAAAATTCCCTCATGGCAACTACCACCAATTCGTCGTGCGCGGTCGCCCATTCTTCCCGCTCGCGGCCGAGCTGAACAATTCCTCCCTCTCCTCGTCGGAGTACATGCACGGGGTATGGTCTCGACTCAAAGATCAGGGCTTCAACACTCTGCTGGGAAGCGTAACTTGGGAACAGATCGAGCCTACAGAGGGAGTGTTCGACTTCACTGAGCTCGATCGGGTGGTCGAGGATGCAAAGAGGCACGATATGCACCTGGTCTTGCTCTGGTTCGGGTCGTTCAAGAACGGTAAGCCCGTATCTCTCTCCGAACGGCTTGCTCTCGAACTTCGTTGCTTGATTCTCATACCATTCATGCTATCGATAGGACAATCCACCTACATCCCACCTTGGGTCAAGACCAACGACAAACGATTCCCCCGCGTCCGGATCAACAAAGACGACTCTCTGCAAGTCCGCGAAGTCCTCTCCATCTTTTCCCAGACTTCGATCGACGCCGATGCCAAAGCATTCACCGCTCTCTTGTCTCATCTCAAAGAGATCGACCCTTCAGGTGGGGAAGAGACGGTCATCGCCGTCCAGGTCGAGAACGAGGTCGGCCTACTAGGAGATTCTCGGGATAGGGGCGAGTTGGCCGAGAAGGCCTTCCAGAGCGCTGTACCTTTGGACCTGGTTAAGAAGCTGGAAGAGCAGTGGGACTTGCTCAACGAGGAGCTCAAATCAAACCTGGCTCATTTCCGCAAGACCTTGAGCTCGACTGCAGGTCCTGGACGGGATAACCTCTCTTGGGGACAACTCTTTGGCGAATCGCCTCAGACGGACGAGATCTTCATGGCCTACCACTACGCCCTATACCTGGACCAGGTCGCCTCTTCCGGCGACTCGGGGTCGAAAAACAAGATCCCTCTATACACAAACGCCTGGCTTCGTAACACCTCCGGCGCCCCCGGTTCGAATACTACGGTGACCGACGGTATCTCCCCCGGAGAATACCCCTCGGGCGGGCCTATAGAGACAGTGCTAGACATCTGGCAAACGTTCGCTCCCAACCTAGATTTCCTCGCTCCGGACATTTACATGCCCGACTACCCTTCCACCTGCGCTGCGTACAAGCACCGTGGCCAACCCTTGTTTATTCCTGAACAGCGGGGAGACACATTCGGTGCGATCCGGATGTGGGAAGCCATCGGGTCTTATGGAGCTTTGGCTTGTTCGCCGTTTGGAATCGATACCCTGCCCGAGGGGATGAACGGGATGAAGAGGCATTTGGAGTTACTAAAAAAGGTCGCGCCGATCATCTTGGAGGCGAGGAAAGAGGATCGACCTATGACGGGTTTCTTCTTCGACGAACTCCCTCCCGCCACTCAGGATGAAGAGAAGGCGAAAGACCCCTCCCCCGAACGTGAAGTCACCTTCGGTAAATGGACCCTGACTATCTTCCGAGCTCACGTATTCGGGAACCCAGCGGCGGGGTACGGCCTGATCATCCAGCTCTCTCCCGATCGGTTCTTACTCATCGGCGAAGGTTTCCAAATCTCCTTCGCGCACACCGACCCGAAAGCGACTTATTCTGGAATCTTGTCGTTCGTCGAGAAGGACATCGAAAACAACACCAACATGGTCGACGATGGCAAGACGGAGTTGCGTACGGTCAGAATGTTGAACGGGGACGAGACGAGGTCGGGTACGGTGGCTGTCATGCCTAGCGAATCGCCCGAGTATGGGGTGGTTCCCGTAGCTATCCTCATCCCGGCTGTGACGAGGATCGCAGAGGTTCAGGCTTGTGCGTTGGGACTATGAGGTAGCGGAAGAGTCCCGTTCTTAGCTGTAAGATATAAGACATGTGATTCGGACGACTTCAGGAACGATAGCTTATCAGTGTACAGTTGAGTGAACCCTTGTACTATCAAGCTGTTGATCTCATTGCTATAGCGTCGATGAGAGAGATAGAGACACATGGACCATGGACGTTTGATCCTGGTTGCGACGGCTATATCATTGACAGCAAGGAAGTTAAGTATAGACAAGTTCGATTTTTTCTTCGTCGATCGAGTACAAGCCTGAAATGGAACATCTCAGGAACGACTGCTACTTGATCATGACTCACAAACAAACCCCTGAGTCGTGCATCATCGTTATCGCACTGCTTGATCCCCAAGCTCTCCATACTATATTCAAATTCGGTAGGTACCATCACTGTTCTTGAAGGCTCGCCTGAAATAGTTCGGCTCTTCCGGAGAGGCTAGAAGAAAGGTGATGCGTGAATTTCCGCTGTATCGTGTCCGTTTGGCGCTCTCTCTAGGCTGTTTGGGCTTGGTGACCGCGCCAGAATTCCCAGTACGTTTGTTCCTCGGTTGGGAGCCCGACGTAGTCTCAATCCGTCTAGCACCCTTCGTTTTCTCCGCCGCAACAGAATCGCTTGCGAGAATGGCTTGTGCCCGTTTTTCACCTTTCCTTTGTCCCTCAAGTGCTTCCTGTTGCATTACATCAACCGTTAGTCGTGACCGCTGCGGGCAAATCGGCTGCAAGCAAACCGACCTCGTGCGTTCTGAGACCTAAGTTCACGAGATACTGCCATGGAACATCAAGGGATTCTTCCATCCAGGGAAGATCAGCGCTTTCTTGCTCATTGGAGGTATTGTCTGGATCCGATATAGTCTGATAAGCAGTAGATAGGGCAGGGGTTCGAAAGGCCATTCGCGTATTGTCATGCGGGCGTTCCAGAAAGATGGATCAGGACGGCTGGAAAGTTCATCAGCTGATTGACTCACCCCTTGATCCGATGGATTCGAAGCGATGCACGACAGCTCCCCAGGTTCCGCGGGTGTTGGTTCTATCGTTGGTTCTATCGAGAATAGCAACCCGGAGGCTTGCGTAGAGGTCAAAGAATCTCTATGAGGAGGATCCGTGACAGATCGGTCGGGAAGTTCAGTGCGCATTGTTCTCGCTTCGATCTGATCAGAGTGGCTTCGTGCAAATGTTTGGCTCGACTGGATAAGATTGCCTCGTTCTACCAGGCTGCGGACTGGCACCACCACTGGTCAGCATTATAGTTTTGCAGTCCTCGCTGTGAACGAGCCGTTCTTGATATCGATACTATGGATAATGAAAGGAAACTGATTTTCGAAACAAGGGGCAAGATCGACCACAGCGTATTGCGTGATGTGGCGCGATCCTGTGACGCGCGAAGTTGTCTAACGATGTGATAGCCTTCATCGGTTCATGGCATGACCTGGGGGTCCGTCCTGGTATATAGGCGCCATGCCGATCAGTTGATCTCTCCTCACTGCCACCTATACCGTCAAGAGCCTTTTCGGATCGCTTGTGCTTCACCCGAAGCGATGGAACTAACAGAAAAACCTAGATGAGCGCGGGTTCAGGTGAAACAGTTCGCTATTTCTCATCGTTCCTTTCATTATGGCTATGTGGACAATCGGTCTCTCATCGCAATGCACCAGTACGCGTCATATTAGCCTGATTAGTGCTGTACGTCCTCTTTCGGTATGATAGCACACACCAGAAATTATCTCTGATCGATACATGAGATAGGCCCAAGAGCAGGATGAAACAGCTCGGATTGCTTCCGGCTCCGGTACGCGATCACACAGCCATGGGTATACAATACCGCAGACGTCCGCCATCATGCAATTCTCCGTCAATGAGGTGACTTTAGCCTTAAAAGTAAAACTCTAGGTAAGGCTCGTACAGTAAGGAAGCCAAGGCTGTGAACGGTCGATCCTGCTCATTCAGCTGCTCGATCTTGAAAGGCGGCCCTGATTAAAACGTATCACATCGCCTCATAAAACTGTATATCAGGCCGACAGCAGACGTCTACACAGTCCAGGCAAGATCTCGATACCGAAAAACTAGGGGTTCGAGCAAACTCTCTCGGTCTCGCTTAGATTTTGCTCGCGGCGTAGTACCGCAAGTCTCTCGCGATTACGTTTCTCCAGATCGGCCCGTTGTTTGTTGCACAAATCGTAGAGATACTTTGCCGCTTCCGATCCAGGGCTTGAACTACGGATTATCTTCTTCTTGACTGCATTCTTTTTGCTTTGAACCCCTTGATTTTCCGTGTCAAGCTGTCCGCCCCCTTGCCTGCGCTTTCGCTGAGGAAGACGGTATCAAGTCAAGACCAACCAGGTCAGAGCTCGAAACGAAGATACTCACCTTCAGAGACGGCGATCGAGACGAAGTGTCGACCTGAGTCTGGTCATGTTCTTCATTGGAAGAAACGGAGGGAGAATCTCCCCCAACCGTTACTGAATCTTCGCTTGCCGAAGGTGAGGTCTCCTGAGCGGTAACCGATGAAGTATCACTATCGTCAACTGGATCCCCGATCACCGTTACGGAAGAAGCTCGACTGGGGTTACAGTCTTCGGGTGGCATGTCGATAAGTAACGACGGCTGAGTCTATAGGAGTCTATCAATATGACAATACGTAGGTTGAGTACATGATCGCGACGACGTGGTCTCTTTATCGGTCTACTTCACGTGCGCGTATATAGAGCTCATCAGAGCTAGGAGCAGAATCGACGGATCCATCAGTCAGAGTCCAGCTTCAACCGCAGACCTACGGAATTAGTGCAGGAGCGGCAAAAAGAAAAGCGGCCAAGACCAAAAAGCAGCTGGAGAAACAAGAACGGGAAGCAAAGCAACTCGTCGAAACTCTTCCTACTGGCAGTTCCACGTTTCGACTCTTGCTACATTGCGCCACCTCGCGCGAGGCGGAGAATGTTTCAGAGCACGCGTCATGGGGATTTCGGCGTTACTGTACGTGGCTCATGAACGAGAGGAATCAGGGAGATAGGGAATCACATCGAAAAATCTTTAAGCTCATTGGTGAAGCGGTAAATTATCCGCTGTTATGGACACTAGATGCATCGATTGTGGCACACAGCCCTGACGCAATGATTCCCTGCCGGATCGATGTGTGTTCTGCGGGCTCCTACACATGCGACAACAGTACTAGCTACGGCGTGCGGAACGTTTGGGCTCGAGAGGCATCTGGATTAGCTCTGTTAGAGCTGTCATAACACTATCCACCTCTTCGGATCGCTTTTCACTGCCGTTGCCGGATCGATCCCCTGGCGACCTTTCCTCCACAATACCGATGCCCAGTGCCTCGCAGTATCGCAAGAGCCAAGGATCAGTGACCCGATACAGTTGTTCGACTTTGTCTGGCCCTCGAGCTGACTCAGAACCTCTGGAGACCGACTGTCCTCATAGTCGCGGTCAGTAAACGCCCAGCACTAATATCCCCTTGGTCTGGCTCACCGAACATGTGCATCGATTATCAGCGATACTTGTTACGGTTAATTCGCTTTCTTGGGATGCCACACTATCTATATCCCTTGTCAGCGGGCCGCCAACTAGATTGTTGGAGGACATGGTACTAGGGTTTTAGGTGTTGTAAGTTGCGGGAGACGTGTGTCAGTATGATGGGATGTCAGAACAAAAATCTCGCTGGGACTTGGCTTACTTGTACTATTCCGTCAGGATCAGAGCAGGACCAACGGCCAGATGGCGATCGCCAACATCATCGGCTACAAAGGAGAGACATGTGCTGCCTTTGGTGACAGTCAGGGGTTGTTGCATGAGTTCGAGGGTACTCCTTTCAGGAATCGTGCCCTTAGCATGTCAATCCTCCAGTGTCATGTGATGACACAAAGAACCTTAGGGATGAAAGGATTTATGGCGTCGCATGACCGATCGCCTACAAACGGCCCTGCATGCTTTGTCGATGGGGGCATACTCGCAGGGTCATAGCTCAGAGTGTCAGTTATTCAGAACGATCGTTAAGGTTGGCTAGCTGACATACTGCTGTCCTTGCTATCAAGGCAGACGTGTCTGTTGCGAAGGCCATGGACAAAGATCTCTCAACCGACAAAGCCGTTGATGGCCTTGCTAGGCAAGTTTCGAACTTCTTCATGGGGGCTACAGTGATCGCAAGGGTGTATCCAATTGACGCGCGACCGCTGAAGCCGCATGATCCAGATGAACTTCAATGTCCAGATCCACAGCGGCAGTGTCGCCCAAGTTGGATGTGACAATCGTTCAATGTATACACTACTTGATGACGATGGCTATGTGGTCCACCTCCAGTGGGCGCAGAAGTACACAGATCGGAAATGCACAGATTCGACATCACAGCTAATTCTGACTGTAAACACGAGTAGTACTCGCCGTTATAATCTAGGTTAGCATCTCAACAACACTGGCGTGCTTGACATTGTCCCCCTCGTGTTCCGCATGACGATCCGTGGACAGGCCAGCAATCATCAAACCCGACAGATCTGACGTCGAACGCGTCGCTTTTAGTTCTATCGATTCCGACACTGTACAAGGCTTAGGTACAGATACCAGCAGCACAGCCACATCGGAATAGACAAACTCGGGACGGACTACTCGTCGAATCCTTTTTCGGAATCACCCTGCGCCTTGGGGAGGATGAAATGCTGCCCATCGATCTTGCGGCATCGCCCTTCGAACTCGCGCGGCTTTTCCTTCAGATCCTTCCCCCCATTCACTTCAGGCCTTTTCATCTGCCCCGGAGCCTGTTGTGGAGTCTCTACCGAGTTGGTAATGCCACGCTTGCTGTGCGACCGAGTAGAAGCTGCCCGGATTCCGCCAAGATGCGCTCTTGTTCTTTCTCCCCCATAGCATCGAACTGTCTCATCAACGCTCGAAGCAAGTTGGCATTGTTCTGTAATCATGGAGTACGACAGAAAGATATCGTACACAGGCCAAGAGTCAATTTAGGGACACAATACGAATATGTGAATCGAGTTCCATTTCTTGACGTATCTGTTCTTCCAGCGTTGAAGGTTTATCATCGTCCCAATCAGACCATCCGTCATCAGATCTGTCTTCGGTTCCCGTTGGAGGCGCTTCCTCAAGCCTCTTTTCAGAATCGACCCCGGTTGACGAGGCGATAGACTTGTCGCCTGCATCTCTGGAAGAGTCCGGGTTGATCGCATCGGTATATGGCTTCAATGAAGAATCTGAAGGGGCGGAAATGCTGATCGATGACTGTGAATAGACGTTCTGGAAGTGTGAATCGGAAGATGAATGTGATTATACATGCTGAACACAATTTATAGAGAGTAAAGCGGTGTTGGCATTTATACGAGATCGCAGCCGAGTGAGTTCTGAAGCCTCTTTGAAGAACCCCCGACATCCATCAAAGGAGTAGACCGCATCTACCGTGTCGTCTCACCTCACCCATCAAAATACGCGTGAGAAACGGCTCGAGTCTGATCACGCCATCCACCTCTAACCTGTCTTTCCGGTCGGAAACATGAAGATGACCATAAATTCCAACTGGAAACAAGGACAGGCGGCGAGTTGCAGTCGAACTCAGTGGGCATTTGATTCTTTGGGCGTCGGACAGGCCGATTAATATAGCGCACGCAGCAAGGAACACGATCGGTGATCTAGCCCCTCTGCAACAATGAGATGAGGCATCTAGCTCTAAGTGCTCGAGACAAGCTGTCATTAAGCACTGCATCGAATTGTTACTGAAATCCGAAAGTCCTCCTCAATTACGTGGCCACGGCTCCTGTTTCGCAAGATCATCAAGCTCACTTTTGTCGGCGCGACAGCTTGTTAGTGAATTAGTGGCTGAAACAAAAACAACGCCGAAACCCTCACGTGACCAGTAAATTTACTTGATAACGCCTCGAACCAGGCAAGAGATCGATGACGTGTTAATTGCCTTTGATGACGTGTCAATCACAAATATATAAGGGCCTGTTTACTAACGGTCGGCGAGAATCGATTTTCCCGTTTTTTCAGTAGTTCTGCCGTAAAGTGGAGGCAAAAACTCATTTACTAGCGGCCGCCAGCCATTTTAATCACCGAGTTCACGTAAGAATAAATCTCGTAATTATTGGCTCGATTTTGGGCATATTGTTACGAGAGGGACTTCGACTCTTTCGTAAGGGCTGGCAAACCAGACTTTGGCTGTGCGTCGCTAGTAGTTTGTGGTTGAACGGCCCTTGACAAAGAGTATTCGACATTCGATTTCAATATAGCGCTCTTCTCGTCGTTTTCGTAAAATCGTCAACTTACGATGTCTAGAACTCCCTCTGAATTTCAAACCTCTCCGAACGGGCCGTCTGGGTCCTCCTCGCAGGGCGTACCAGCGTACGGAACCCATGCAGCCCAACAGCCACGGTTCCCGATGACCCTGCCGCCAACGCCGTCGATGAACGGTAGTATGGGTCCTCCGTCGTCCGTTTCGTCGATATCGCGAGCCGTAGCACCTAGTTCGCAAGAGGAACGTTTCAGACACCTCTCTACCCCCTCACCGTTTACGTCGACCCAGCAGCGAGTCGAAACGAGGTACGATCGACCGTTTGAAGGTAGTCAAGGCGATATACGCGATTGGAGGTCGACATCGGTGATTTCGCAAGTTCCGAACGGCTACGGTGTCGGATTTGGTGCTCCAGCGCCTTCCCCGAGTCCGGCAGAATCTGCTAGTAGTTCCCTGCAATTCAACGCCAAGTGGTTGGAAGCCGACGATCGACTGATGACGGAAATCCTGGTGAAATCGGTTCAAAACGGTACGGCTGGCGATAACGGCTTCAACGAGAAGACGTGGGGTGAGGTGGCGACTGCGGTGAATGCGATAAGGTCTCAGGGTGGCGAGAAGAACATCAAGTCGTGTATGAGCCGTTATCAAAAGGTATAGTAAACGTTCGAACATATATCGATCGGTGCTTACGATACTCCTGTGAAGTTGCGTTCCGACTACTTCGAGCCGCTGTACAAGCTTGCAACCGACTCTGGCTTAGGCTGGGATCCTGTGAACGGATGGGCTACGGCTCCTGAACAGGTCTGGGAGGATTTCCGAACGTCTACGGTGAGCTATCGACGTATTTGATCGATGAAGATGGAATTGATGAAGGTCGACATGTGCTTACGACGTCGACATGCGTGTGAATATGCTTCCGATACTCGATTTTGCCTCCGGAACAACAAACGACGCGAACCTTCGAACTCCACGTCGACATCGATTTCAAACGTTCATTACTATAGACTAAACTGAACAGACTGATGTTTCGATGGAGGCATAAGAAGTGGGACCTATACGACCTCTTCTCCATCACTCAGATCGGTCGTTGTGCGACTGGGGCTCACGTAGCGACCCCTCATAAACAAACACCTCGTGGAGCCAAAAACAAAGCGAAAAACAAGAGAAAAACGGTCGAGAGGGAAGACGACGCTGACGACGACGACGAGGGTGGTTCTGAGGCCGAGTAAGTGTTTGTTTCGCTGCTGTATATACCCTATTCTGTTCTGAAACAACGTACGGGCAGAACGAGCCAAACAACACCGTCGAAGGCCCCCAAATCGAGGAAAAAACGGTCTCGCACCTCTGCTTATGCCGATTCGAACGATTCGTTGACGTTAATTCATCAGGAGATGGCTACGCTCAACGAACAGGCCTCTCAGGCTGCGTCGGCTCATCGTTTGACGTTCGAGAAGGTCACCGAGGCTGCAGCGATACTGAAACTCGATCACGTCGACCGGAACCGTTTGAACTATTACTTCATCAAACGACCTCTCGAGGCGACGGCCTTCCTCTCTGTACCCGACGACTTCCTCGAATTCTATGTGGAACGCATACTAGAACAGGAAAGAGAGAGGGAGATGGGGGTAGAACGTCGCCAACGTCGACGAACGGAGGGTGTTTAGTAGGGGTTTCGATAGATCGAACGGGAGGTGGGTGATCTCGTTCGACCGTTTCAAATCGCGATGTTACGAGACAACCGAACGATCTACTGATACAACAACTACATCACCTTCTTCTAGGCCTTCCCCTACGTCGTCTCGGCCTGTTCCCACCGTTGTAGTCGTTCCACATCTCTCTCGCTATCGCATCGCGTCTCGACTCCATGAGAATCACCGCTTCGTCTCGATCGACCCCTCCGTCCGCGTCTTCCTCTCGTTCTCGTCGTTCTACGTCATCGACATCGTCACCGACGTCTTCGAACCTCTCTATGTCGTTACAGTGAATGGCGATGAAGTTGTTAAGGCAGAAGCAGACGTAGATCATCACGACCTGCGTATCGATGGGGTAATACGTTCCGTAAGCGAGTATCTAGGTCGATATCGTCGATGTCGAGTCAGTGAATACCGTCGACGTCATCAACAACGGCTGAGCTGGCTAGAACTCACTGGATATCTACGTTTGACGACCCCGAACGCTCGTTCTATAGTCGTACGAGCCGACGAGTGGCGATAGTTAAAGAGTTCTTGATATGTTCGAGGATTTCGACTGAAAAAACGGATACCCAGCGATGATGTAAATCTATGAATGTACCGTTCGCTGACGGTGCGAGTGGGCACCGTTTGGCTGGGGGACTCACCCATTAGGTGCCGAATTCCATTCTTGTAAGTGGTATCGTGTATTTCGATAGGGTATGATGAGGTTTTCGTCCATCGTAAAGCCGGCGTCGGCGAGGTAGTAATACCCCTCTGGTACCTTCAAACCCTCCGTAAGGGCGTCTTGATATACTCTGCCGTCATGTCTAGACCCCTCCCATCCAGCTAGAACGTAGGTGAATAGCATATCGAATCGACAACAGGCTAGAACGTTCATAGACACGCCGTGTTTTCGCGTTCGATACGCCTTTCGCTCCGCAGCCGGTGGATACGCCTGTACGAGGGTGCCGTCGATAGCACCCATAGCTGATGATAGTAGAGGCCCGTAGCCGTCTCGTTCGAGGACTTCTGCGTCGGTAGGGAGGGTCTGAGGTGTATCTTGAACGACATATCGATCGTAGAACGAGGGATCGTAAATCGCTTGAAGTACCTCGTTGATGAGCCTATAAAACGGTGGTGGTGGGTCGGTGACGTTCGTTGGCGGTGGTGGGGGGCCTGTAGGTGACTTCTACGTACAGGTGGATGGTTCTTAAGGAGTACTGGAACACATCTCGTAGCGTACGGTCGCTGGCTCGTCGACGTAACATCCAGCACGTTATTCCTATCTTTATTTGGGCCGATACGTTTATCGTTGACGATACGAGGTCTAGGTCTTCGAGCTCTTGCGTGAGGTGTCGGAAGGCGTCTGTGTACATGCCTGTGGCATCCCAGCACACCTCTGGGTGGCCTGAGGTCCATAAGTCAATCTTATATCGAGCTCGAGCGTTGTCGGTAACGATTGGCCGGGGAACTCGTTTGGCGTGTTCGATAGCGGCGGCAAACGCTGCGGTGAAGAATATACGTTGTAGGGATCTATTACGAGCGTTTCGAGCTTCTATTATGGCTGTTTGTTCCTCAGAAGAGTCGATTTCGGATACCTCTGAGCTCGTTATTGTTGATCGGTCGCTCACGCTGTCGGACTCCATAAGTTTTCGCGTTTTCGAGGTCTAGAGAACGAACTAGATATAAATATCGATATGGCTAACTTGGAGGGTGAAACTAGAGGTCCCCACGATGTCGTACATGCTATTTAGAACGTTGTAGCAGTGTTTCATAGTTGTCTACATCGTCTAGAACGTCAATTGAAAACATGTCGATAGGTGAAGTCGACATCTTACGCGTTTACGTAAATCGAGGTCGGAAGCGAGAAAAAACGGTCTAGTAAACACCCCTCTTTGGGCTTCCCTCGCGATTCCAAATTTGTCAGCCAACTGCTAGTAAAACGTGGAATTGGCCGGGAATGGAAAAAAATAGTCAAAGTGCAGGTAAACAGGCCCTAAATAGCCGGTCCCCTGTCTCGATGCCATAGCCGAGCGATCAACGATTGATGACGATCGTTGATCAGATCAGATCAAGGGGGGATTGGCTGAAACATCATCAAACAGCATCATCAACAGTACTTCGACCACAACGCTTTTCGGCATACAGTACAGTTCATACGCAACATAGACATCGAAGCACACGTGCAGGATGATCGGCCGAACCTTCCTCCCGGCAGCTCGACAGAGTGCGGTTTGCGCACGCGCACCGTATCTTCCATCAACACTCCTATTGACCTCAGCCTTACGTCCGACCTCGCTCTCATTCTTCAGCTCTTCCTCTCAAACTCAGAACCTATGCCAACGACGAATACCCATACAAAGACGTCTTCTGAACAGCGCCTCCCACGCTCATACCCCTGAACTAGTCTCCGTTCACAAGCACAAACTCGGATCCGTCCCCAGCCCAGCCGAGAACATCGGAGAACCCCCTATAAAGCAACCCAACAAAGAGGAGAAGAGGAGGGGAAAACTGTGGGACTCGGCGGACGAGGCGGTGAGGGATTTGAAGAGTGGGAGTGTGATCTTGAGCGCCGGTGAGTCCGGGTTTTGATTCGGGCGAGAGGAGGAGATGGGGGGAAAACGGGGAGATTGGGGGAGGTGGGAACGAAGAAGAGGGGGAGAGAAAGGACTGATCGTGTTTTTTCTCTTTTGCTTCTACTTCTTTTCGCGTCTATCGTTTACCGCCTCATCTCCCCCACTCCTCCTTCACTTCTCCCATCTCTCCCTCAACTCAAATTTGGATCGCAGGATTCGGTCTATGCGGCGTAGCAGAAACCCTAATAACCGCCCTGAAAAACCATCCTAACTTGGACGACCTGAGCTTTGTCAGTAATAACGCTGGGATCACGCATACGGGCGGGTTGGCCCCTCTCATCGAGCACGAACACAAGGCCTCATCACAACCAAAAGCTAGACCGAAAGTCCGCAAGATAACCCTCTCCTACGTAGGGACCAACAAAGCCCTGGAACGTAAATACCTCTCCGGCCTTATCCAGCTCGAACTCAGTCCACAAGGTTCGATCGCTGAGAGGCTCCGGTGTGCCGGACACGGGATCCCTGGGGTATGGACGAGGACGGGTGTGGATACTGTTGTTGAGCACGGGGGGATCGTTCAGAAGTACGTCCCCGACGCCTCGAATGGCGAACAAAAAGGACAAGAAGGGGTTGTGGGTAAAGATAGAGATAGAAGTGGAGCGTATGATAGGGAGGTAGAGATCCCCGGGGACAAGAAAGAGACCAAGATCATCGATGGCAAGAAGTACTTGTTCGAGCCTGCGATCAAGGGGGACGTGGCGATCTTACGGGCTTGGAAGGTGGATAAAGCTGGGAATTGTCGGTTCAGGTGAGTCTCAGTTGGTCCGCTTTCTCAGGCCGATTCGGGTCGGATCGGGTTGGACATCGCGATAAAAAGAGGAAGAGAGCTGACCGATTATTCTTGCTTTTCACCGTCCGCTTTCTCTTTTTGTTCTGTTTGCTTCTCAACAACCGCCGCACCATCTGGTCGGAAAATCCTCTCGCCGGGCAGGTATACAACTCGGGCTTTCGCACCGCTCATGGCCAAGGCTGCCAAGTTGAGCATCGTCGAGGTCAGTCCCGGCTGTTACGATGCTTATTGGAGTCTGAATTGAGAATGGGCGGATAGCTGATCTACGGAGCATGGCTTTTTTTCTATACTTGGCGGTTACACCTTTCTCTCCACATCGTATTCGGGTTGCGAATGCGATGTGGTTGAAATTCTGGACCACCCCGTTGTTCCCCTCAATTTGCTCCTGCTCTCCGGGACTCGACTTCGCCTCGACTGGACTTGACTTCGCCTCGACTGGACTCGACTTCGCGAACTAAATCGCGTTTCCAACCGTGCGACCGGTACCTTCGACCTTCCCACCCCACCCTTCGCTCTCAAATAACGACTCCCACCACTCCGACCTCGACTCCCACACATACCGAGGTATACAGGCGGAAAACATCGTCGAGATCGGCGAACTAGGACCGATGGACATCGACCTCCCTGGAATCTACATCGACCGGATCGTGCCGGCCACTATAGATAAGTCGATCGAGATCGTGACCTTGCGCAAGCCCAAAACCGGGTCCGAGAAGAAGGACGACACCGCATCCAACAAAGCTAACAAAGAAGACGCCACATCGGACCCCAAACTCACCGCCCGTCTCAAACGTGAAAAGATCGCCCGCCGAGCTGCCAAAGAGCTCAAAGACGGGTATTACTGCAATCTGGGCGTCGGGATGCCCGTCCTCGCTGCGTCCTACTTGGAACCCGGTGTCAAGGTCTGGTTGCAGAGCGAGAACGGGATCTTGGGTATGGGAGAGTACCCGACGGAGGACGAGGTCGATGCGTGAGTTCAAGTCGAGCCGGGGCGGTGGAATGATATGGCGAGATCGTGACGAGGACAAGAAGCTGATAGAAGGAACGTTGCCACAGCGACATCATCAACGCCGGTAAAGAGACTGTCACGCTCGTCCCCGGTGCGAGCGTGTTCGACAGTTCAGAGAGCTTTGGGATGATCCGGGGCGGGCACGTCGACGTGTCGATCCTGGGTGAGCGTGAACACCTTGCTCCATCCACGAAAAGGCGATAGCTGACGATGCCGAGCTCCTTCCTCTCTCTGCGGCAGGCGCCATGGAGGTCAGCGCATCCGGCGACCTAGCAAACTTTATGATCCCCGGTAAACTCGTCAAGGGCATGGGCGGGGCCATGGACCTATGTTCGAACCCGGACGATACCAAAGTGATCGTCGTCACCGACCACCTGGACAAACACGGCCAGCCCAAGGTGGTCTCCGAATGCTCGTTACCTCTTACCGCATCGAGGGCGGTCAGTAGGATCATCACCGATATGGCCGTATTCGACGTGGATCGCCTCGGTGGCGGTGGGTTGACTTTGGTAGAAATAGCTGAAGGGGTCACGGTGGATGCGTTGAGGGAGGTTACCGGGGCTGAATTCCAGGTGGCAGAGCATCTGGGCGAGTTCCGCTAGAGAGGACCGCCAGGGTCATGAGAGCAGGATTTGTACGAATCATCGAGGATTGTATCTTTAGCATAATGAGATGGTTGCATCGTAACGCAGTTTGCACGTTCAACTGCGCATCTGTTTGGCGATCGAGTTGAGAGCTGAAACGTTCGTGATCTGTTGTTAACGGAGTTGGTAACCAGACGACATCCGGCTGCCGATACCCCTATCGGCGATCAATCAGTCCCGACTTGATCGGACAAAATATCGGTTTGATCCCTGAGATATGGCAGCACATGGTCGTCAACAATGTCGCAGCGGTCGCATGTGTCGCATGTGCCGTAGCTGTACCTGAGAGTCGAATGTGACAGTGAGAGGATCGGCTGATAGGACATGTCCGAAGACGCGCGCTAGCAAAGCTAGTAAATGGCGGGATGGTTTACGATTCACGATCTCATTGAACCCCTATCTCCGCCGACCCCAAGTTGCATGCACATGGGTTCGACGAGCAGGACGATCCGTGACCCCGGACTCTCGAGGGTAATGTCGCTGAGGTAGCCGGCCGTCTACCGATCCATGTGGGTATAAAGGCGAGCAATGCAGGCAACTGTCGAGGCTGTCACATCGCGAGCAATAACATCATTCCGCTAATGCTTGAATCATTTACACTGCTCTATCACTACGATGAAGTCGATCGCTGCTCTCCTTTCCTGCTTGGCCTTGACCGCTGCCTCCATCCAAGCCCACCTCAACGTCGTGCTCACCAACGACGACGGGTTCGGGTCCGCCAACATCCGGGCTGTTTACAACGAGCTGAAGAAACAGAACCACAACGTGCTCATCGTCGGACCTGCCGATCAACAGTCGGCCAAGGGAGGCGTGAGTACCTAGCCTACCCGGGTTGATCCAAGTTTGTCTGGAGCTGATCATTGAATCTTCTTGGAACGATCATAGACGACCGTATGGCCGACTAGCAACTTGACAAGCGGCGGTCGAGGTAACCTCCTCACCGCCGGTCTGCCTTATGCGGGCACCGAGCCTGGTGTTGACAACCCTGCTATCGTGAGCTTTATCCCGTCTTTCATTCCGAGTCACTTGTCGATTGAAATCTATACGCTGACCCGAACACCATACGCTGCGCGAACAGACATATTTCAACGGGACTCCTGCGGCTTGTGTCTTTTACGCCCTCGACGTCGTTGCCCCTGTGTAAGTCCCGCTTCCCTATATCTATCACTGCTCCAAGTCTGACCCTCATGCCCCTCTATTCCTGATTCTCTTCGACAGCTACTTCAACGTGAGCCTATCCCCCTCCCCAACCTTTATACCAACCCCATCCTAACCCCTAATTCCCGCGTCGACTACAAAACAGAACCAATCCGTCGACCTAGTAGTCTCCGGAGTAAACGAAGGCTCCAACCTAGGTCCTCTCGTCTACACCCTCTCCGGGACACTCGGAGCTGCTTACGTAGCCGTAGGTCGAGGAATCCCTGCTGTCGCCGTCAGTGGGCAGAACAGCACCAAGGTGGATTATAAGGATTGGGACCCTGAGGATGAGAGCGCGGTCGGTGAGTTGGGATCTTCAGTGCTGGAAGGCTGGGCTCTATCCCGGGAGACTATCGCTGATGGGGAACCCGACTTTTTGTTGTGTGCATGTGATGTTTGCAGCCAACGTCCAAGGAAGACTCACTGCGGACCTCGTCTCCGCCCTGGCTTATGGTCGTGACAAGACCAAGGGAGAAAGGGTCTTGCCGTGAGTCTCCCCCGATCATCCTCCGTGCTCGTTCCCCGTCCCTTATCGAATCGAGCTAATACGATCTCTTTGCGCTACGTAGTCCCGCTTTGGGGTTGAACGTGAACTTCCCTCAGATCAACTGTAAGTCCTGATTCCATTTCGCTCCCTCCCTCATCCCAATCTCGTTGAAGAACCTCCCTCCGCGGACCGCCTTACCGCTTGCTCATTGCTTTTGGCGCCATTGAAATCGCAGCTACTTGCACAGGATTGCCTATGATCCAGACTAGGATGACAGGAAGCGCTCTGACAGACAAAGTCGTCTTCACTGCCGCTGGGTTCCCGGTATGTCTAGCGTCGAGTCGCAAGAATCTGGATCTTAGATACAAGGAGGTTGCGGGCTGACATCATTTTTATCGGTCTCTTTCTCATGTGTATTGACGTCTGTGTAGACTTGGGGTGGTGAGTCACACTTCGTCAAATTGAACACAGATTTTGACCGCTGATACAAACATATTCCGATGGTCATCAGACCTACCCGGATCGATCGGTATCAACACCTGCGTCTCGGGCGACTGTAGTCTTCCTGGCGAGACCTTGGTGGCGACCACAACCTGCCAGACCGCCGTCACCGTATTCTCCGTCGACTATGACGCTCCTCAGGGTTACACCGAGAGCGTCAAGGAGCACTTGGAGTACACCGTCTTGGACAAGATGAACACTGCGCCAGGGTCTTACAAGAAGAAGCGAGAGTGGACCCCTCGAGGTCGGTCGGCTCGGGCTGAGTGAAGGAGCGCGATCGAGGTAGAAGGGAACGAGAACGTTCTCTAAGTTGTACTCTCCAGAAAAAAGAAAACGGTGATTGTATCGCAGGGGTCTACTTGGGTATCATGAATGTCATAATGCTGTATACAAAGGGCATCTAGCCGTCTGTACAAGGTACATTTGGCATTGTCTCATTGTTGTTCTTGCGTCTCGAGGATGGACATCCTGTAAAAAGGAGACCCGACATCAATCAATGGTCCGTGGCAAAAAGACGATGCATAGGCGCACGCGCATCCTGGGCAACTCACCAAAAGCTATCGTTGGCGAACAAGACGTCCCGCACCGAAGTATCGCCAACGAAGGCTCCAAGGCTCAGAGCCAGCGAAGAGGTAGGGACTTCCGGTACAGGCAGCTGATATTCCTGTGCTCTCGGGTCATTCGGGTCGTACTGAATTTGTCCCATCGTCTGATTGCCTTGGTCGAAAGGTTGAACGTTGAGCAGGTCATTTGAATGAACCTCGCCCCAGAGCGGTACGGTCGTCCCATTTGTATTGACATCGTGCTGTACAGTGGCTCCATTGATACCGCTCAGATCCACCCCACCTAGCATATCGGTGAACAACGGCGACGTAGGCGCGGTAGGCGGCCAGTAACTGCGCTCCGGCTGTGAACCGATCGTCTCCATCGAAGCGTCCAGGTCGATGGGCATGGGTAACATCGCTCGAGGGGTGTACGTCGGTGCGGTCCTGATATCGAGCAGACGAGACAAAAACACCGACTGGATGGCCGGAAGGTGGTCCGCCGAGGTAGCAGCCTGGGACAACATGCTGACGGCTTTGCGACAGAGTCCGAAGATGTGTTCTTGCGAGCCTCCAAGGAGTTCCTTGTATCGTACTTGAGCGGACTGCCAAGAAACTCAGTCTCAGCAACATCACTTTCTGGTCTCGCATAAGACACTCACCTTGAGCAGTGACACGACTGCAAAAGTCAACACCGTGTACATAAAGTCGGGACACCCTCGCGCCAGACCTTGGTCGTCCCAATCCTTTTCAAAGCATTCAACAATGTTCGAAGCGACCGTTTGAAACTGCCATTGAATATCAACATCAATCTGATCTTTTCCAAGGTTCCGGCAATGCTGTGACCCACCTGAACAAAGGTCGACGGTAAATCCAGCGCGTTCTGCGTCTTGGCCCGATACAGCGCAAAGGAGAGTACGACGAGTCGACCATACCGATGATACCTGCCGACTTGAGCGTAATCAGCCAAAAGTCAAGTGCGAATAGGGGGTATGGCACCGCCACTGACAGTCGATTCCTGCTACACGTCAATTGGCTGGCTGAGGAATCATAACCAGCGCAGCTTAGCCACTTGAATCTATTCGGAAGGAGGAATTGAACGCTCACATCGGGACCCGTCGGGGATCGCATGAGCCCTGCCCCATTCTTCCAGCTGATTATCAAAGACGACCACTAGACTAGATCACCGTCAATATCAACGAAAGAGGATGTCAGCCTGGACTAAGGAGGCTTTTCTGGAGCAACTTGACGAAGCGGCTCACTCTGGAAAATCGCTCGCCCAGATATCCGTCCCCGCCTGACTCTGAACATTGCTCATTTTGAAACACTCGACCGCTCTGACCAATATCTGAGTCCATTCCTGCAGACGTCCAGCACACGCAAAGAGGTTCATGAGCTGGGCCATGACCATGATCAGCGGACGTCGAATGCTCACGGTCAACGACGCCACGCTCAGATCGAGCACCCGATCCTCCTCGTCCACATCCTCTTCCAAACAAACCGTCTTCAACGTCGCCGCATACCTCCCCACAGACCCTTCTCCTTGTAAAGCCGAAGGTTTCCCCAACTGCGCCGACAACGTCCCATCGAGTGTATAACACAACAACCAAGTCCTGATGATCGACCTGACCAACCAATTAGGCAACCCCCGTCTGATCGTCGGGTTCAAAGCCACACGGTGTAGGTTGATATCCATCGCTGTCCGACAAGCGATCCCCACTCTGAGCCAGGTCATGTCCTGTTCAAACCTCTTGGCTGGGATGAGGTTCCATTCGCTGTAAAGCAGGTGCGCTTGGACGACGTCCAACGTCTTTTCCAGGGGGATACGGGTCATCTCTTGTCGTGCGAACGAACGGAGTTTCGACCAGAGCCCGATATTGAACGACCGGGCGGCCACGCAGCAAACTGCATGTTTATCAACAATCTCGATGTCAGCGTACCGATCTCCACCCGCCAGGCCCTGCAATGTTCAACAGGACACCCTCGGACTCACTAGCGTTGAACAGATAATTCGATCGACTAGCCACATCGATACAAGCCGACCGTTTCCTATCCAACACCGGCAAATGCGGATGAATCTTCTTCCAATACGTCTCGAACAGGCTCTCCGCATCGGACGGCGAGATCAATTGCATGATATGCGGAGCTTCACTCTTGAGCGTCCTCGGTGTGACCGATTTCTTGGACGAAGAGTAATAATCGGTTCCTTCCGGGTTATAAGGAGGGCGATCGTGATTGTTATTGTTAGAATCTTTGTTGTTCGCTTTCCCACCCCCACCCCGATGGAAAGCCGACGAAGTCAAAGACCCAGACCCCGAAGAAGAAGAAGGACCCGGATCAAGACTAATAGTAGCCTCCGCCAAGATCCCCAACGGATTCGGCGCATCCCCCGGTAACGGCAGCGTCGTCAAATTCTCCCTATCAATCGGCCTGGCCGTAGAGAGCCTATCGTTCAGTGCAGAAGACTCTCCATACCCAAAGACGGTACCTATCGAGGGGAACCGCCTAGGTTGCGGTAGAGGTAGAATGGGTTTATTGTTGTTGTTGTTATTATGGTCAGATCCTGAACCTGGGGTCGAGTTCGAGTTCGAGTTTGAGTTTGAAGATTTAGGCGTCTCCGACTGCAAGTATGGGTCGTGACTTTGGTTCTTGTTGTGATGCTGATGATGTCGTGATGGCTGAGCAAGACTATAAGCCGAGAGTGACGCTCCCGAGCCTCCTAAGTTATACGAAGGCCCTGCATTACGAATGCCGGTAAACGAGTTCGATCTGCTTTGACCTGCTGTTCCTCCTGTTACGTGAATAGACTTGTCTGGAGATTCGCTCGTACGGGACTGGGACTGAGATGGGTGTCGGCACGATTGATGGTCCTGATCCTGATCTTGATCTCGATCTTGGTTCTTGTCAACATGCTGGTCGTTCGTCTTGATAGCCGGTGTCGTTGAATCCCTACATGAACGAATACCGTATAGCCAATTCGATTTCGAAATATCAGCGACCCCTATTACACGAACAGACCGACGAACAGGCAACAATGCTCCCTGGCTCACCTCTTCGACCGCTTGATCTTGCCCCGCATCGAGGGGACGTAAACGCAGTCCGGCGCTCGACCCATCGAAGTGCATCTCGAGCAAGGTTTTTCCCCGTTACACCTGGCCTGCGACGACCCGACCGAGGTAAATCATCTTGTCAGCATCCTATCATCAGATCGCGGAGTCTCCACTCCACTCAAGAAGAATGTGGGGTAAATGAATGGAGATGGCTTACCTTGGCTTTGTTGCACCTCGCACAGGCCGAGGCGATCCGGTCCGACGTCTTTTTTCTCTTATTCGACGGTGCCTCGTCCATCGTCGTCGACGTCAAGCTGGGACTCGCAGGTTGTCCATCCAAGTCCGGGGAGATAGGGGTAGACATGGTCCATGCAGAGCTGGGTCGATCATCCAACCAGGATGGAGCTATAGCTATAGCTGTGCTTTCACGCTATACGCAGTCCAGGTTGCAGGTTGGTCGGAATGTATTCCGAATTTCTGGGTCGTCCCGGCGTTGCTTACCCCTATTTTCGCCCCGCGATCAGCTGATCATCGACTCGTCTCCCCCTCTCTGTCTCTCTGCCCCGGGGGGACCCACGTTGGACGCAAGCTCGGCAGATGTAATGGGCCGATTTCCGAATACCTTCCCTTGCAAGGTCTGTCAATCGGAAAAGGGATCTGGCCTGGCTGTCTCCTAGCTCCTCGAGTGCTGGTGGACATCTATCGACTGTCGACTAGATCTCGACTTCCGCGGGCACTCGAACTCGACTGAATACAACGATTTTAATCATCCCGACGACATAGTCTGCCCTTTCCGCTTTTCACAACCCGTATACAAAGACAAATCAAGGCGTCTTTCTCTACTCGAGGTGGTCATACACCGTCCTCTCAAACTTGGTGTACAGGTCCATGAAAGGGTTAGGGTTCTGAGCGAAGATGTTCGTGAAACAGACGCCCTGGACGCGACAGAAAATAGCGGACAGTGTCAACGTCAATGCCGCTTCTCACATGACATGATCATGACGTCCTGTTGCGACTCACCGCGATCCCACTAACAGGGTCCAACCAATACTGCGTCTTCGCCGCCCCATCCCAACACCCCGACCCAGCCTTCCTCCCATACTTCGAATCCCGGAAGTTCAAACACAGCCCTACGCTATGCCCGACCTCTTCCAGGGTATAAGTCGGGTCGTGATACGTCTGCCGTTGCATCATCGAGAGTAAGCCTGTTTTGGGGACCGTGCGGGGGATGGAATCGTTGAAGAGTTCTCGGAAAGATTCTCCCGAGATCAACTTCGAGGTCCCATTATCATCGCTGGTGCTTTGTCGAGAAGGATCACACGCCAGAACCCCCCTCAAGAAGGCCAAATAATCCTTAGCTGTCCCGAACAACCCCGCTCCACCTGCCAACTCCCCAACCTCCTCCGGCCTTTCCGGTCGTGCATAATGCAACGACCCATAATTATCAGGATAACTCTTAATTTTCCCCTCAGTTGGGTCGAGGTAAGTGACCGCCATAGCCTCCCTCCTAATCTCCTCCGTCGGGTAAAACGACGTACTCTCCATCCCGCATGGCTTGAAGATGTGTTCTTTGAAATATTCTTCCAAGGAAAGATGGGTTAGGCGATGTACGAGATGTCCAGCCCAATCGATCCCCACGGAATAATGCCATTGGGTCTTCGGCTCGAAGACTAATGGGAGTGCGTACGAGTCGATGGAAGCTTTTGGGCCGAGGAACGATGGGTGGGAAGTCTCTTTCGTCCAGCGGTCCAGGTCGGGGGAGTTGAACGTATATCCCATGCCTACGTCATATCATAATAATGTCCAAACCGGATGAAGATGAAGAATCAGCTTGGATTAATTTCCCTCGGAGCGTATTATCGGATAGAACCAGCTTCAGGCTCAGAGGGGGTTTATGAACGTACCGGAAGTATGTGACAACAACATCCTCAAAGTAATCTTCGTCTTCGGCTCCTCCCAAATAGGTTCCCCTCCACCCTTACCATCTCCATCGTCGGTACTAGTATCTTTATACCCCTTAAGGACCCGGAGCGAGGCAAGTTCCGGCAAATGGGTCTCGATAAGGTCTGGGTCGTCCAGGGTGACTAGACCGCGGTCGAGTAGTTGCAGACAGGCGATCTGAAATGGTACAAACGCAAAGTCCGGGTGAGACGAGCATATAGGAATCAGTCGAGATGTATCGAAGAAGACGAGAGGAGGAAGAGAAGTGGGCCTGAGGTCGGACTGACGGTCGTCAACAACTTGGTCGAAGAGAACAACTGCAGAGCTACGAAGATCGGCGTTCACGTTCAAACACGATCGGCCGTGTCAGCTCCTGCATATTCTCTCCGCTTTCAACCATGTGCAGCCGTCTATAAAGGCTCAACTTTCGACTCACTAGTATCCTCATCCACCTGCCCCTGAGATTCGTCCCCAAACCGCTTCTCTCCCGCACAGTTCGAGTACAACGTCCCCTCGGCGTTGGTCACCCCAAAGAAGACGGCGGGGACCTCGCGCGAGTCGACCGACGACTGTAGAAGGTCGTCCAGGGCTTGTTTGCCAGAGGTGGAAGCGAGTTGGGGCATGCTTGAATCTAGTCTAGCTACTGTGATGTGGGCGATGGTGTCAGGCTGGTCGAGTTGATGATACCTGACTGTGAACCGGATAGGGGTATCTATATATGGCTATGGCTGGCAGGGGGTCACCCGGTTATTCGTTCCACGGGCTATCGGGCCCGGTTCGGAAGCGAATGACCGGTAGCTGGTAGAGGATGGACGCTCGCTATCCCCATATTCAGGCGCAGAAGCTGCTAAACGAGCGGATCCCGAGTCGGTCTCGTCGAGCTCGATGCAGTTAGTCATGTCGGACAAAGAGGCACAAGCAGAGCAAGCGGAGGAATGAGCTTGTGTCCTGGATCAATAAGTATGGCGTGTATTTACCCACCAGCATATCCCACAGAGAATCCGATTGCGGCGTTCGGCAAGGCGCGCAACAACAAGCGCATGCTGGCAGTGTTGATGCGATTTCAGCAGAGACGTCGACAGATGAGGAATTAAGGCAAGCAGGGATTTTCACTGGTCCGTTTCCGTTTGACTCATCACCAAATCAAGCATATATACACGGCCCTTGAATACTGAAGTACATCAAAGCAGAAAACGTTCCGCTCGACAGATCGCGCTTACAGACAGACGATCTGCAAAGCGCACATAGCCCTCCTTTCATGCCGCACGTCATTGGACAAAGACAAGCGACTTCTACCGCCGCTCAGATCGGTCTCTTCTCACCCCAAAGGGAACATTCACCGGCTCACAACGCTGATGCGCTCCTTTTCTGACTTTGCGATCAATGGAAGTCGCGCCAACGGCAAACGTCCTCTTTTGATCGCGCCTCCATTCACATCTCGCATTCTTTTGTCGGTATTGTGCTGGTGCTCCATTGTGGTATCATTGTGCGCACAGCTCATATGGCTGGGTCGGAGATCATGCTCCCGCCGTGTCGGATGGACACGAAGGATAAAAGGCGCTCATGGCATTGACGCATTCGATAATCTCTTTATATGATCATTAATCATCGCACGAACTTAACATCTAAACAGCTTCACACTGCAAAACCTGACCTCATTCCGGCATGTCTGACAAGTTTACCTCTCAATCCGATCGATCTGACGACAAGATTGATCCTACGTCATACGATGATTACCAGGAGAAGGAATCGGTCGTTCAATCTTCCTTGACTGGATCTGACGTCCGCACAGAGGTTACGTCAGCCAGTTCAGATCTTGAAGGCACGACCGTTGAGGGGAGAGAATGGATTAATTTGAAGACGATCACCTTGGCGGTAAGCTCATAAGTAGTTCAACCGTGGAGTAAAAATCAAACTAATTCGTGTCGGCCCGGTGCGATCTCGTCGCGCTGTTGTAGCAATTGCAAACGTTGACGGCGAATTTCGATGCCCAATCTCCCGAGGATCAAAGAGCTACCAACGCTGCTCTGGACGCCGCTACGACGTTCGAAGAGAAGGAAAAGATCTACAACGGCCCGATGTTCCGCCCTCCCTCTCGCACACCCGCTCAGATTGAGCAGGCAGAGCGCGACAGGCTGTTCATGCTGCTCATGAGCGGTCGGACGGAAGAGGCGGTAGCCATGAGCAAGAAGGACGAGAACGGGTGCTACATCAATCCGTGGGAGAAGAGGGATAAGCCTTCCCAGTGAGATCGATGAGGAATTCTGGTCAACTACATAGCACGACTTCGATTCTTGCCTGAATGACGTGGTACTCTTTAAGATCTGTAGCTGGAGAAGACCGGTAACTTGCCTGGGCCTATGTAATTCGACCACATGTCATCGACTTCTTTCATTCGCGCTGTAAATCAGTTCTGTCCTTCTTGGTCCGCCTGCAGCATCCTTTCACCACTCTCCTACCAATTTTTTTTGGATATCGAGTTGATCACCGTTGTATAGTTTGCATGAGGATAAAATATACAAGAGGGGATCATGAAATCAGACCAGAATGGTCTGCTATATATATTATTCTGGTAGGTGGAAAGGTGCTACGGTTTGCGGTTTGCGGTCTGCGGTTTGCGGTCGCAAGTTGCGGTTTGCGGTCGCAACTTGCGGTTGTGGTCGCAACTTGCGACAGTGGTCGCAGATTGCTAAGCGGGTCGCAGATTGCTAAGCGAGAACAAAAGGAAAGGTGCGAAGAGTGGATGTGCTTTATTGTTCCATGCGGTCTATTGTTCTGGGAGAACAATAGACGTGCGGGAGAACAATAGGATTCGACACTCCCCCTCACTCAAGCGTCCTTTGCGAAAGAGGTTGGTTTTCCGCTGAGACCCATCCCGGTGACAAGGTGATGGAATTGGTGATGGGCGAGACCTTTGGTGAGAGCGTCGGCAAGGTTGTCCTGAGTTGGAACATGGGAGAGTTCAACGGTGTTGTCGAGTACCTTCTCTCTAAGATAGTGGTGTCTCATGTCGATGTGTTTGGTGCGATCATGAGCAACAGGATTCTTTGAGAGTTGAATGGCGGCATTGTTGTCATTGAGAATGGCGAGGGGACCAGAGACCGGGTGACCGAGAGATTCGAGAAGAGTGCGGAGCCAGACTGCCTGTCGGGTGGCATCAGCGGAAGCCATGTATTCTGCTTCCGCAGTAGAGAGAGCTGTGGTTGGTTGTCGTCGGGATTTCCACGCTACCGGTCCTCCAAAAGCACGGAAGAGGTATCCAGTAGTAGATCGGCGAGTGTCCAAGCATCCACCCCAGTCGGCATCGGCGTAGCCCAGGATGATCCGTTGGCCAGAGGTGGCGTCGTAGGTAAGGCAGAGCTCGATGGTGCCTTGGAGGTATCGAAGGAGGTGTCGAGCAGCATGGACGTGTTGTTTGTTCCACTTGCTGACAGTCCGAGCTAAGACTCCAGCAGCATGAGCAATGTCGGGTCTGGTGATGGTGGCCGCATACATGATTGATCCGACCATTGCGGGATATTCTTCATGAGCGGCTTCCTGATGTTCAGTGTCGGTAGCAGGAAGAGATCGGAAGCCGGAAGGAAGGGGAGTCTTTGCCGGTTTGGAGTCGAGCATGCCAAACCTTTCCAGGACCGCCTGTACGTAGTGTTCTTGAGAGATGTAGAGTTTCCGGTTGGGCCTGTCTCGGAAGACGTTGAATCCAAGAAAGTAAGAGACCGCTCCTCCGTCGGAGCACTCAAATCGGCCGTTGAGCTTGGTCTTGAAGTCGTCCAGTTCCTGGCGATTGTTGCAGGCGATGAGTTGATCGTCAACATGGACGGAGAGAATGAGAAGGGTATCCTTGGTTGATCGGATGTAGAGACAGGAGTCGGCCGGAGAAGGAATGAGACCGAGAGATCGAAGGAAACTGTCAAGAGCCTGGTTGAAGCAGCGAGGTGACTGTTTGAGACCGTAAAGTGATTTCTGAAGCCGGAGAACCTTGTTGGCAGGGATATTGCTGCCCTCAGGAGGTTCGAGATGGACGAGTTCCTCTAGTTCTCCATTGAGGAAGGCGGCCTTGATGTCGACCTGATCACAGTCCATGTCAAGGTAGTTGACCAGAGCGAGGAAGACCCGAATGGTATCCTTGTGAGCGACTCCCGCATAAAGTTCATTGTAGTCAACTCCTTCCTTCTGCAGAAATCCTTTTGCTACCCATCGAGCCTTGTAGGCGGATGGCTTCCCGGTCTCTCCGTCGATCTTCCGGGTGAAGACCCATTTGGCTCGAAGGGGTTTCGATGTAGCTTCTTGCCTATCGATGACAGACCAGACCTTGTACTGATCCATCTTGTCGAGTTCGGCCTTGATAGCCTCCTGCCATTTGTCCCATTCTGGAGATCGGTGGGCTTCCTGAAAGGTTTGAGGGATAGCCGTGGAGATGAGTGCATGGCCACAGATGACGGCGGTAGCGAGGTTTGCTGAGTATCCAAATTTGGCAGGTGGTTTGCGGACACGTCGGGAGCCATCAGGCAAGATTGGGTTCTCCGGTGTTGGTACCGGTGCTATGTCCCATCCTTTGCTCCAAATGCCGGATGACTTGTGTTTGGCCTGTGTAGCCTGTGTAGCCTGATCACTTGGGATGGTCGTGTCATCACCAGGCTGATCAGGTGAGTCGAGAGTATCGGTATTGTCTTCAGCCAATTGATCCTCTTCGGTTTCAGAGTCTGAGTCTGATGTTGATTCAGGGACTATGTCGACGTCGACCTGAGTGGACTGGATTTTGGTTTCCAGTGATTTGGTGTTGGTGGAAATCTTTGGTTGTTTACCAAAGACCACATCACGAGAGATGGTGACCTTTTCGGTGTGGAGATCCCAGATCCTGTAGTTGTCGGTTCCCTCAACGTAAGAGAGTAGTTGCCCTTCTTTGTAGCGAGGGTGAAGTTTGTTGGTGTTGTTGTGGTCACGGAACCAGAGCTGACAGCCAAAGGGTTGAAGGTGCCGGGAGTTGACTTCACGTTGCCTCCAGAGATCCTCCGGGATATGTTTGTCAGATCCTGTGGGAGCCCGGTTCCTGGTGTAGATGGCGTAGTTTGCCGCTTCGGCCCAGAACTTGTCATCGAGTCCGCTATCGATCAGGAGCGTCCTTACCTGATTGAGAATGGTAAGGTGTGCCCTTTCAACTCTACCGTTCTGAGCATGAGCGGCAGTTGGAACGAAGTGATGCTCGATGCCCTTTGCTTTGAGGTAGTCGCGAAGAGCATGTGACTCAAATTCTCCTCCTTGATCCGATCGGATGGTCTTGACCGTGCAGTCCAATTGATTCTCAACTAGGTTGATATAGTCGATCAATGCCTGCCGGGTCTCAGACTTCTTCTTGAGAAAGCTGAGGTTGACCTTCCGAGTGTGATCGTCGTAACAGGTAAGGAAGTAGAGGGATCCTCCGATGGAAGGGGTTCGAGCTGGTCCCCAGAGATCAACGTGAATAGACTGGAGTGGTTTGGTAGCCCGGATATTGGAAGCAGGAGCGGGAAGACGAGATCCTTTGCCTTGGATGCAGGCTGAGCATTGAAAACCGTAGATGTCTTTTCCGGCTTTGGCCCAGTCGACTGTCTTGTCAAGTCTTCCCTCCTTGCCGAGCTGAACCACCGAGCGAACATTGAGATGACCAAGTCTGCGGTGCCAGTGGTAAAGGATGTTGTCCTCTGTGACGGTATTGGTGGCCGTGATGAGTGCGGCCTTGTGCCGGATAGGAGTGCTTGCCGGATCAAGGACAAACAAACCATCTTGTCGTGTTGCTGTGATGACTGGTTTGCTGGGTCCATCTTCAGTAGTGTTGAGGATTGCTTTGTCTTTTGCAAAGGTCCAAGAGTGTCCGTCGGTGCTCTGTGCGGCACCAACACTCAGAAGGTTCCGTCCCAGTTCGGGTACGTGAAGAACATCGTGTAGTGTGATGTTTGGTAGTTTGAGTTGTCCGCATTCTCTGGCGGTGATGTTGGCGCCGTTGCCTATGGTGATGTTTGCCTGGATCGGCAGTTGTTTGATTCCAGTGAGTAGGTTCCTGTCATGGACCATGTGATGAGTAGCTCCAGAGTCTACGACAATGTCGAGTGCAGACGAATGGGCCAGAAGGGCATTGTGATCAATGGTGATGCCTGCCATGAAAGCAGAGCCGCCGTTGATGCCATGATGTTGACTCCTGTTGCTTACGAGTGCGGCAATATTGGCACTGTTGTTTGTGTACCTGTTGGCGTTGTTGCCGGTACTGAAGTTGGCGGGCTTGGTGAAACAGTTTGCTGTTGAGTGTCCATTCTTCTGATGGAACTCGCAGAAGGCATTCTCGTCAAAGGGAGATCGAGGAATAAACTTCTTCTTGTTTCCGGTGCCGCCGATGTTGTTGTTGTTGTTCCGTGCTTGTTGACGGGCAGCGATGAGAGCTGTAGTCTCAATTCCTTCTTCCTGAACAATCCTCCTCCTGTACTCGGCTCGGACGGCGTCAATGACGTCCTGTGAGTGAAAGTCCTCCTTGAGATAGTAGGTCTGAACGAGGGTTTCGTAGGAAGAAGGAAGCGACATGAGGATGGCAAAGGCAAAGTCCTTGTCGTCCATCCGGGATCGGCCAGAGACGGTGATAGCGGAGTAGGCCGACTTGAGCTTTCCGGTATGGACAGTCGGGTCTTCTCCTTCCGCGAGTTGGGATCGCCAGATGATCGCGAGAAGTTCAGCCCGCCTGGATCCCCTTGCAGCCGAGTAGGTTTCCTGAAGATGTTTAAGTAATCTTTCAGAAGCAGAAGGGAGCGTTGCTCTGTACTCATCGGTGTGAGCGGAGTCCCTTTGGACCAGAGCGTGCCAGGTTGAGAGGTGAGACGGGAGGTTGTGATGGACAAGCTGACTGAGGCTTCCGTCAATGATTCCGAAGGCCTTCTTGTCTTTCTTGATCCATTTCGCAAGTTCCTCGGCTGTAGCTGGAGTAGTGACCGTAGTAGTGGTAGTAGTTGGAGCGTTGTCCGTGCCGGCGGTGGCAGCCAAGGTAGAGATAGGTAGGGTATTAGGTCGAGGAATAGTTCCATCAACAATGTCGTCCAGATCCTTATCGATCAAAGTGTTTTGAATCGAGCGGGACCATTCCGCGTAATTGTCGGGACCCTCAAGGTAAGTCCGCTTGGTAACCTTGAGAGTGTCGAGGTCGAGACTGTCGGCCATGATGAAACTAAGTCGATGTTGAAGAGGGTTGGTTGATGTAAACTTAGGTGATGGCCCGTTGAGCTCCGTTGGTAGAGCAGCCGACTCTTAATCTTTTGGATATCGAGTTGATCACCGTTGTATAGTTTGCATGAGGATAAAATATACAAGAGGGGATCATGAAATCAGACCAGAATGGTCTGCTATATATATTATTCTGGTAGGTGGAAAGGTGCTACGGTTTGCGGTTTGCGGTCTGCGGTTTGCGGTCGCAAGTTGCGGTTTGCGGTCGCAACTTGCGGTTGTGGTCGCAACTTGCGACAGTGGTCGCAGATTGCTAAGCGGGTCGCAGATTGCTAAGCGAGAACAAAAGGAAAGGTGCGAAGAGTGGATGTGCTTTATTGTTCCATGCGGTCTATTGTTCTGGGAGAACAATAGACGTGCGGGAGAACAATAGGATTCGACAATTTTCCCTATCCGGAACGATCGACCTCTCTGCGGGCAGCAACAAGCACCTGGGCATGGATCCCACGTTTGTATGATTAGTATGAAAACCGTATAACCCTGCCGAGCTGAGCATTGAGCGCATTGATTTAAATCTGATGAAGACGCGCGTGTGGCAAATGCGTACGGTCGATCACTTAGGTCAGGTTTTTACGATCCCGGAATATCTCGCCAGGCAAGGTGAATACGCAATGACATTGATCCCCAACAGAGGGACCCAAACGTCTACACTCTGGCTGAAACGTGTTCTGGACCAGTCCTTCGCTACGATAACATCCATTCCTCTTATGATTTTCGTTTCAGAAGCGAATGACGGGTCCTTGCGGAATGGCGCAGCGCGAGCGGATCTGATGTCGATCTCGTCAAGCTCGATGGCAAGAGTCTTGTCATAGGCACAGGCGCAAGCAGAGCAAGCATCAAAACGAGCTTGTGTCCTAAGTTAAAGGTATGATCTTGACACACCCTGCCTTTCATTCATTGTAGCGCTGGGCAAGGCTCGGCGTCAGAACAGGCGCACGCTCGTGATTTAAGGGTATGATGTCGGACAAATGTATAAATTGGGCGCGAATCCCCCAAGAAGGTTGAGAGCCCATATCTGCTGTCCTATTCGGGTAACGTTTCGCCCATGCAAACATATCTGCGCTTCCTCGCAACATCAGGTAGACGCAGAAACCGGACAGAATCGCGCTCACAAACAGAAGAGCTGCGAAGCGCATGTTGCACTCCTTTCGTCTCTGCACGCCATCGAACAAGGGTACTCGCTCACCCCCCTGATTACGCTCCGCTTTCCGAAAAGAGGCCCCTGTCCAGTCGGATGAGCGGTGTGCATCCTTTGCGTATACATGGTCAATGGACGTCGCGCTGCCATGTCGTCTTTTGATGTGCCTCCATTCAGATCTTGAGTACCTTTGTTCGCGTGGTATCTCCGCGGGACTACGGCATTCGCTATAATAATGTAGGTCCACTTTAGTGGGTTCAAGAAAGGCGTTTGACCCCTTATGACTCTGGTCTCATCGTCCTTGTCATCACTTCTACCATCAGGCGTATCCTCCAATGTCCGACCCGATGAACGAATCGATCTTGTCAAGGTTCGGCATGTCCACCCTGAACTCGAGGGACACCAGATCGATCGCATCCTCAACGCACAGGTCGGCTGCATCGAGCCCTCGAGCCGAACGTGATAAGGCCGAAACGGTCGGAGACGAAACCGTATACGCCGGGTCTGATGAAGAGGAGGAGATCAAGGTTCGGAAGATGAGCCCCCAGGTAAGAGGGAGAGGTCTCGTGCAGAAAAGTCGCACTGAGATTACCAAGCTGATTCCTATCCGTAATCCTCCTTGTTATTGATACAGCAACGCGCCGCCCTGCTGAACGCCTCTCTGGCTCATTTCGACAGACAAGATACCCAGGCCCGACAAGCTACCATCACCGCGCTCAGGGAGGCAAAGACCGCTGAAGACAGGAAGAAGATATTTGGCGGTCCCATGTTTTCCGGACAAGCTTGGTTGGCAGATCAAGAGGACGTCGTCATGCGTCTCCTGAGCGGACAAAATCACAATGCCTTCAAGAAGGACGCAAGAGGGATGTACATCAACCCTTGGGATGCAATGCCAAAGCCATCTAGGTGAACCTAGTCTGAAATCGTGTAGACTGTACGAGTAGTCGTGGCCGCGATGACATTACTCCCTCATCTCACAGAAGCGATATGCAGTCCGTCTCCTGACGTATCCAATAGGATATATCACAACTCACGGCTGTGGCCAGCTTTTCAGTCTCTGTGCCGCCTCTATGATCTCAGCTCGCTGACCCTCCAGAAAGAGGCTTTCAAAGGCTGTAATTAGACTGAGAATCACCGGCGTTTGATTTTTTCGCTATGATTCCATCCATTCCTATTATGATTTCCTTTTTCCTTTACAGACTATTTCCCTGTCTTTCCCTTTAATCACCCACAATCAGCACGATCAGTGGGGCGCGATCTCCGGCACGCTCAACCACCAATCCAACTCTCCCCTCCTCATCGCATCTTCTTCCACCTCGACCGAGTTCTCACCGAACAAGATCTGCTTTTGGGCGTCGAGCGCGTAGGCGGGCCATTCGGGGAAGCCGTCACGATTGGGATTACCGGTGGTGATGACTATCGAGAAGGCGAAGATCACAAACGATTCAGTTTCTCTGCTGACCTGACATACCGAGGAGCAAACACAGGCGCGAAACTCACAAGAAGAATAATACCCGATCATCTTGCTTCCTGTCTCACTCTTCGCCACTCCGACGACCGAAGATAGCTCTGAAGCGTGTGCGACACCGAGTTTACGTGCTTCCGGGTCGGCTATGAGGCGCAAACAGAAACGGCGATCCATATCACGTCAGTATCGATTCTTCAACCGATTGTCTTCAGACGACCATAACAATCATCGCCCTCAAACTCACTTGCAACGATCTTGTTGAAGTGATACTTCCAGACCTGGCCCCCGAACCTAGCTACCTCCAACGCGTTCTGCCTAACGGTCGAGATGTATGCGTAATCGCCGTACGCAGCGGCGACCCTAGAGAACTGGACCCCGAAAGGCGTCTCCTTGTACCCTCCATCGGGGAAAGCGATCGGGTCCGGGTAGATCTCCTCGATATGGTCTAACTGCGCTTCGGTGGCTAGCGGGAACAGCGTCCTCCAGAACGCTCTGAACTCTTGCGTCGTGTTCATCCCCCTGGGAACGAAGCCCGTCCCTTCGTCGGTATTGTAGCCGGTCAAGACGGGCACCCTCTCGAACCTCCCTTGTTCCCAAGACTCGGACGGGGCCTGTTTGACGTACTCGCCATCGATGACGGGTTGGAAAGGCCAAGTGATCGATGGGCTGTATCGTCGGAAGAGGGTCACGCTGGCGTTGACGACCCTCTCCACGTCCAACTCCCTCAAACATTGCCACCCTTCCTTTTCCCCCGTAGCGAAATCGGACGCACATCCGGTCAAGTTGAAAAACTCGCCAGCTTGTTGTTCGTACAGCGGGTATGTCCAGTTGGGCCAGGCTCGAGCGGCGGGACCACCAGAGTTCATAATGACCTTGCTGAACGGACGTTCGTTCTCGGGCCAGGCGTGTTGCAGGTGAGCGCCTACCGAGTGGGCTCCAGCAGATTCACCGAAGAGCTGTCGATGTGCAATGAGACCAGACGACGATCAGCCGCTCTCCGTTCTTTGTATAGGATCTCTGCTCGATAACGAATATGACTTCGACGCCGACGTTGACGTTGACGGTGTCTTATTGCCGACGCCGATGGTAACTCCGACGACGATCTGAACAGACACTTACAGTAACCCGCTCAGGATCCCCTCCAAAAGCCTCAATATACTGCTGAACCCACTCGAACGCCATCTTCTGATCTTGCAGACCCAAGTTGATGGCCCCTTCGTTATAGCCGATTGTGGATGGGATTCCACCTAGAGCTCCAAGCTACGGATCAAGATCAAGGTCATAATGGATGACCAAGGATCAGTTGGATACGTTACAGACCCGAGTAAGAAGCGATCGATATCGTACTCGGTAATTGATAGACACTGCATGCCATCAACGAGACCCGCAAGTCCAAGTGTCCCACATTGGATCAATCTATCATAGATTGCGAGCTGGGTCATGCGTGGGGAAAGTTATGCTCACCTCCGATGAAGTTATCAGGAGCGTTCCCCACGAACGAGGGGACGTTCAAGCCTTTGCCACCTCCGGTGTTGAAAGCGCCTGTTATCATGAAAGGGTGCAAACAAATCGATCAGAAACCACGATTCCGGGGTTTGGCGACTCGTCCGGAAACGAGTCATCGGAATGTAGTAAGACGCATACAGTAGGGGTAAAGAGAAACAAAGAGGAATAACGAAGAGGAATAACGAAGATGACTTACCTCCCGGTACCCAGATAACCACGGGCAACTTCTCATTCGGGATCCCTTGAGGTCGGAAGATGGAAAGCGTCAAACAATCCTCCGACTCCCCCTTATTCGCCGGTCCTTGTCTACACCAAGGTCCATAATCCTTGAGTGCCAGCGTCTCCAATCCCGTCCCATTCTTCTTTCCCCTTCCTACCGTCGGGGGTTGAGGTTTCTTGAACCTCAAGTCACCTAGTGGCGGGGCGGCATAAGGGATAGAATACCAAGCGACCACCGGTTTAGCTAGGATAGTCCCCGAAGAATTGGTCAGGTTCTGAACGGGTTCGACTTGGATGTAATCGAGCTTGATGAGACCGTCGGCTAGGGCGGTAGTTGCCGCTACGGCCAGGGTGGCCGTCAGAGTAGAGAGACGCATGGTGTGCTACCAGAATGAGTGTATGCAATTATAGAATGTGGATTGATGGCACTACGACTGTCACGGTCGCACGACCCATTCGTATCCCCTTGAGATATATGTGAACGTAAGACCAACCCCTTTCTCTCTCGAACGCCAAGATTTCGGACCGACCCCGCCCGTCACACATTCCCAAGCACTCCCCCTTTCATGAATACCTCCGTATGACCCCCGGTTACTCCCTAAATATCCTGGAGCGGGTTCCCTCTCGATCCTCTGGCTCTGGCCAGCGACGACATGCGATGCCCCACTTTCAATTTTCGATCGTCATACGTGCATACGTAGCGCCGTCCACTTTCGAGCCAAGCGCACGGGATCAGAGACGTTTTCGGGCAAACTGTTGAGGCGATTTGACCGAACGCCGTCTCGTTCGACCAGCCATCCTAGGTCTGTGTCGTCTGATCGTCAAGGATCGAAAGAGCATGAAACACCGATTCCCCGAAATCCCGTGTCCGAAAGGCCTTTGAGGTCTATTTGGTTTCGTTTTCGCCGGAAAGGAATTTCGAAAGACTCGCGCGCCGTTCATTCATATTTTTGCAACGTGGACGATCGCCCGGATATGACGCTTGTAACTAAACCTTGATCATACCCAAACCCGTCTGGATGCAGCTGGATGGCTGGTATGATCTTTGTATCATGCTCATTATCGACTTGTGACTTTTCTCGCTGTGGACGATGTCTCCCAACGATAGGGCGGAATGGCGCCAGGCGCGAGTTCAAAACTTCTTGCGTGGCAAATCTGATCCCAGTCATGCTGACTGCCGTTGTACCGTGTAAAGCGTCTAGTCACGCTAGTCACATCACTTCTCAATCTTCGCTGACTGTGGATTCAGTCCTTGGTTCTCCTCCAACGTGGGAACAGTATCAGGCGCAGCAATATATATAACCACCTTTGACCCCTGGAACATAATGGTAAAACAATTATCAGTATCCAGAACGGATAGATGGGCTCATTTATTGATGGTGATCTCGGTGCCCCCCTCTCATTGTGCTGCAACTGTTTTGCGATATTTTTCGAGCACTTGTTGACATTAATTTTCGGATCGGGACTCTTTGCCTAGGTAAGTAATGGTGTCCAGGTGTGTTTCATGGTGAGTGTTGTTGCATGTATGAACTTGTATGTAAGGGAAAGGGAAAGGGTGAGGACTAGCCACGTTTGGGAAAGCAACCTACATCGGGCTGGGCATGCAAATACAACAGTAAACCTCGCGCGTCCGTCCTGCAGTCCCCATAAAATGATCTTCTGTGTGATATCTGCCTCCACAAACAACCTTTCTGTAGACTTCTATCGGTACCCCTGATATGTTCGATCAAGGCTCAAATCATCTGCGGCCGCCGCATCAGTTGCGCCGACCTGTCTATGCAACTGGACCTCGAGCACAGATGCGGGTCCGTTTCAGGACGCCTCCGATCGAAAATGCGGTAGCCGCGCGTGTTCAAAATCGATCCTTCAAGCAACCAGATAAAGTTTAGACTCGCGCTCCATTACAGTCTGGATACGTGAGTGGGATAAAACAATGCTATGGCGCAAGGAGCCGACCTTTGCCGGCGGAGATCGCTTCTCAAGTCCGTCGAAGAGAACGACATGCTTGCAACCCGGCAATAGATTTCGAGACATGCGCGCTCTACTCGGGACGATCTTGCTGGGATCATGTAATGGCTATTCAACTTCTAGTACACGTAGCAATGTGGACATGTAAATTTCCGCGAGAATTTGCAGCCCTATGTAACGGCGCAGTAACACGATGTGCCGCCTTTCGCCTTGACACGGTCTGACGGCTTTGCTCTAAAGTACCCCCCGAGAAGAAAACACTCGTAGCAAGGTTGTTTCGCCTCATCACCTCTCGTAGATTTGACCCCTTTCATTCCGTCCTTATCATTTTTTGACAACAGCGGCGTACTCTCATGTACATGCCACGAATCACCGGTAGAATATCGCAAACTGGCCCAAGCCATGAACTGCTCCCGACTGACATAGCCTTCCCGTTGTTGGCGATTGGCCGGGTCGGAAAGCTGGGAGGCGAGGTTGACGTTACTCATCGCGTAATTCGTATATCCGACACATCCCCGCTGGACGTAAAGCAGCAAAATGACCAAGAGATCTCGATCTTTCTGCGTGAAGTAGGGCCGAGGAGGTTTTCTGTCCTCTTTTACCCTGTGCTTGGGACTTGTTTTGCCTTTTTTCCCTCTGGCCAGTATAGGATAGCCGCGTGATACTACGCTCAGCTTCGTCACTGGTTCGGCGGTCGTAGATCCAGAATTAATGCTGGTATTGGGGGTCAGATGAGACCCAGACAGACAATCACCCTGGGCTGGGCTCATCGTATCTGCTAGTGATGACATACCCATCGAATTGGAAGAAGCAGTACTCGCCGCTATTATTGTTGATGGGGTCTGACCTGCTCGCGCATGGCTGGACGGGGTCCCGACAGTCCTTATGTCTTCTTCGGTAGGCGTACAACTAATGAGTGAGCTGAGACTGGCGTTGCTGTGATCGCTTGACTGCGGCAGTGTCGAAGATTGTGGTGGCAGGGCACAAGGATCGTATTCATGCAGCGCTACTAGAGTTCGTTCGTAAACAGCAAAGGTATCCACGGCCGATTGTGCCTCTTGAAGGCCGTCGGACGATCCGAGAGATCGCATAATATAAAAGTTCCGCGGTATATGGCCACGAGATACAGTAAGGCGAGATGTCCTGAAGCATTGTCACTTAGGATTCATCCAGTTCATATAGAACTAGTTATACAAACGAGCAGGATCCTGACATGACATAGCTGTCTGACTTAGAACATAGGGGCTCCGAAGAAAGGAGTGCAGCTCCTGCCTTGTTGGCGTTTCGGTCGCAATCGCGCACTAACCCCGAAACTATAACTTGAGTTACAGATTATCTCATGGTCATGTATGCTTTTGAGGCCAACTACTACTGCTCTCCGAGGCCATCCATGCAGTCTCATCTAACGGAGAGCGCTACACTGTGAGTTGGGGATGGAGGAAGAGTACATGTTCGACATCTTGTTCCATGAAGATTCCGTAAAGCGAGTAGCAGTCAGGGCAAATGTAGTGGGTCGGTTGTGCCGCTCCAAACACCTTGTCGTGAGCCCATTCGCTGAAGCTGGAGAGATGGTTCGCATCGACAATCCGGTTACGCCAATTGGCGGACAGTTGCAAGCATTTCGTCAAAACCGCAACATTGGTATTGTAGAATGGCATGCTCAGACTGATCCGGAGCGCCAGTCGACCGTGCCTCCAGTAACGGTTTGTCAAGAGCGACGAGCCTGGCCCACATCCGGGTGCGCGAGACTCGATAACGCTTTCGACGGATTGACAAGCCTCGTCTATGACAAAATCCGGATGTACTGGTTGTTGGTCGCCAGCTATCGGCCTTGGCGACGATATTACAGCCGTACCTATCTGAGCGGCATTGTCGCGACTGACCAAATTTCGACCCGCTGCCGAATACACTGATGAGGCGTAAAGTTTTCGCTGTAAGGTTCTGACGAAGGACGAAGCAGTTTCGCCCCGAGAGATCAACGATGATCCAGCATTTGTACTTTTGTTAGCCCGCTCGATTCTTCCGGTTCCTCGCAGACTGGGATCGTTTCGATCAGATCGCAGTTGACGCTCTCTTCTCTGAATGCGAAGAGTATAATCGGTACGCTTTGAGGGAGCTACCTGTCCTGTCGGGGAACAACGCGGGCTGAAAGTCGAACACAAAATGATCGCTAGTCTGAGCCGGGGCATCAAAACACGAGGACGGTGGAGTGGGTAGTTGCGGATTTCCATACGAATCATTTCTGTGCGTATAGACAGGCTGTTGAGCTTCTCAAACCAAGATCAGCCATATCAAGCAAGCACTCGCAACCCGAACTCTCTGGGAACACTCTCACGATGCGGCAGACAGCCATACATCTTGGCGGTGATTGCAAAGCGCGACACTCCATTCGTACGATATTCTCTCTCGGGCTGAACACCAGGATAGTTCAGCCGACCATCACTGGCAAATACCTTTCAATCTGAGACCATCTTTACATCGTCTTTTCACGGTATGCTGGTTAAACGTCTGATGTAGAAGTTTCGCAGTTGGACGCGCAAGCGCGGTAGTGGCTTGGTCGCGCTTGTTGCGACTCCTCAGATATAATCCAACTGTGATCTGCATTGATGGTGAAATGTCTGCCTGTCGTTACAGATGTGCTGTTCAACAAAGCAGTCTACCCTATTTAAGTCGTCCACTCAACGCCCTTGATACAACATCGGCTCGCAGTAACAAGCCTTCTCGTGAACGCCGACGCGTTTCAGGAGACATTCCTTCGCCTCGCGGAAACATGTCTGACATGGTTCAAGCGGCTCATCCGATCGAACTCTGTACTCATCGACAAAGATCTCTTGTACCTTGTAGATCTCCTGCGGTTTGAGTGGTTCGTGGTGCCACCGCGTGCTTCCGCCTTCCCTCTTGGTGAACGAAAGGAACGCAGGGAACATGATGTCCAGCTGATTCGGATTTCTGTCTTGAAACCATTCCCATCTCTTGTCGCCTGCCATCCGTTTGAACATGAACGGTTTCTAAGAGAAGTCTCCTTTCACTGCCCAGGCCAGAAACGCAGTCACGATTTGCTTTCGCAATGCGTCTTTTTGCAAAGCAGGCTCTTGCTTCATCTTTGCGATTCTTTTACCGTCGTGATGAGCCGTCAACACCGAGGATGTCTTCGATGTAGCGGTCTGTCTGGAAGCAGTTGAACGGTGCAAAGATGTTCCGATTCTTGACTTGATCTTCGCGAGATCGCGACCAGAGAAATTACTCCCTGAAGTGGTCTCAAACGTCTTTCCAGTCCAGAGGAAAGAATCAGTTGGCGCTTTCGTTCGAACGTCGTTCAGGCTCTCTGTAGAATCGCGAAGACTGCGGATACCGCCATAGCACATGATACTCAGCAACGAAGACGAAAGCAGATCACAACAAGACGGAAGAGCAAAACATACGATAGTCCGAGCCCAAAAGAGCCTTCGTATAACTGGTTGGGCTTTGTGGTGGAAAGTGCCGTAGTTCCATCCGGTCGTTTCACCACATCCAAGTCAGACTGGTCGGTGATCGACAGTTTCTCAAAAGTTTGATCCATTGTAGCTTGTCTTGTTTTCCACTTGAAGCCTTCTCGATAGGCGTTCTTTTCACGATCAACCGGATTTAGTTGTTGTGGGAGAGACCCGATAACTTATATCGATGCGGTCTATAGATCATGTCAACAACGGCGTTACACCTAATCAAAGGAAGTTTTCAAGGGTGTTAATGCGGGTTTGGCGTCTACCTTCGATCTGTCAGGCTACCGAGTACTGCCACTCAAAGCTTCTTTTGTCTCGCAGTGATACGATTGAGACATAGAATCGCGCCATTAGCAATCGCGATGATAGCGATCGCAGTCTGTCAGGCTCTCAATCAGATCCTGAGTTGCGTGTCTTAAGACATTTTTCGCAAGTTCGCAGCCAGCATCCGTTACCTGTTGATATATTCGGTCGGGTAGAGCTACACCATGAGGTGCGGGCGATGCAGATGATTATAACGACGAATCAATTACAGGATACATAAATTGACAGACGGAAAGAAAAGCAAGGTGGCTACCGATCGTGACATCACCAAATGATGGTGTTGAGTCTTCAAGAGAGAGCCGAAGTTGCACAGCGACAAGACGTCGGATCCTCGGCAGTAGCCATCGCATGTAACCCACCCGTGTTCAAGAAACAGCTCTCGCACAATACCCTTGTCTGCGACAGGGTCTCTTCGACGCGTGGATCAACATCGTCGGGACGCCAGCACCAGGGCCTCGAGCAATTCCTTCGGCTTTCACGGAATCGCTGGAGATATGAAGCGAACTCTTGGCGATCCACAAGGCTACCTTTTTGAAAGGAGTCCTGTATAACCTTCGACCGGGTATTCCTGTGTACTTCAGCCCACAACGTTATCTGAGAGCAGAAGTTTGGTAACACCACGTCCATCCATCGAACCGACGTCTGGCACTTTTCTGGGAGCCTTGTATCGGTACTAAGCCTGTGAAGAGGCGGATGATACGTGTGAGGCCAACGTGTGAAAGATGATCGGGGCGGTGTGGAAGAGGCATCTGGCTCTTAAGACGTGACACTCGGGGTTGCTTCCGTAGAAAACGATGTACCGCTGCTGGTGGGTGTATCAATCGCAAGATTTTCGTATGCCCAGACTGTGTCGTTGAATCCTCCAAACTCTCTACCAGTGATGTAGTTTGCATGACGAGCGATATGGTTATCTCCCCTCATGATGAGGCAGCCAGCGAGGTTATGAGTGTATCTGCTGGTAACAACGAAAGCAAATGGGTACAATCCTCCCGGCCAATTTGCATACTACTGGTTTTATATACCGGAAGCTGATGACCGCAATAAAGGATCACATATAGGTAAACCCCTTTGTAGAGTGGCGACGATGAGCAACGACGAGATCGCGCGATATCACGACTAAAGACGTTCCCTTTGCCCCTATAGCGAAAGGCGAACGTCTTGTCAGCGACTGGTCGAAACATGATCAATCGATCGATCAGATCAATGACTCCCCCATGTGCACTCCAACGATGAGGTCTTGTCTATACATGTACAGTCGAAAGTATGTACCGCCTGCCGCGGTTGCTCAACTCAGGCGGGCTTTCGAGAACCCAATGTAATTGAAGTGACCGATTCATCTTCCGCAGTACGTGCGGCGAGGCTTAGACCCATGAAGTTGATCACTCGGTTAGATGCGGGAGTAAGCACTCGACGCTTCTAAACTCAATCAATACCCCGATCGCTAGCATCTGGACTTGCAACCTCGAAGATCAGTCCTTTCAGAGTATCGAGAAGTTCAGTAAGCTATCTCGATCGGGAAACTTTAGCGAGCGGACAGCTACCGCTGGATAGTCTTTTCCGCTGTTGTAGAGATAAGATCTATATCACACTTCTCATAGACTAGTACATATGTGTCCCGGCCCGTCACAACGGAACTTCCCCCTAACGTGGAAGCAAGGCATACAAGGTTTCGCTTCATCGAGATTCACGGATCTCTGCCAATCGGCATACCAGACGCGCCGATGTCTCTTCGCATGAGTGACGTACTCATTGATGATGTCCTCGGTGTAAGGTTGGCGATTTAATGCGAAATCCTTCACATGAGCTTCGAAACCCAAGTTGAGGGTGATGCTGTGTGCACCTCGACAGTACTTGATAAAGCGACGGGTGATCCAATCGTCTTGCGCCTCGATGTCAACTTCAGACGCGATGGCTTCAGCAAGCAAGATATCGTCACGAGCTTCTATCCTTGATTCTCGCTCCATCAACTCGTCCACAGACAGCTGTTCAATTTCTGAGGAAATATCGGGCAGCTCAGCGATCCGCCTCCTGCCGCGGGGTACGGACCTTTGGATACCCGCTGACCTCGGCGGTATGCTATCAGGGGATTGAGTGTGTTGTAGATTGTTGCGACGTCTCCTAGCGGCTGCTGATCCTGATCCTGTCTGTCGACGAAGTCTTGCCAAAAGAGGAGAAGACAGAGGGTCTGAACTCGAAGGAGTGACAGCATCTGATGTAGGCTGGTATTCGATAGAAGCGAGGGTCGTTGTAACCTCACGTCCTGATAGACTTGCAGGCCAGACCGGGGGGCTCGAACCTAGAACAGGTTGAACCGGTCCTGAGTTCTCGAACGTGAAAAGGATACTAGGCGAATTTTGCATGGAGTCGATGGATGGGTCAGTGTATGACCGCTGCGGATGCGGGAGGCTGTCCGCCCGATTGTGAAACCCTGGCAGTTGGACCTGTTGTAAACCTGAGAGCGTGCGTCGGTTTGGAACACCATATCGACGAGGTATGTGCCCATGATGTACGCTTTCGGGATCGAAATCCGTGCTGAGGTCGATTGGGATCGAAGACGGGCTCTGCGTCAACGGATGGGAGGTAGGAGGTCCTCCAAGAATGCGATAGCTTGGAGCATGTGCAGTCGATAAGGAGTGAGGCTGCGTCGATACGCTTCCAGCTGGACCGTCGTAGGTATTAGCCTTTTCACCTGCGATCAGGCCTTCGATGCGAGCCTCTTCGGTCGTATACTGATCCATGTTTGGGATTGAAACGGATTGATCAGACGTGATTGAGACTGATTGGTATTGCAATCGAGCTACGCCAACCCACTACCTTGCAGATGGGCGTACGCGAGCTTATATATTCATTGGGTGCAACGCAGGAAGCTGAAAAGCTGCGAAACGATTCCTTTGTCTGTTCCTTATTGTCCGACTAGCCTGGCTAGCCCCCTGTGAGCCCGGAGGAGATAGAGGGGTGAAATCGATTGCGCAATCCGGTCCCTGTTGTCGCTAGAATGTCGGAATCTCGCCTCATTCTGGGTCAGATGTAGCTTGATTATGTCATAGGTATATGAATATGAGACGCAAGTGCAACGATGATGTGATAATTCGACTGACGGCACGACGACTTGATCGAGATCGCGCTCGATCGGGAATAACAAGCACTCAAGCCATTGACACATGTTTCACTTCTTCCTTTGATTGTCGCACTCGACATTCTTAGTACTGTCGCGATGAGATACTAACGTAAGACTCACCCACGTTTGTGCCGCTGCTTTTAATCGTTGCGGATCATTGGCCAGAATGATTCACATGTCCCGCCCTTATTGCACGGTTGTGTATGTCGAATACATCGCTCAAGCCTGATGGCGAACAATGACCTGCAAGCGCATCTCGGCAGTTACAGTGTAAGCAAGTACTGGTACAGTGGCTTACCCTTCTACGGCAGGTGTAAATTTACAATGACAACTTGTTCAGTGATTTTCTAATGCTAACTACCATGCCATTCATTATCACAAGGACTTTTACGGAAACGTCCGAAGTATTTCACACATTTCCAACAGAGCGTCCCAGGATCTGCCTTCAGGTCATTACACCAGGGGCGATTCACCTTGACCTGGAAGTTCACGAACTCTTGCATTACTTTCTCATCGTAATGGCCAAAGAAATCACTGCCACCGCCTGTCAATGCTAAAGTGTAGATATGCTGACCTACGCTCCATTTCTGTCCGAAAGTGCCGCGGTACCATTCCGCAAACCGTCCGAGAATATAGAATTCAGTATGCGAAAGTACCGGACACAGGTCGGTGAGAGCTTGCATAGCTGTCGAGTCCGCAGGATTCGGAAGCCCCTTCTCTTCCGCCTCTTTCATCATCAAATATGCGGTTTCGAGCCTATCGTGCGTTGTTTTCGTCTTTTGCTGTCGAGTTTGGTTGATTTTCATTTCACGCTTCACCACATGCAATGGGTTTTCGTAGGGTGGTCGTGGGAGGTGTTTTTGGATGCGATGAGGATTTATGCGTTGACGCCAGGACGAAGCACTTGAAGGTGACAAGATTGATGTCACGGTCCCGTGCGAACAATTCTCATCACTGAGCTGAGTGATTGAACTCATCTGGTGCATGCTGAAAGACCCATCCATCGCAGATTGCTCCAGGGCAAACGTGGCGTCAGGAATCATCCACCGGCTTGCTCGAATCTGCCGCGCTAAACCAGATTCTGGTGAACTTGTAGCCTGTGATGCTTGAAGCGCTGTATGATCTGGAAGAAGACAGCTCAGATCTGGAACCGAGCCAGCATTCCACTCGAAAGCCTCTTCTTGGTGACATCGGTATAATTGTGACGGAGCTGCTATCGAATGTTGTACATTTTGCGCTTGTGGGAAGGTGGCGGAGCGCTTTCGAATCGGCCGCGGCATCCGCTCCCGGATCGGGGAGGATTGGGAAGGCGAGGCCCAGACAGCGTGTTCTGAGTCGTAGAATGACCCGTCCGTTTGAGACGCTGGCGAGAGAAGATGACTCCCATTCCAAGCGAAATTGGGCGATACTGCCTTGATCGTTTGTATAGACGGGTCACCAATAACGCTATCAGTCGGCGAATGCAAGCCGCAACTCATCACGTTCACTGTCTCCTGGAATGTCTGGCATGATGAAGAGGAAGGCATCAATCTGTAGTTGACGAAAGGATTTGACGGAGTCGTAGCTGGTTCCTGTGGGAAAGCGTCCATCGAATAAATGGTATCAGTGCACTGGCTATACTGCGACAAGGGTGGCGCCATGTTCATGATTCGATTTGCATGCGCTTCCGTTCCCTGCGTAAAGAGTTAGTGGTTTTGGAGATAGCTAGTTCTTCAGTTGAGGATCATTCTGCTAGTCACCCAGGGCCTATATACAAGTCACTATGGACCGAAGAACCTCACAGAACGCAACAAACCCGCGACCTCCTTTGTCATCCCAACTCCATCTATCGCGATGCCTCGGATATCAGGCGATGTACAGTGAAACCAGCTACGTGATGCGATACAGATTTTGTTCATCATGGGATCCGATTGGTCAAGAATAATGCGCACCAAGTTCACGGCATTGCACTCCATAGAATTGCGCTGGGTTCTTTCACCTCTATCAATGATTGATCGAATTCGGAAAGGCTATGGTGCTACAAATATGTCGACTGGGGAAATTACTGTTTCCGCCTACGGCAGGAAAGGATTTAATCTAGCTCATTTTCCCTCTACCTCCTTGTGAGCCGCGCTTAGACTGTTCTCTGGGACGTGTCCGCTACATTTGGCTTCCCGTTACAGGGAAGGCAGCCTGATTCCGTTCCCTTCTTTCCCTTCGCCGGATGGAAATGGGGCAACGACAACCATTACCACTGTTAATGGTATTCACCGCATAGAATTTGCCATATGCCTTGAAGCATTTGCCGCAAATGACGGGAGGTCTGTCGATCCAGATACCCGCTTCAGCCCTTGCCCACGCCTCAAATGGACCGAACTTGATGTCGCAATAACGTTGCCTCGACCCGGGTTCTCGTAGATCCTCCAATATACTCTCCTGGTTTCCTATGAGAGAGCGATGCCAAGTGAGGCCTATGTACAGGCTGAGTTTTTCGAGGGTACAGTAACTTATGAGCTGGAATTCAGATTCATCGATAGCTAAGGGCTTCGCGCCCAATGTAGAAGTTTCATTCTTACTTGATATAGTCGGGCCTGTCGGGGTAGGTGAATCGAATGATAACACGGTCCGGAAGAAATTGCTGACCGATGAGAGGTCTTGTTGATTCTCTGAGGACATGTCCACGGTATTTCAGGTACGCTCGGGTTCGAGTTTCTGGTGTTGTTCTATCTCTGTCATCGACATCAGTACGATGAGCAAATAAGAGCACCTTCATGACCGTGGAGTATTTGTATTCGAGTCGGAGTGATTTCGGAACCCCGCACCGCTGAGTTCGCTAAGAAACCTCCTTTGTTGTGCTCTATCAGGCAGACAGAAATCGCCACTTTCGGATAGTGGAGTTACATCGTCAGAACAGCTAAACGACAATACACGTCGGAGCAATACAGCATGATATATATCTAGCCCGATGTGGGTATACGACACGTGGTCAAGCTTCGGAGCGTAGAAACATTGTTTCGCCAGCAGACGCAGTGCAGGCCTCTGGCTAGAGGTCTCTCGGTTCGTCTGCAGGGTAGTATCTTGTACTTTGGGTGATCAAAGGATTGCCCTGCCTCTTTTCCTCTGTGACCAGTATACACCTACAAGCTGCTTGTTGTTTCCGGACCCTCTTTGGATAGAACGATCCATATGTCCAGAAACAAAGGGCATATATCTTGACGAGATCATCATTCCTTGGTTCTCTCTTTAGGGCCCACTCCTTAAAATGACAGAGTGCTCCACCAATGAAACGATACCTGAATGTGCTTGTTCTCACGTCCCCGTCGAGCCAATGATACTCTTCCACCCATATCGCGAAGAGTTCGAGACTGCAGTATGAGATAGGCTCCGCTATCTCGTAATTAAAGCTCTCGATGGTTTTCTTTTGCGATGGAACAGCCTTAGTCACTTTCGCATAATGGGGAGCATACCGGGATGACTTCCGATGTTTGACCATTGAAGAAGCCTTTGAAAGGTTTGAGCCGTTATCCCTGAGCTGTAACATTTGCGAAGACCTGGCAGTAGTTTCTTGATTATCTGAGAGAATCATACTAAGATCGCTACTCCAGTATTGTTCAGTACACTCATCCCTGGGAACTTGTCGTGAAGAGAACTGGAGCGGTATGCGGACGGAATCACTGTTCCCATTGGCTATACCGTGAAAGGATCCGTAGGAGAGAGCCGGTGTATGCAACATTCCTTGCGGGTAGATCGGGGATGTTTCAGCGATATCGTATCGGTTAAGCGCCAGACCACTCTGACTGACACTCAGTGCAGCACAAGAGGCCCACTTCGCAGAGTATGAAAGACCATCTGTGCCGTTTGTATCATGAAGGGGGATGTCCACAGACATGGAAAGGGGATTCGCGATTTGGTTGAACGAAAGCTCACCGGCGATTCCTTCGCTAGTTTTGTCATCCCCATCTACAGAAAACCATGCTAGAGGATCGTTCACGATGTCAAGGGGATAGTCGGTCATCTTGTATGCTTTATATGTTAAGCTTCGATAATACTCGCTAGGACGATGACGATGAAAGAAGTTAAACAGTTCATACACTTGAATAAGTGGTTATCGACATTTGACCTCCTTTGTTGTGACAGTGACCAGCCTTCTCCCTGCTTCGACTTGTCTCGTGGCGTGTTTCACTGATGTGCATCGATGTCCGATCACCTCATCGGACGATCATGTACTATGGCCATGACCGAGCCATATTCCATCCTGAGTATATCGAACAGCTCGAAAGCTATCCAGACCCTCCTCGCATGGGTAAGAAATCGTGAAGCGATACGGGGTGAGCAAAGCAGTCGACCTAGCGTGGCAATCGGCTCGGAACGGTTTCAGGTTGCGGAATCAAATTCTACAGTAGCGCGGAGCGGTTTCAGGCGCTTCAAGCCCAAACGTCATCTCTTGCACACAATCGTATTGTTGAGCGATTCATTTGTAGTCTCGGAAGCTGACAAAAGCCAACTTTAACAACTCTAGATTGTAAGAGAGCGATGAGGGGTTGTTTCTTTGAGCGTGTATGAGCATGGTCAGCAATATGGCTAATCCCGCTCGACCTCCAAAAGCTAACTGGCAAGTATATCGGTGCAGATACTATGGTATTCCGCTGCGGATACCTCTATGTATAGAATGATAAGGCTCATAATATCAGTCTCAACAGTCTTACATCTGATCGAAATGACTAATCCGTACGACTGAAAGTCATCCCGTGTAGTGGGCTGTGTCAATGGATGTCATCGTGGAAATCGATAGGTACATTCAAGATACGACGAAACCGGCTCTGTTCCATGTTCTATATGCTATGTAAGCAGGAGCATCGAAAAAGAGCAACACGACACCATAGCGATATCTATGTGTATACCGTACAATCGCCCAGATCGCATTCAGATAGAACAGTGGCCTCGGACCCTTGCACGTCCTGAGGCGGATGAATGGGTCGCCACGTCGACTTTCCGGCGTCTCGATATACTTGGGCGTGCTTCTGGAAGTACAAAGATTTAACCTGATGGCATTCGCACGCCTCTTCATAGTTGTTCGATCGCGTAGGATAAAATTGTCCGTATGTGTGGTAACAGTATCCACAAATTCTGATCGCAGGATTCTCTGCTAATCCAGCCTTTGTGCGTGCCCATTCTTCGAAGTCTCGCAGACAATAGAGATCGAGAAAACGCCTTGTTGACGCTTTGAGCAGTGTTGCCAACCGCTTCTCCACCGATTCCGGAACCACCGTCTTGGACTCAAGCCGTTCCATCCACTCTGCAAGGAGTCTCAGAGTACAGTACGGGATAGGCTCTGCCAGCGGGTGCGACAAAGGCGCTGCTGCTGACTTTGGTCCCTTTCTCGGACCTTTCTTAGCTTGCGAGTTGGACCCGCCTGGAAAATTGACGGGACTACTGCTCCGCATTGCGCCATAAGACACAGAGGGTACGAGCACGAAAGAGGCAGTATCAACGACAGATGATGCATCATACTGCAATCGCAGGAGTGAATGCTGGGAAGCATCATCGAGCGGTCCTGACATCACGTCGTTGCCGCTTATGAAGCCCGAAACGCCAACGGTTGGCCATTGTGGCTGGACGATCCTTGCCTGCGACGGATCATGCAACGTGCCGACGAATGCATCGGACAGATCCATAGTCCGTTGAATAAAGGGAGTGCCGTCATGTTGCATCCCTAAGTCCAAGCTATCCCCTTGTGATTGCGCCGGTACAGGCGGGCCCAAGGTGGATGTCTGATCAAGCAGATCCGCAGAACGAGACGGATACCAAGGTGAGTTGAGGGGATCACTCTGTATCATGGAATCGTTTTGACTGTATTGGGACTGACGACGAGTCATCGAGAATGAGTATTGATGATAAGGCTCCACATCAGGTGCGATGACGGGATAGCAGAGCTCGGGCATGGTTGGACTGATTGGTAACAATATTCCCGCACTTGCCTGGCAAGCATATTGCGAGGATCCCACATCAAGGTGTCCTCCCGAATACTGATCTAGACACCACGATTCCTGAGGGTCGATACGCTGTCTCTCAGGGCTGACTAGGAGGTGATCTGTTGCAGCCGTATCGTCGAAAGGCAGATTCAAGTCGTGAGGCAGATCGTCAAGCGTGATGGATGCAACAAGTTCTTCAGACATGGTCGAGGGACCGATGTAACCAACTTTCTAAGCCAATATCCTTGCTGAGGAGATAGAGACGCTGTCAATATATATACCAGAGAGTTTCTTCTGTCGTCATTAGCGCTTTCCTTTGATCTGATTGAGAGCGTAGGTTATTTAGCTTCTCGGTCGGCCTATTGAGCGGACCATCACGTGCCAGGCGAGTTTTTGCATTCGCCGTCAACTCAAAATTGACTTCAATAACGCTTTCAAGACGATTCCTCGCTCGTGCATGTCATCATTTGCTTACGATGTTTGAGCTATACAGGTCAGTCCGCGGAACGCGCGCCTAGCAAATCGCTACCAAAATGTTCCACCTACATGCGAACCTCACTGTAGGGGCTGTTCCCAACCAGTACGGGCTGTTCCCAACCAGGCCGTGTTGATTTTATTGCTTGGTTCATTGCCACTTTTGATACCTGAACCGCTCATACTTGTACTGGGCACAGAAGCGCTGTAGTAATTTCAAAGAGAAAGATCGTCCGGATCGTCTTCCAGCTGTGATGGCATACACACAGATATTATTCAAAGCAGCAAGTGCGCTTCAGGAAACAAGGTTCACCTGCACATTGAATATCCCACCTGCACAAACCGTCTACTGTGATCGCCAAACACACCAAGTATGAACATTCTCAAGCATCTCCGACAAATCAGAGCCCCATACCCAATACGCTGCGATGCATCAATCACGAGGATTCATCTGCTTCACTGCTAGCGCGCTGCGTCGTACTAACATAGTTCCAAGCTAGGTTTGACATTCGGTACTAAGGAGTGCTTCTTGCCTCTGGTCTTCTTCCGAGGGCAGAAACAACCCTGACCAGGTATTTGACCATGTGGAACGCAAAATACGCCACGCTCAGCAAGGCAAGTGCGGCAAATTCCTGCAGTCGTAGGTTCGAGACCATTGCGTTCCCTAACAAAATTGTGGAACACGAGTAGCTTCATGTTCTTCACCAGGTTCTTCCTCGTTCCTGGATGCTGCAGCTGTCTATCCAACTCATTGGGTCCCGGAAGCTTTGAGGGATCTTTTATCGCGTACAAGTATTGTCGAAGCACCGCTAGTGAGAGGTAAGATATCTCTACGATCTGTACTTCATTGGATACCATTGCCTGTTCGTCACTGATACTGTCCCGTAAACCGACCTGATTGTGCGAAATGCGGGCAGACTGATCTCGATGGTCTGTCGGCGTTACGACGGGTACACTATTGCTCGAATAAGCAGTCGCGGCGCTCCCATTATCCTTTCCGGGAAGAGTACCCTGGAACGTTGACAATAAGTGCTGGCTGCGATCTCTGACATGCGATGTGGCAGGGCGGAACGGATCGGCCAAGGTCATGTTTGATTCAGAAAGCCGTGGTTCCAGGACTGTGGGCGGGGAATATCTCGGCAGTGCTGAAAGGTCACCGAAAACTGAACTGGCGCGGTATGATGGGATAGGAGTCGTTCCATGCTGACTGGACGCAAAACCGGGAGTCGAGGCGCCTTGTAAGGATTGGGTATTATGCTGCAAGAATTGTGATAAATGGGCATCACTGTATGAAGAGTCCTCGTCACCATTGCTGATGGCTTTTGGATGTGACCCGGGCATGACCGACTGACTCTATATCTCTTCGATAGTCATTGCAAGGTCGATAAGACAGAATAAACCAAGATATAAACGGTCAAACTCTAAGTACTCGCTGCTTCTGATCCGGACCGGGAAGCTAACCTGCTTTCCAAAGCCACTCCTTTGTGTGGTTGTATCGGCGCTATATATATCTGATAGCACCGCACTATATCCCGAAATGGGACAAGCAATGTCTGATAACAAGTTGAGCGGCTAGGCGTGAAGGAACAGCAAGCGATCGAGAATCGGACTTGGAACCGAAACACAGTCTCGTGGTCGGGCTCGTGGCCTTTATAGCGATCGATTCAGCATGATGGATCATGGCGACATAATCGCGATGTAACAGCCGTTGCGACCTGACTCAAAAGTAGCGTACGGCTGAGAGCATCCTTACAGCACGACCGACGTGTTTCCGGGCTCGCGGTCTACAGTATGCGCAGTTCGTAAGGGGCACTTCCATGAGTTTGGCAAAATCAGTAATCTCCGCTCTGTGAATGAAGCGTGATTGTGTCTCTCCAATAATACCGACAAGCCCTCGATCACGATGACAGGTCGCGAACCCCGATCTGAACACAGCTCGTTGTGCATCTGCGTCGCATCGCGCCTTAAGCGATATGTAATGCCGAGCGTTTCAGCCGGGCGCAATCTTCAACCTTTTCTGTCGGCAGTCTATGGGCATTCCATATGAGGTATCCAGCACTCTACTAGCTCGTTAGCAGCTACCGCCCGAGACAACATAGCTTTGCCACTTCGACAGAATCACGAAAGAGTTCGACAGGAGACAATGATCTGGCAGATACGTATACAGTATGCAATCATACAGCAGGGATGCAATGGTATGACAGTCGATTCAATTCATCAAAGGAAGATCACCAGGCAGAGATCGCCATCCTGTATTAAGCTAGGTCTAGAGTACAGGCAAATGCAGAGGATACCACAGTTTATATCCGATGTCAAGCCTTTCTTTTGGATCCCTTCGGTTGTTTTCTAATCTCCTTTCATACGAAACCTTTTCGCATCGACGGGCATTGAGGACACCATCCATTTCTCTGGCAGGCAGAAGCATGCCATAGGCTTTAAGACACCAGGAACAGAGCTTGATCTCCTCATCCACAATGTTGGCTTGCTTTGCTGCCCATTTCTGATAGTACCAGAGAGTCTTCCCGCGGACCTCGGCCCGACCAGCCTTCGTCTTCAATTCTGCTAGACTGTTTTTGACCGTCTCGGCTTCAGTTGCAGGCCATTTAGTGATGTGGTCCAGAACTCTATATCTCGCGAGACTGTTCAGATTGCAGTGAGCGGCACTTGGATTTCCTTTGTTCTTGCCCCCCGACCTGCGCTCGCTTCTCCTGCCATGAATGCTCGCCTCGTTTGACTCGGGGACCGAGGATGGAGGTTGCGATGTATCCAGACATTGTTGTCCACTGTGGCTGCAGATTCACTGAAGATTCCATACTCAAGTGGGTTCAGATTCTGAAAGGACATCCCAGGGGTCGCCTGATGCAGACTTCTCGGCATCTGATGGGACAAGTCTTGGCAGGATCCGTTAGACTTTTCGTTCTGCAACCAGGCCAACAGAAGAGATCCGATGTCCTGATCATCTGTTTGAGCAGCACGATTACTGAAGTCGAGTTCGTTTGATGTGGGGTCAAGTGTAGGCTGGTCCGGCTGACTGGACGGATCATGGAACTCCCAAGAAACATACGAAGGGAGAAATGGGGTATAGCCAGGGTTACAAGATCCTCCATGAGCGGAGTATAAGCTGGGACAGTCTGGATTCAATGTAATTGCCTGATCTGGATGTTCTTGAACACTTGTCATCTGTACGTACTAGTGCTAGCTAGGAAAGACGCGCCTCTGTGTTTTGGCTAGGATCTTGTCAATGTGGCTTTCAAGCGAATATCAATACAACCCCGTCAAGAGGGTCAGGCATATATAGACAGTAGCCGCAGCCGTACCAACAGGAACTCTATTCGGCCTCCGTTGTTTTGATTTGCAAACAAGCTTCTTTCCCCCCTCTTTCCCCCCAGTCCCTCGCCATAGTGCTGCTTGCGATATCATCTCCGACTGTAGTTGAGCTGCCCTGCAGAGTGTGCGTCCTCCAATTTGTACCGCAATTATACGTCAAAGATTCATGCAGTTATACATTGCATTATGCCAACAAGTCCCGCGTAGGGGAGCAACTAACGGCACAGCAGGGCTCAACTTTAACAGAACAATGAATTTGGAAAGGCTGAAACGGTACAAGTTCTGGCAGAAAAACACAACGGACAAACTGGAAACCTTAATCTAAATCCTTAGGTGAATCCGGGGGAAACCAGTATCTACTCCCAATTTCGAGAGGTTTGTCCTTCTTGAGATTTTCTTCTATCGTTGATCTTGTGACACGTTCGCATAGGCACGCATTTGTGTTTGGATCTGTCTTCCTGTCTCTTTGTGGCTTCAATAAGCCGTAGGTCCTGAAGCAATGTAGACATAGCTTGACTTTCTCATCTTTGATCCCTGCTTGCTTGGCTGCCCACTCCTGATAGGAGAATAGATGATTCCCATTGATCTGCCTCCGGACATCATGTTTCTTTAGCTCTTTCAAGCGTGTCTCAATCACTCCTTCTTCAGTTGAAGGACGCATGTTCCACATCGCAAAACCCTTCAAATTACAGTGGGCGGCACTCTTTTCCCCCTTGTTTCTGCGCTGGTTCATCCTATACTCTCCTCTTGACCGACGCGTGCTTGTTTGGCCAAGCTGAGGAGCGGAGGGAAGTGATGACTTGGCCGCAGCAGTACTCTCCGTTGACACTCCCGTCATTGGGAACCTAGAAGAGCTGTCGTCAAGCAGTTCCGAATCGCGAGAGACAGACTGTGGGGTTGAATGCCACAGACCTCCCGGCGTCGATTCTTCAGGATATCGACTGAAGTCGAACCCGCCATCACTTCGCGATTGGCATGGGGTTGAATGTGGCTGGGTGCGGGACCCAAGATGCTGATCAGCTCCATCCGTATTCGAACCAATGCTACACCCAATGGCCGCAGCGCTAGATAGATGGCCGCCCACTTGAAGACTCCGATCAGGGGATCCCTGGGGAACATACGAAGATGGAAATGGGAGATACCCAGGGTAACGATACTCTCCCCCAGCTGTACCATACAGACTAGGATAATATGACTCCGATGACATGGCCAGTTTTGATATTTATCGATCACTTGCTGCCAGAAGTAAGTATTGAGCAAGAATAATGAGCCGCTTTGTCCTGACCAAAGGGAAGCATAATCTTGATCTCGATTCCCCTGATGCTCCGAACCATCGGCTATATATATATATATGTACACACTGTGGTGGATTTGCATTGAGAACAGTCAGCTCCATCACTCCTTTGTCTTGTACATGAAACAAGCTCCTTTCCCCTCACATGAATGATCATAATGATCGACATGATCACGCGCAAACGCAGATCATGTGACTGCGCAGCCAAGCTAGTGTTGTTGCTGGACTAATCTTGTGAACAGATGATCTCGTCGAACCTCGACTATTGCTGTGTGAGATTTCTGTGGAAAACAACAAGTGTATATCATCATATGGTCACTGGCTGCCGCCTCTCTCGATATAAATATGGGATAAAAACAAGCGCTTCACATCGATGGCAGAAACTAGCGGATTTAGAGCGCCAACAGTATCGAGCACGGCATCGAGCACTCCTTTGAAGTAACAGCAGCTTCTCCCCATGATGATTCACTGCATACACGCAGCGCAGCTTTCAGCCTGCATATCTTCGATCATGATACAGCAGAACATTCTCTTCCGCACAGAATAGCTCGGGTAACGAACGGCTCAACAAGCGCGTTCTGAGCTTAGCCCCGTATTCAACAAGCTCTAGCAGGACATGGCGTTTTGAGAAACCATCGTTTCGGTCCATGACATGCACAGAGCGGTATCATCGAGCACGTCATCGAGCCCTCCTTTCACTTGTGAAGGACATGTTCCCTTACGCTGAAAGGTTCCAGCTATTCGATACCGACGTTTCCGGCCTTGAATCTAGCTGAATAGAACAGTGGCGATCAAGCTAACGCGGCGGGGGAGTGACAAGCGCGACCTCAAGCCCAATCAATCTTACAGTCGATGTGCGCCGCTATGTTGAACGAACCAGAGCATATGGAAAGGTATGATTCAGTCGACTTCGGATTGATTCCCGCTGTCGTATTGTCAACTGCCAAACAGGCTTACATACTGACTACACCGACATCAGTACCACGATGATCGATCTTACGGGTATCGCGCTGTCCTTCCATGCTTCAGAATTTCCATTGCTTGTATCATCCGACCCGTCGCGATCAGGCATCGCGATGGACTGAATGAATGAAGGCCATAAAACGCGCTTGTATTTCCGTTTTTTGCGACACCCATATCGGACGACTAGATCGAGATTCGCTTCGTACGAGATGTCAAGCTGAGGTCATAGTGCTACAAAGTGATCTTTAGGGGTTAAAGTGCGGACATATCTGACACAGAAGCTCTAACATTGATACCAGTGACCTCAATATCAAGTGGGAGGATAATCTGGCCGCCAAAACCGAGCTGAGCTCGGAAGTTTGGAGTACTTCTCTCTGTCTTCGTCAGAAACAGGCATACATTTGCATGCCTCGCCTTGTTTTTTCGTTCTCTTGGGCAAAAATATGCCATCGGCCACAAAGCAGATGCCGCATATCGTGGGACCCCCTTTTCCTCCTTGGACATACTTTTTGAAAGAATTAAGCTGTTCATGGCCCCACTTTTGCCTCTCAGACCGATCAGCCAAGTTCCGAGTCGACGTCTGATCTTCGAACGATGAAGTCAGGTAACATCCGCGTTTCTCCAACGCCCATGTAGCAAACGCTTCCAGAGTAAAACGGGGATCGGGCTTGGCTATTGTACCCAATTGCTTTCGGCGAAGGTCGTTTTCGCGAGGTCGGGCCACCTTGCGTTTGTCAGCTTTGGTAACCTTGAATTTACTTTGTCCTGGGTGAGACCTCGGTCTGCGGACTTTCAATGCAGACGACTCGGGTGTGGCGGAGTATCCGCTGACGTAGAGGCCGACCTTTCGCGACTCATCCCGAGACTGAGTAGGCTGTAGTCTGGCTGATCTGAACCGACTCTGACATGATTGGGGGTTGAGGGCTGGTATTGCTGAGACGGGGCAACCGCGAGGTCTGATCGACTAGAGGAATATCGATCGTCCAAGGCCGGAAAGATATTCAAGAAGGTTGACGGGGGCCCGGACGACAGGTGCTTGAGTTCATAGTCAAGTGCTTGGGAGACCCAATCGTCCGGTACAGATATTGTGTTTTCGTACATTGCGATGGTGTTGCGCTGTGCTTGTGTATCAAGTCGCGCTATTGATTCAGACGCTGATCCGAGACCATTGCTGTACAACTAGGATGCAATCAGAGATTGATCAGCGGATTGGACCCGCCAGCCCCTCGAGAAGTCGGCATCGTCTGATGTCGAACAAACTTGTACATTCGACACTAAAACACACCCAACTCGAGACAAGATGTCATTAAACATGCTGGTGGGACAGTCCCTCACAGACCAGCCAAGCTGATTCAAGAGCTCCATCTGTTTTAGCCATGTGATTGCTGTGCTCATCTGCATCAGTGTTGTTGTCATCTACATCTGCTTCGACCTCGACGTCTGCAAGTTTTGTCTTGGCATGCAAGGTGGGCTCGGTAGTAGGGGGATCTCTATCGGTACGTAAGGGCGATAGCAAATGCTCAATCAACGTTTCAAATCTTGTCACAGTCATACACCGGTCCACCGAGAGTACATGTTGGTATCACAGATTTTTCAATTCTTCCCATCTTTCCGATATAAACTCCGTCCCTTCCGCGCAGGAGACTCCCCGTTTACTCTGCTCCGCTCTTCTCCTCCAACCACTTGTAAACGATACTGAAATCCCTCGCATCCCAATCCTCCGTGCCCCTGACTTTCCTGAAGATCTCTTCGGCCAACCTGCCCACGTAGAGCGGGGCGTCGACGTGACGAGCAGCTTCGACGGCCAGATCGAGGTCTTTGTGGGCGAGGGCGGTGACGAAGCCGCCTTCGTAGGAACGGGATGCGGGTGGGGGTTTGGCGACTGTGGGGAGGTGGACGCCGGGGACGGGGAAGTTGATCTGCCGAGCGATAGCCAGGGCCAGCGTGGTGTGTCGAATGTTTGGAACCATAACGAGCGAGATCATGCAGGAGGAAGGGCGATATAGAACCTCGTCAGCTCCTCCTATCCTCATCGCGAACATGCACCGCAAATATGCGTAAAGCCATCTCAAGTCGTCCTGCTTTCTCCTCTCCCGTCTCCCGCGTCGCATCGGGTCTGCTCCTTGTACGTATCGTGAACTTGTCTCCTCAACGCTCGACTTTCTCTTCGTTTACGCCCCGGTTTAACCCTGTTTTATTTCGGTGACACGTTTTCCTGGTCTTTTCCGAAGGCTCGTTCTCCTTCGAAGTCGACATTTACTCCGAGCGCTCAATCCCCTTCGCTTTCCAATTCACATCCCACCCCTCCTCTTCCTCCCAGAAACAATCCAATGACAAGCTGAAAGAAGCAACTCACCGAACTAGCCCAACACTGCCCCGTACTCGTATTGATAATGTTACCCAACAACTCGCTGTCCAACCCGAGCTTCTTGCCCATGAGCATCGCTTCGGACAGGCCTAGCATGGAGATCCCGAGTTGCATGCTGCGAGAGCGAGAGTGGGTATGGACCAGCCCGTCAGCGCGACTCGAACACACCCTCCACTACCTCACACGTCCTCGTCCATACGTCCCCCCTCCCCGAACTTGGACTCGGACTCGGAAACCGGGTCTCGGAACTCACTTGTTACAAAGCTTCGCAGCCAAACCCATCCCCAACCCACCACACATGATCACCTTTTTCCCCATCATCCCCAGCACCGGTTTAGCCCGTTCGAACGAGGCCGGGGAGGATGCGCCGCACATGATCGTCAGGGAGGCGTTTTCGGCGCCGTTGACTCCTGCGTTTTTTCGTCGAACCCCATCAGACGAGATCAGATCAGATCGTTTTGGTTGCAGATGAGATCAGGTTGATGTGATAATGACGACGATGACGAAGGACACCGCGGACTCACCTCCACTAACAGGCGCATCCACCCACATCCCCCCCGCACCCTCGATCTCCTTCCCAACCTGCTGACTAACGTCCATCCTTATAGTGGATTGTTCGATACAGAGCGTGTTCTCCACTTCGTTCTTGCCTAGTTTGCCTCCTTTCAATGCTGCTAGCACCGTGGAATCGGGTGACACGGAAGAAGAGGTACTGGAGGAAGAAGAAGAAGGAGCCCCGGTGTACACGCTCTGCACGTGCGTGTGGGTAGGGATCATACTGACGAGGGTCGAGGCGGAGAGGGCGGCTTCGTAGGGGTCTATCTCGGGGTTGTATCGAACATCAATCAGGCGATGTCAGGTGAGATTGTAATGTAGGGGGGGGGGGGGGGGGGGGGGTGATAGGATGTAGGAAGAGGTCGATCAGCTTTTAAGACAGGGGACATGCGACATGCGACGTGGCGTGGTGTGGATAGGATAGGAAAGGAGAGGAAAACGAGATCGTGGTCATGACTATAACTAGAACTCACTTTCGACGACCCCAACCTCAACCCCCCCGCTACTCCCCAAGACCTCCCGCATCCTCCTCAACGTATTATCCACATTCTCTTTGAACGGATCACAGATCAAGATCCTCTTGGGTTTACCGGATTTCATGTGAAGCCATTCCGGAGAGAAATCCCCCGCCGCCGACTGGAGCTGTGGGTGGTTGGGCGAGGAGAGGGAGGAGAGGAGGATGTTGTTCACCATGTGGTTACCCATTCGACCTATAGATATATAGTGAACGTCCATTCCATTATGGGGTTGTTATCCGTCATGGAGCAACGAAAAGAAGGATATAGTCGTTAACGGTGATACTGTAGTGACGATAATAATGGACACGGCCTGACAGCGAGGAGGAGGAATGGGGACTTACCGACGCCGATGAACGCCAAGGTGTCCGCTCGGGACGCTTGACGGAGGATAGGAGTGAAGCGCATGATGAAGTCGATCTGTTCTCTGTTTCTTTGTGTTGCTCTTCGTGTTAACGATTTAGGTTATACTTGATAGCTTGATGGAAGTAGATGAGATCGATCAACACTACTTATACACTTACCCCTATATACCCACTCTACGTCTACGGCGCCTACTCCGGTTACTCTCTCGCTCTCGGCCGCTTACCCCGTGGAGCGCGACACAACGCCGGGGTGATGTCACGTGATCGTATGACCAACTCGTCAGCTGACCTAGTTGCTCTACCTCTTTGTGCTGGCTTTGGAGTTGATGTAGATGTTGCTTAGCTATCAGCACTGCCTGGTTACGATGTGACAGATTACAGAAGCCAAGGACATTGTGACGTTCCAGCCCAAACCACGTCCGGACGGTCCGAAACCCTTACGTCACCTCGCCAAAACGGTATATGCATCCGACACGGGGATTAACTTCCGGGGGTGCCAAGCCCGAAGCGCGACGTATCTGATGTTGTTTCGGATGGACCGTCGACCGTGATTCCCGAAGAAGGGAAGAATTCAAGGGGGGTCGTCGTGGAGTGAAACGTGACCTATTGCTCTGCTGCTCTGTTGCTCTATCCCTTATCATTATTATTGTTACTGGTGAGACTAGTCGTACTGTAATCCTGTAAACTGATCGAGCTGGTCGGGCACGATCAACCGTGTGCCGTGTGATCGAGTGATCGTGCGGTCCCGTCCCGTCTATCGTATCGCACAGAGCGTAACGCCCATAAGACGGCCAACTGTATCATCGAGGTTCAGTATCACTAGTGTACTACTACTGGACGATGCCACACGTTCGATTGGCTGGCGATTCATTGCGCCGGTCAATCAGAGATAATTGATGCACAGCAATGGTTCCGATCGCGCCACATCGATAATTTCAAGCCATCCCACTTACAACTGGCCTGAAGCACGTGATTTAGCGATATAATGGTCGTGGGGAAAGACCACTGAGGCGGAAGTGACTCGGATCGATTATCCCTCGTACTTTCCCATTCTTGGCGATATAACAGCTTGTACTAGTAGATAGCGAAAATGGGCTATTCCGCCTATGATACCCCATCACCAGGTGGAGTCACCTAAAGATCATCCAAGTTCCAGTTCACATCCCATCCGGATGATCCAGGAATCGTCAAACTGTTGGTACGCGATAGCGATCGACAAGTCAGCAACCTGAAACACCGCGACTGACGTTATACCGTTCAATACATCCTATCACGCTGGAAGACACGGCGTTCGTATTAACGGGGACGGCAATGACGATGCGCGACGCTAACTGTAAACTAGGATTGATGAAACACGTTCTATGCATAGTACAATCAGTCCAAACTAGCTAAAAGATATATATATACAGCCGATGGATTCAATGCTTGCTACGCGACTGTGACTATGGTCCTGTTCGCTAAGACTTGATGCTTTTCGGCAGTCCCCTCGAATGCGTAAATAGGGAAGCGAAGCGTTCCGACCTTGGCGTTGTCTTGGAACTTCCATAATGTCGCTTGTGTGACACTTTCGCATCGGCAAGCAGCATCATCATTGCGCGTTCTCTTAGGGTGAAATTTGCCAGTGTACTCGAAGCACTCCCAGCAGATGGTCCCCTTGAAATCGTTTGTGTGCCCGCTTTCAGTGGCAGCCCAGGCGATGAAGCCTTTCGGATCCTTCACCTTATGTTCCTTCCTGTTCGCACGCTGCTTTAACTCTTCAGGCGTTGGCGCTATTTCGAACGGCTTGATGAGGGCGAGGTATCTCGAGTAACTTTCCAAGGTACAATGTGGAATGAGGACTACTGACCCCTGTACTAGCGAGCCACTTTTCCTGAATCCTGGCTCTCTTGATTTGCTCCGTGTATTTGGTTTCGACTTCGCGGCTTTTGTGACTCCTGTCGGCGCAAAGAGGCTGCAAGGAGCCCTAGAGGACCTCCTCGACAAAGACGGGCCCGACCCAGTGAAGATCGATGAGGTATCACTGAGAGCGCCGTATGATGGCCAGGGGTTTTCGTATATCTCATGGGTTGAGGGCATTTGCAAAGAAGCGCGCTGAGAAGGCGCAAGACCAGATTGCTGTTGGCTATCGCAACCGTCATGGGGAGTATATTTTCTTGACTCGGCGATACCGAATTCAGATCTTCTCCCCATCTTGATGAAGTCACAGGCACAAGTAACACCTTTCGTACGCTGACTTTGGGGATAAAATATGCCAACCGCCTCAAAGCACAGAAAGCAAAACCTGTCGGGGACGTCGTCTGTGCTGTTGCTGACCTTGGCTGCCCAGCGTATGAAGGCGTACAGCTGTCGATTCTTGTTGTATTGCTCTCTAACCCCAGGATCTGCTAGTCTTTCCGCCGTTGCCTGCGGCAAGTAAGGCTCGTGCTCGCTCAGCCATCTCGAAAAACGTTCCAATGTGCAATAGGCAATGGGCGCCACAGATCCTGGCGGGGGGATATCCTTCGACAGTACCCAACGTGCACTCGAGGCTAAGATTTCGCCTTTAGGTGCCACAAGGGAGTTGAAAGTATTTCCTAGAGATCTTTCTGAGGGATTCGCACCTGAGCCACTCCGAGTATGGAGTGCTGAGATGTAACCGTCGGCCTCTATAGATTGGCTGGAGTGCTCTAGGTATGATTCACCCATCACACTCTCTGGATATGCGACCTCTGCATTGACGTGCGCTCGCAGACTCTGGTCCATCTGGCTGCCGTCTGGATGTGTGAATGCGTCCTGGTCTGCAGCAGTAGCGAAGGTCTCCCAGGATGCATGGTTGGTAACGTCATCATAGAATCTCATAGTGAGTAGATCGTCAAAACCTAAGCCTGTATCTTGCTGTCCGCTGTGTTCTTCAGTCCTTTGACCGAAATCTCCGTCGATCGGCTTGTTGCCTCCGTATGAAATGCCTGACATGATGGATTCGAGTTGATCTATGGCCACTGAATGATTTGTTCGAGTGCTCGGGGCCTCTGACAAGCCCAGACGCAACAAACTACCCATCACTTAAGTACGTACAGCAAGAGGCAAACACCTGCACATCAGTCTCTACATCAGCCGATCAACACCATATGTCTTCCTTTGACTCCCCTCATGCGGACGTGTTTCAGCCCCTCTTGTCAAGCCAATAATATGTCAATGGTGGCGCGATTACGCCCGATCAGGCGGTCAGGTGCACGGCTGCGGAGGTCAGCAGACTGCCTATCAGCCAAGTACGGGCGTGGTGTGCGAGCGAGGAGTCGTGCATGTATGGCGCTTTTGGCGTGCGTTTTGACATCTCGACTCGATGAATGCGCCGATCATCCGCCCGCTTGTAGGCAGATGTTCATCAAGGTATTCTCATTGAAGCGATCGGCATAGGCCAGATGCATAAGCCTCTCTGGCTTCTATTGGTGATCGTGATCAGCTCCAACTTGATCAGACTAGTTGTGGAGGTTGTAGTCCGAAAGGAGAATGATCGAATAGAACACCTAGCGGGGGTAGCAATGCTTAGATATGTTCATGGCCCATGCCATAGCATTAAGTTTTTCGGTGTTTCACAAGGTCAATTGGCTTGTTCGCTGTCCGCCGGTCGATTAACGGATATGGCCAGCGCATGATCCCGCCCATCGCACTCATTCTCGTCACCATCGCGCTGGTCGATCCGCTCACAGCCATGTTCATATATCGTCAAAAGGCGTTTCCCCGTTAAATACAATCACGACCCATCGACCCCTTGTCTCTCGCCCCGTCCTCTCTCTACCCGCTCATCTCATTGACGCACTCCCATCCCTTGCCACCGATGACTTCCTTCCACAGGGTGACCTTGCCGTCCGCACAGGCGACGGCCAAGACGTTTCCAGCGAGACTCCACGAGACCCTCCATACGGCATCGGGGAAGAGCGGGTCCGGGTTGTCCGACCCGTGAGGGAGTAGCTTGGTCGACGTCCAGGCCGAGGTGGGGGAAGGGCGGAAGTGGATCTGGACGGTTCGGTCCTGCGAGAGGCGAGCGGGGCGAGGCAAAGCAAATCGAAGCGGATCGAGGTCGTGGTTAACAACGATGGGATCAGCATCCGACATCCGTGCGATCAAACACGACCGCAACGCCAACCGACTCACCTGCCCACACGTAGCGATATATTCACCGGGCAACCCGATATTAGGCGCCCAAGCGACGTCCCTCACCCAATCGCTATGCGCGTTCAAGGTCGTCTCGATCTCCGGGCTTCCATTCAGGTCCCTGCAAACAGCCAAACGTCGAAGGATTAGCACCGCGTCTCTGCGTTACCCAAAATTTGGAGGAACAGAATTTGAGAGATGGCCGAGGAGACGGGGGACTGACTTGTAGTTCCAGATCCTGACGACCCCATCACAACCCGCACTAGCGAACTTCTTCTGATACCCCGCCTCTCCAGACCCAGCTCCGCCTTGTTGTTGTTGCTGCTGTTGCCCCGGTTGCTGCTGCTGCTGTTGTTGTTGTTGAGGACCCGAGGTCAGGCTTCCTGGGGACATGGCGGGCGACCAAGAGATCGCGTTGACCCCGATCGCATGGGCGGGGAAGGTATCGATATCGGACGATCCGTCGTCTGCGCCGGAGGGGGGGGGGGTTGTCCGGATTCATCAGCATTACGTTTCCTTGCAGATACCTTGAAAGAAAGCCGCGAGTATTGGAGACGAGATCACTCACTGTTGAACTTCAACACCGAGATCTTTCCGTCACTAGACGCGCAAGCGAGGATCGGACCGAGTTCATACGGAGCCCAGGAGATCGAGTTGACTGTAGTCGTCGTCCAAATCCATAATCAGATCCACGTCCAGAATAGAGTCCAGGTGCATAATCGAAGATAAGAAGAGGATCACGCATCGCGTTCGTCAGCTCTCGTCTGATCTTGGTATTGCAGTTCCTATCATCTCGGCACGAATCTCGATCCCGCAAAAAAACCCTCCTCTTTATATCTGGGATGGTCCCATTCATCTTGCTGTCTTCGTCTTACGGCTTGCCATTGCACGTAGACCAAAACCGAGCACCTGACCCAACAAACGACCCGGGACCACCACCATACGAGAAGGGGACTTACCACTAGCGCTATGCGCCCCAACCTCTTTAATCTTCTCCCACTCCCCCGCCCCACCAGCTGCTCCCTTCCCCATGCCGATCCCTCCTCCCAATCCCCTGTTGTTGGTAGTGGTGGTGGTGGTGGTGGAAGAAGAAGTCTCTTTCCAAACAAAGACCCTGGAATCGTATGAACACGACGCGAGGATGGAGCCGAAGGACGGGTGGGCCCAGGATATTTGCCAGATGGGGGCGGTGTGGCTGAGTTATTTGTTGGTGATGTTTGGTGTGTTAATGTTGTTGTCGAGAAGGAGGAGGAGTCGAGAGGGAGAAGGTTCGGAATGGAGATGAAATGAAGATGAAGATGAAGAGGAAATGCATCGATCAGCTCCACATCCCACACCCCACCTCACACCACCTCATACCACCACCACATCATCATATTCCTCCCGACCCTACCCGCAACCTCTCATACACCCCGCAGACATCTCAACGGACTGAGGACTGAACCTGAGAACTCACCCTTTAAGTACAACCCCCTCCCCCTTAGGTTTCCCATCGACCACATCAAAGATCCTGATCGTCCTATCGCTTGAACACGTGGCCAGACGTTTTCCATAATAGTCTAGCTGGGCGTCGTGCTGCGTTCGCGTGGTTTCGCCGGGTTACAATGGTGGAGGTTATGAGGTGGTAAGAGATGAGATGTGGATGATGTGGTTTGGGGCAGTATGATAGGAGGTACAAAGGTGTTGTAGAATTGACGGTAGTGGTTGTGGTGTAGTCGTGACGGGGTGAACACCGCGTGAAAGGGCGTCCCATCGTAGTATTAGAACGGGGGAGATATCGACCAAAAAGACAGTTAAAATCAGATATCAGCACACTAATCATTAAAACGACTATGAAACTAGGTATGATGTGTGAGGTGACGACGCTGGTACTAACGATCATATCCTCGTGAGCCGTATCGACGACATGGTGCCCGGAAGCCTCGTTCTTGATCGTGGTAGCCTGCGATTGTCCGGCGTCAGCGTGACATAACAAGTGATACACATACAGGTGCTTACCATGATGACAAGTCGTATCTAATTGTTGCTATGGAGGTGGTTGAGTTGAAGACGGAATGACAAGAGAGAGGTCATGACGATGTTTAGGTCGTCGTTCGAATATGCGTCACCAACACCAACAAGGTCCGCGTCGAGTCTCAGCTCTGACGTCAGTTTCAGTCGATGATCGGATGGTTTCATGTCAATAGCAATACTGTTAGAACTCAAGATATTGCTTTATCAATCGGCATGTGCTATTAACCAATACAAAGGTACTGACCTGTTAGAACTCAAGATATTGCTTGAGATCTAACAGTCAAGTGGTGTATATTGATGATCTAGTTGTCCGAGATTTTCATCACCCGAGTGAGGTCCCAGCTTGGGTGATGCTGACTAAGCATCACCCCAGTCCCCAGTAATCCTGAGGAAATAATCCCAGTAATCCTGGGGAAATAATCCCGGTAATCCTTGATTACACGCGCGCGCGCACCTACTTTCTACAAATACATCATCATAGTCAGAATGAAAACGAGAGAGCATAGCGCTGGCCGGTTTCAAGCTGGCAGAGTACAACAGCCGTACCGGGTTCCTCGGTGAGTCCGTCCCGTCGTCTGGCGTAAAAACCGAGAGCGTACAGTACACCATATCGTCGAGCTCATACTACTGGATGCCTTGCGATGATGCAGCCACCTTGATCGTGACTAATTGACGACCCGCATCCGGGCCGAAACTTCTCCTGAATATCTACCTGTACAAACAACAGCAATGGCCTACTTGGGTTCAACGTGTCAGACCCTGTCGGCCTCCGATAAGCCTGCGCGCATTCTCGCAGCCGCGCAGCCTGACCAGTTGGGATCGCGCCAATACTGCTTGACATGGCTTTGATGGTAGGGGCTGAAACGATCTCATGTCCAGAGTTCAAAGGAAGACTTATGTGGCGTGCTAATTAAGCTGCAGGTTTTTACGTCTCCACACGTGTATATAGATGACGACCGCCTCCCTCATTCGAACAAGCCAAGAACAGGATAGAGAGGCGAAGCAGACACTTCACTGATCATCTCAATCGACCCGTAATCGCCATGTCAGGAAACCCATATGGATACTACGTGCCTCCGACTGAAGATCAGAATCAGATCTTTACTGGTGAGAGCCAACAGCCATCATCAACAGACTTTCCACAAAATACCCCTGGCCAAAGCTCGTTCGGTGGCAATCCATACACGATGAAGTATCTTCCGCCTACCAACCCTACAGATCACAACATGTCGCCTTCGCTCTCGAACTGGACCGGAGCGTTCGACGATCCAACTCAAGATCCATACGTGGGTTCGTCGTATGGGTACGGAGAGTATCCTCCATTGCAATCCCATCAACAGCCGGTTTTCGATGCCAACTCTTACCCTGACTACCAGAATCCATCTGTCTACCCCTATGACGATGGTCAGACGGGGTATTCTGCTTCTCAAGCTGTTGATGCCCTGACAGTTAACAGACTCGGCCTACTCAACCATACTTGAGATACTCTGGCGCGCCCACATACTCAGAAGACGGGAGAATGGAAAGTACTTTCCGTCGAACTCAGTCTGGGCACTCGAATCGTTCTTCCAGGGCATTCACAGACCCTACCAATCCGCTGGCGCCTTCAGCAGGCGGCATACCTACGAGGAAAAGAAAGCCGCCGTACTCATCGAACAACGCGAAAGTTCTGGGAAAGGTAGTAGAAATCGGGTACTGTACCTTGGAAAGGCTCGAAAGATGGCTCGAAAAGTACGAGCCCTTCAAGAAGGTGACGGCCGAGGCGTTGAAAGATCCCAAGAATAGGATGGCGTTTAAGAAGACGCCGTGGAAGACATTTGTACATTGGGCTGCTCAAGACAGTGGTCATCAGGGCAAAATCGAACATGATGTCTGTAATCGTTGTTTCGAGACATACGGCAAGTTTTACCCCTGTAGAAGGTACGTAGAAGCCGCTGCTTGCAGGTGCTTGCCTGTAAATCAAGCGCGGCGAGCCGTAGAATCGGCGCTGCCTGAGCATGAGCGTCTTGGCTTTGGGAAAGAGCTGGCGCGATTCGCAACGATCGTAGCCTCCTCACGTACGCGAAATAGTTGTCACAGGGCGTGACCGAACGGCAGCATGGGATCGACGCGCATTTAGGTCATCGGCCCGGATCGGGCGACACTCAGCGGATCCGCACGAAGTCAACAAAAGAAAACCGCGACTTCGTGTGTTCGACCGTCTATTGTTCGCCTGAAAGAGCGACCGACGGACGACAGTCTTTTGTTCTCGAACAAAGAAGACAAGCACGAAGTCGGGCGAACTCGGTAAACGATAGCGGATTCGGTGCGAGTAACGCGAGTACGTAGTTAGCATATAACGGAGCGCGAATCGTAGAGAAGTCGTGCGAGTCTGTTGTACTTCTATACGATTCAAGCGCAGTTATTACATTCGACATACGCCTATACCTTAGTTATACTACGGAGACGTACTAGGAGAGGTTACACTATCACCGACGAACTCACTATCGTTAGTACAGTGTCGCGACTTCACACGAACTCGAGAAAGACCGTGAGACATCGTAGTCACGTGATCCGACTTCGCTTGCATCTAGAAACCTGTGACTCGCCACGTAGTCGCGACGGAAGTAAATACGCGGAAGCAACCCCTTAGACGATTTTCGAGGACGCCCGTAACAGCATAACTGCGCTTCTTCTATCACACCTTTCAAGATGTCAAGCCAGGCAACGAACAACAACAATAGAGGCACGGGTCCGGCCACCAGGGCGGGAACCCGTGGGAACATACGACCTTCGCAAGAAAACTCCGAAGATCCGGACGATGTCGACCGACGACCGGTCGATTCGGAAGAGAGGGTCGTCCCTCACACGGAAGATAGCGAAGAAACCGAATTGGATTTACTTCGGGAACAGAACCGTCGTCTCCTGGACGAACTCGCCAGGCAACGTAAGGACCAGGACGACCTTACCACCAAGATCGAACAATTGATCGATGCGAGGTCGGTCAAGGAACCGAAGGCGCGCAAGACCCAGCGGGACCCCTTTAGTGGTCTCCAAGATCTTGCGGATCAGTACGATTCCGACGACTCAGACAACGAAGCGGATGGAAGGTACCGAAACCAACGATTCGCCGAGAGGGATATCTACACCCCAATGCGCGAGTTTCGGTCCGAATCCGGGCGAGACGATGTGGAACAAGACGACGAGGGCAAACTCAACGAAGTCAAAGACTTCACCGGAGACGACAAGGACTATTCGGTGAACCACTTCTTGGCCAAATGCCGTGTCTGTTTCAATCAGAAACCGTCGCAGTTCCGCACTGGCAAGGGTCAAGTCGGATTCGCGGTTATGCGCCTGGCTGGGGACGCCTTCGAGCATGTTTTCCCGTACATCAGTCTCCCGTTCAACGAACAACCCGCGTTTTTGCACGACTTCGAAATGTTCGCGCAATTCATGAGGAGTTCGTTCGGAAAGAACAATAGCAAGGGCGATGCCGTGCGGGCCATCAAGAAATTGAAGCAAACCGGAACGGCTAGCGAATTCTTTTCGAAGTTCGGGTTGCATAAACCCCTGACTGGCTGGAACGATGAAGCGTGCATCGACGCCGTGATGGACCGGCTTCGTCCGTCTGTTAGCAAGTACCTCGAGAAGAACGGATATCCGAAGAGGAATTACATCCGATTCAGAGCGAAGGCGATCGAAGTCGACAATCGGTTGCAGTCCGTGCGCGATCGCGGGCAAAGCTCGGACTCCGACTCTGAAGAGGATCGAGGTCGGTCAAAGAAGAATCGTGGGTCGCGAAAACGCACGGATCAGCGCACCAAAGGAGATTCGGACCACGGAAGTCGCGAACGCAGGCAACCTAGCCCAGGACCCAGGGTCACGTTCGCTACCGGTAGCCCCGCGTTCGTCCCAAGGGGAGGGGCTCCCTATCGGCCCATCACGGAAGCCGAGAAGGATCAGCGACGAGCGGACGGGAAATGTCTACGATGTGGGAAACCGGGTCATTACGCCCGAGACTGCCCGGACAAGCCGTCTTACAAGCCCATGGCGCCCGAAGTCGTCCGAATTGCAAGGGAGGCCCCTGCTAACACGAACTGGAAGAAGGGCTCGTTCCAAAGGTCGAACTGGATCCGTTTCGAGATACGCGGTCAGGATCCGTTAGTCTCCCTGTCCGTTTGGCCTAGAGCGGGTTCGGACGAATTCGTGCTTTCAGCCCTCCTCGACACAGGGGCGAGCAGCAGCTTCATTCGACCGGGCTGCTCGCTGCTTGGGCAAGTAGCTCAATCCAAGTACGAAGTCCCGAAGATCATCAGACTCGTGGATAATGGCCCGAATCCGGCCGGACGCGGGCTGATTACGTCGTACGTAGACGTAGAGGTCTTCATCAACGGGAACATCGGACCCTTCAAGATTCGTTTCGATATTATGGAGAGCGCTTCGCCGGAGGTGATTTTGGGTTTGAACTTCATCAAGGAATACGGAGTGCAGATGGATTGGGAGACCTGCGAACTCAGCATCCTATGTCCGAAGTCGCCGGCGAAGGGCGAGAATGATACGATTCCGGGAGAAACCAAATGGTTCCGCGGACAAGGAGAGGGAAGTCTCGACATGTTGGAAGCAATTCGAGAGCTAGAATTGGAGGAGGAAGAACCGACTCCTGACGATGATGAACTAGACGCCATGATTCCGGCCGAATACGCGGAGTTTCGCGACATCTTCAAAAAGAGCAATTACGAGAAGTTACCGCCTCATCGAATCTACGATCACCCGGTTGACCTCTTACCAAATGTCCAACTGAAGAGGGCGAAACCGTACCCGTTGTCGGCGGATGCGGATGCCTGGTTGAAAGCGTGGATCGACAAAAGTCGCGAAATCGGACATATTGAGCCGTCTTCGCATTGGTTCGGAAGCCCGGTTTTCCTTGTGAAGAAGAAAGGGGGAGACTTCCGAATGGTTACGGATTACCGCGAACTCAATCGCGCTACAGTCAAGAACGCATACCCCTTGCCAAAGATTGACACGTGCCTCGAACGAGTTCGCACGGGGAAGATCTTCTCCAAGTTTGACATGCCGACTTCGTATCAGCTCTTACGAATGCGCCCGGGGGACGAGAAATGGACCACGATCCTGACCCGGTACGGCGCGTTTCAGTCAAAGGTGATGCGGGAGGGTATGTGCAATGCCGGAGCGTCGTTCCAGTACTTGATGAACGACATTTTCGATAAATTCGTCGATAAGGGGGTGATCGTTTACGTAGACGATATACTGGTCTACTCTTCGACGAAAGAGGAACATGTCGCGGTTTGCAAGGAGCTGTTCGCCACAATTCGTGCGCATTCGTTCTACCTAAAGCCGAAGAAGTGTGAGTTTTTCAAGGATTCTATCGAATTCCTGGGTTATCAGGTCAAGGCGGGAGAAGTCGCGATGACCGATGAGAAGATGGCAAGCGTCAAAACCTGGCCGGTGCCGCGGTGTGTGTCCGACATCGCTCGGTTCCTAGGATTTACCAACTTCTATCGACGATTCATACGCGACTACGCCAAGATTGCCTTGCCGATCAATCGACTCCAGCGGAAAAGCGTGGAGTGGAAGTGGGGTGACGAGGAACAGCAAGCGTTCGACACGTTGCTGCACAGCTTTTCGGAAGGACCCATGCTGATCCAGGCGGATCCGGACGTCGCCTGTTTCTTGGAGACGGATGCGTCCGACTACGCGCTGGCGGCCGTATTGAGTCGACGGGACGACAAGGATGCGCTGAGACCGATTGGGTTTTACTCGCGAAAGCTGAGTCCGGCGGAGATCAATTACACGGTCCACGATAAGGAACTACTCGCGATCGTGTCCGGATTCGGACATTGGCGGGCGGTTTTGTTAGCACAGAAGGAACCGACCGAGATCCTCACGGATCACAAGAATCTTGAATACTTTCAAGGGGCGAAACAGCTCAGTCGTCGCCAAGCTCGGTGGGCCGAAGCGTTGTCGGACTACAATTTCCGGATTCGTTATCGACCAGGCGTTAAGGGAGGGAAACCGGACGCATTGACACGAAGACCGGACTACCACCCGGGAAAGGGCGGGATCCACTCGCGGACACACAACGAAGGGAATTTCAACGTCCTACTCCCGAAGTCGCTGTGGGTCGAACAGAGTCGGTCGGCAAGGGTGCAGGGTCCCCGAAACCGTACCTTGCGGGACGACATCAAGGAAGGCGTAAAGGCAGAAGCCGCCGAGGGGAACGTTCCGTGGACGAACATCACGGTTTCGGGGCGGCCTTACACGGAGTCGCCGTGGTCGTTCACGAAGAGAGGAGAGTTGCGATATCGGGGGCGGTGTTACGTACCTGATCACGAAGACCTGCGTGTTCGGGTTTTGCAGGCACGTCATGACCAGCCGTTAGCGGGGCACCAAGGTCGAGACAAGACGATCGAATTGGTCAGGCGAGATTACAACTGGCCAGGGTTGGACGACTTCGTGATCGACTTCGTGGGTTCGTGCCAGAGTTGCCAGCGAAACAAGACCACGCGACACAAACCGTACGGAATGCTGAAGTCTCTACCGGTTTCGGACAAGCCAAACGTCGAATTGTCAATGGATTACATCGAGGAGTTACCGATGTCGGAGAACAAGAATTCAATCCTGGTCATCACGGATCGGTTCACGAAACGCGTGCGGTTCTTGGCGGTCACGACGAAGATGACGGCTAAGGACTTGGCGAACACGTTTCTGACTCACGTATTCTCGCAGTATGGCTTGCCCGACGCGATCTTGTCCGACCGCGGTAGCAAGTTCACGTCCGAGTTCTG